AGCCCAAATGTTTTACACATTGTCCTCTTTTAAAATTCATAGTTTCTAAAAATATATTGCGGCTAAAATTTCAAAAATTTAAGAAAAATTGACAATAAAAGCCAGAGACAAACTCTACCGTAAGTATCCATATGAGTTTTATCTTTCTAACAAATAAACGTACGCAAAAATACGAGGAAAAGTCAATCTTTGAATGCGTCTTAATTTCATTTCTACCTTTCCTTTCACGAAGAAAATTGCCCCGCGGTTTCGTTTAAAAATAACTCATGAACAAATTTAGGCACAGATTTGAAAACTTTTAGAACATCGAGCCTCAACAAGAGCTATTCTCATAGAATTGCTTGCACAAGAAGACTGAAGAAGCGCATATTCTCTTTGCTCACCCTGAGCATGCCCTGAGATACATGTCCTTGGAATCATGTTTCTAGGAGTTGACAATAGGAAATAAGCACTGCGCATGTACAGAGAGACTGTATCGGAAACTTAAAACAAAGCTAAGAGAAAACGCATGAATACTGGTTTGAAGAGATCAGTTCTGTTTAGCTTCTTTTCTCACTAAGCAGCGCGTGAAACTTACATTTAAAAGAAAATAACATTAAAAGAAACTTACATATGATCAATTCAGTATTTTAGAAGTATAAATGTAATAAAAAATGAGGATGTACTGCATGGCTGCTATCGGATGAACCTTTAAGATCGTTGTAAACTAAGAGTCTTATCAAAATCTAGAGATAAATGAGTCTCATAGTTTTGCTCAGAACTATACCCGTCATGTTCAATATCTTTTTCATCTTCAAAATCATTCAAAATCCTCATCTCTTTCTTAAGGCTATACAGCGAGCATTCTTTAAAAAATCATATTAACAATATCAAAATTTGCCTTGGCACAACAGAATTTGATAATAGCGTGAAGAGCAGAGCATATCACACTTGAATACTTTTCGCCCAACGCTCCTCAGATCATAAACGTTGGATAATGTCCAAATGATAATGTGGATCGAAAGCAACGTTTGGGAAAGAATGGTGCATTTGACTGGTTCATTGTTTTTTATCAATGTCTTTGATTCTTTGTTCAAAAAGCTGTTTCTCTTTCCTTAATAAAGATCTTTATTGGATTCAGAAGAGCTGCAAAATTGTATCATCACATTAGATCATTACAATGGCTCACTTACAGACTTGTCAGGGCTAAAACCAAAACTTCGACTCCAGGGAAATTTCCACTGTTAGTCTTTTTGTGGGATTTCACCTCTATGGATTGACATACCCCCTTGAGTCGGATAATTAAAATTTTGAATTTGCCGCCAAAATTCAATTTAATAAAAATGGAGTAACCAGTCCCAGTCCCCATCACTAGGCAAATCTCTGCTGTGTTTGCATGGTGAAGACTTTTGCAAAGGCTGACCGCACTAATTCTGAGTGGGAAGACAAGAACCCTATTATAAAACATGGACAGAAGTTATGTGTGAGGCAAGTCGAAACTGCAGCAGCAGCTGCAAATAGAGCTCATCGATATAGATCAACGATAACTTGTAAGGAAGTTACCCGAATGGTGAGTTTTAGGTTAGGACATAGGTTGCTACTTTTATAGAAACGACTTTGTTATTTGTTTACATACACGAACATGGCAAACAGACTACTTTAAAAGAGCTGTAAAATATTCAGATTTAAAACTAGAATTGATACTGAAACTGTAGGCCTCCTAAGATTATTTTTTAAATGGCCAACTAACAGACGGTTTTTTTGTTATGCTGTCTATACATTACCTGGCAAATTTTTATTAATTTACCATCGAGCTCACTGATCTTCCAAGATGTGAACAGACTGGCTTATTTCATTTTGGATAGCAATGAGTGCAAAGTTGATTAAATTCCTTAATCTAATCAAAGAAACTAACTTCGTAGAATTAAATATAGGCCTACTGACAACTTTTACATGATAAAAACTGTTTAGAAAAGGTATGATGACAGTTGAGAGTTCAAATTAGCAAACGAACAGCAAAATCAAAATCACGACAAAAAGTTCATTTTTCAAGATGTTTTGGTTGTTGCAAGATCTATCAAGACTGTTGCAAGATCTATCGAGATTGTTGCAAGACCCATCAAAATCTATTGATATTGTTTTCTATGAATGTTTTAAATTATAAGTCCTTCTTTAAGTGAAAAATGTATAATGTTGTAGAAAGTGTTCCTTGTAACCATTAATAGAGTAAAAAAGGACACTTAGATCAGAAGCAAAATGTGAGGACCACAGTGACCCCAAACCATTCCATTATTGATGTATTTATTCTAAAAGTTGCATTTACTGTTGGCTCATGACATCCAGTGCACACATTTTCATATTTTCAAATTTCCATTTGGATCTTTGAATAATTTTTTTAAAATTTCTGCCAAGATTGATTTTTTCCTTTGGTAGCTAGTATAAATGAAATGATAAAAACATATATTTTAATGTCAGTAAACTTTTGTTTTAGGTCATTCTTGCAGCTCATTGGATTATTATTATGGAGAAAAATGTTACTCATCATATAGCTTCAAAATGACAAGAAGAATAAGGCCATTAGAAATGTAAGTACTAAGTTTATTTCCATGTATCTTTTGTGTCTTACAATTTCCAATGCACTCACTCTCATGAGTTTATCATTCAAATAAGTTTTAATGCAAAATTTGAAGGTGGCATAAAAGAATGGAAACATATCATGCTTACGTTTCCTCAGTGTCTAAGCATTGGATAATGTCAAAAGATAAGCAGAAAATTTATATCCAGATGTGAACAGAGTAAGATTATTTCTTTGTTTTTGGCCAATGGCGGCACCACTTAAGTCTCAACCAGTTGACGAGTCAATTATATAAAATGAACTCTTGAATCTGTTTACACAATTTGGGATCCTTTGATTTTAATTTACCGATTAAAGAAAAAACTCAATGAGAAAATGACCTTGCCTATCTACTAACTTTGAAGTTGTACCTTTGGCACACTCTGAATTGATGAGTGGATGTTAACCAATTGCCAATTATCATTTTGATTTGGGCATTCTACTTTTTGCAATTAGACCATGGCCATTCTCTTTTCAGAACCATAAAACTGAACTTTTTTATTTATATTCATTCAGAATAAACATTCCTATTTAGGAATGTTTATTTGTATTTGTATTTGTTGCTACCTAGCATCTGAAGGTAGTTCTTAGGACACTGAAAAGCTATGCTTATCAAGCAGTGTCCTGTTCCTTCCTCTCGATGTGACCACACCTCATGATTCCTATGCCTTTTTTTCAATGAACCAGCCTTTATCAAGCATTTTTTAATTAGTTTTCACAATAACATATTTTTTTACCAAATCCAGAATTAAGTTGTCTATTTTCCATACATTGATGCAGGCCTGGCCGTTTGAGGCGAGCGATAGCTCGCGCTCGCCTCCACGCTCCCCTCGCAACCTGAGGCGAGCTATGAATTGCTCTCCTAAACAGAACATGAAGGAAGAATCGCTCCCCTAAAATTTCCTATTCAGAGAATTATGAAAACGCACGAGGGTTAATTGGTTTATTTTTGTAGCAGCGATTTATCCCGTCATTGCATTTATTGCAATTAACTTTTTGCTTGTTGGGCGGTTTTTTATGATAGGCATAAACTTCAATCTATTCTGAAAAGGATAGTTAACGGGAAAGTACGTTTGTAGCGGTTAGAACCTTTCAATCTTAATAAAACAGGAATATTTTTGGAAGGAAAGTCGAAGAAATTGGCAGGAATTGTAGATTGGGGATATATTAAGACAGCAGGTCCCTTCCAGCAATAGAAACAAAACTATCCCTCAAAGAGAACAAGGTACTCTGTCTTGCAGATCAAAAACGACAACCAAAACATGGAATTCAACTATCCAGCGGCATTTACTGAAAAACCCATAATTGGGTAAAAACTATAACGGCAACATGTTTGGCATAATTGGCAAAGCCTGATCATCGTTCCATCTAGCAGTTTGTGAATCTATCTACTATATAAACATGACCAACCGCTTTTGTTTAGACATAAGTGAGTTCGTTTTCAACTTAGGACTCCGTTGGTAACATTTTCAATAGGAAAGCGGCACTGATTGGACAACCTCAACAGTCATGTGCTCGGGCTTTCTGATTGGCCTATTTCGATCTAAAACTGGGTATTTTAGCGTAAAGTTTTCCACCTTTGTTCTGACGTTTTATTCTCTGAAGAGTGCTAGACGTATAACTTCAGCTTGTTTTAAATTTTTTTTTTCAAAGCCATTTTCAAATTCTGTACAACAAAAAGATTGTTTTGCAAGATAATTGTTGTTTTTGTGTTGTGCCAGCTTTACATGAAACTGAAAGAGTCTGTTCTTTTAAATACTTCAATTAAAGGGGGTGCCTAAGTCACGGTTAAAGCAAATACAAATTGAAAGAAGTAAAACAGCATACTCCTGACTGCGGCTATTACATCAAGGCAACCAACAGATACTTAAGGGGCTTATTAAGTCATCTGTCAATTTTCTTTAAAGTACATTCTATGTGTTACTGATTTAGCTCGCCTCAGCAAATGAGGGGAGCGATTCACAGCTCACCTATAAAAATACAAACGGCCAGGCCTGATTGATGGCCTAGAGCAAGGATGTGCCTGTTTCCACAAAAACTTAATTTGTTGCATCTAACATCTAAAAGCACCGTGAAATGGAGCATAAGGACTCCTTGAGTTTTCTTAATTTTCCTGTATGCAAGAAGAAACTGTGTTTAGGAAGCAATTACTTTGATTCTCATATCTTATGCATTGCTCTCAGGAAATCAGAGATATGATTCCTGGCCCCTTTGAGACATGTACATAATACCAGATACTCTTCTAGCGCTCACCCTTTCCAAGTCTTCTTGCCTAATGCATAAACTTAATCCCACCACTCTTCCTTCCTCCCTAGATCTTATAAACTTTGGAATGCTCTACCACTCCTACTTCTCAAACTCTTACAACCTGTCTTTATTCAAAACAAAAATAAACAAACTTGATTTTTCCTCACTTCTCCATTCTATCTTTCCCTTGTTAGGGCCTAGCAGGTTCATGAGCCTTTTTCTGACATCATCAAATTAAGTAAATCTGATTAAAGAACCTTTTTAACTGAGTTTTCAAATTTCGCCATCATGCATCATTAGCCTGTTTCCTTATCTTTCCTGCTATCCTATGAAAACGTTTGAATCACATTTGGTAAAAATGCTTGAAAAAGGGCGAGTAATTATCTAACTAGACTACAAATACAAATTATGTTTAAAAAGTAACATTTTCATTACATAAGGCCTTGGCTGAAAGCTTAATTTTTTTGCTCTTAAGCTATAATGCTTATTATGTATTTAACATTTCCTATAGTGACGAAAATTACAGCTGCCAAAATTTTGGTTTCTTTATAGTGCATTTGGATCCTTTTCTTTACCCTAGAACTCAAAAAAATTTTGTTGTATTTTAAACTCCCAAGTAGGTTTTGTCTGAACACCTAGCATGGACGAAAGCAACAGTGTTTTCAGTAATTTTGTAGGAATATTTTTCAAACTACTCTCTGAGCAGAATTTTTTTTTGAATATGAGAAATATAGTTAAAATAATTTGGTGATAATTAAAAAGCCAAAACATGGCATTTGTTTTGAGATTGAGAGAAAATATTGAGATACAGCACTTGCTTTTATAAGGTGGGTCAGCCTTATCAATGTACCAGGGTATTTTTGTACTTCAGTTGTCAGTATTTCATCTGCCAGCAAATCTCCTTCCATTGGACTGGAACTAATGTCATGCCATTGGCAAATTTGCCTACTTTCCTTTTATCTTTAGAACACTCTTGATAGTAAAAGTCCAGCAGTTTTTCTATTTTACTCAGCAAATCTCAGCTGACAACCATAGGATGCACAGCTGGGAAAACTCCATGCCCCTGAGGAATATGGAAAGATGCAATAAAAAATTAGACTTCCCAGTTATTGTAGCACTTTCTTGGTGGCTTAAAGCAGACTAAATAGTTTCTGACATTACACCCATATACCTGTCCAAGTGTGAATAGAAATGCACCAATTATTGAGTGACTATCAAGACATTTTTAAGTTGGGATTTTTAATGTGCAGATAGGCAATGTACATACTCTGCAAGTGGAAAAAAGGCTGTTTTGCAATACATTATCACGTTTTTTGTGAACTACAACCAACCAAGGTAATCATATTTAATTAGGACCAAAATGGGCTACACATTTCACTGTTTTTCTCTGGTTTACAGTCATATTTCATAAATGGAAGCAACAAAGTTTTAGAAAATACTCTTTTACCGGTAGTTTTTAAAGCTCTTTGACAAAAGCAATTTTATCATTTAAGGAACAACTTTTTGTGGCAGCAGTTTTTCCTTACAGCTTTGCATATCAGGAGATGCAAGCTTTACAGTTGTGCCTGATCCGATGCTATTTTCTTTTCAGGCTTCTTTTATCATTTCGCATTATCATTGCCTTTTCAAACTTTAAACAAACAATCTGATTAGCTTATAACCTTTTTAATCCTTTTTGTCCTGGTGTTTTGAATTGTTTTCTTTAAGAATGCCTCATAACTTTATCTGAAAACCTTTTGTTATCATTTGGTTTGATTATTTTATCAAATTAGAGTTTTTATTTAAAATTTTAAAGGAAAAGTGCTACTTTAAAATGCATTTGTGCTTGTAAATCAGCGGTTCTAAATGGGTTACCATGGCTAAATAATGTATGGTATTATGTCCTAGGATATGTTGTTGGGTAGCCTCTAAGTAAAGAAACCAGAAGAATAAAGGCAAAATGAAACACGACCATAAGCTTGCATTTCATTGGCTTAAATTCCACTATTATCACAGGCTGTGATAGTATAAATCTCATAACTGTGTTCTTTGAAGTTATTGAAGAAGAAAGTGTCAATAAATCTTTTTATTTTTGTAACAAGATGTCATGCCAAATTACATCCCTTCTGAAAAAGGTTAGATTGAGCTTTTTATCTCCAAACCAAATTGGATTAACTTGTATGGAAACTTTATGGAAAATTTATTAAGGTAAAAGACCTTGATAAAACATTAATACATTGAATTTTGCTTTCTTGCCAGCAGATAGAACTCATGTTAAATAAAATAGTTGAATGATAATAGCATTAAGCATGGAACTCGGAGTTGCAACTTAGAGCCACACTGCTCTATCTACCAAAGCGTGAGAGAAATCAAATGTTTCAGTTCATGATTACATCCTTTAGTGATTAAAAACAATTTTTAATCAATTAAGGAGAATTATGTCATCAGCTGCCTTAAATAGTAGTGAACAGGCAGTGCCGTTGGTTGATAATAAGCAACAGAAAACTGCAGAGATTCAAGAGGGTCATTTGTCACTATTGAATGCAGTGGTTATTGGATCTTTTTTGTTGTCAAATGTATTGTTCTCCTATACAATTGACAACAACGAATGCACGAGGTCACTCTCAAAGCATTGATTAACAGCAAAGGGTCGCTTTAATTGTTAATGTTTTGAACCTAGATAAATTGTTATAAAGATTTTAACAGAACCTGCAGCTTATTTCTTATCATCAATCAGAGAACAAAACCCGCAGGGACTCTCATAAAGAAAAAAAAACGCGACATTGTTGGATGTGATATCATCCCGAAAGTTCAGATCACTCCTTTTCATTGGTTTGATCTAGCTTTTTATGTCAGTCTTGTAGTTGAAAACACCATGCTTGGTCGATCAAAGACACATCATTCCTAGGCGTGTCTCTGGCCCCGAATTTTTCGCAGCACATAATGTGTAGCACTGGTTTTGCTGAGATCATTTTGATCAAGTTGTTTCAAGAATTTCCATTGTAGGCAGTAAGATGGAAGCTTCTGCTGTCCGTCCAATAGCGAACTGTTCCATACGCTTTCAGTTGCACTGCTTAAGATAATTACGCCACTGATTACGTTATAGCAAAGCGTTTGACAGCATTATTCCGCAGAGTTGGCGGAATCCTCCAAATATTTATCTGATTTGTTATTTCATTTGTATAGATATTGATTTGATAAGACGACATTCTTTTTCATTGCAGTAGGTGAGGATTTTGGTTTTGTTGCTATGGCGTGGTATTTAGAATACACACAAGTATTAACTTCATTTACCATGACCCAGTAGCAACAAACTCCATTTACCACGACCAGGTTGCTTGAAATCTCTTAGGCTAAGTGAGAAATCATATTGTCAAGTTAGAAATTTCATGCAATTTATCACCGAGACGTTTAATTAATTTGAAGGAATTCTTAAGACCTTTTCTTAGCACAACCTTGAGAACTATATTTGCCTTAGATTCAGCTGCCATGACTTTTTATCAAATATAAACTTAGCCGGGTTATGCAGTTTGTTTTTCGCTGCTAGTAATTTAATTCACGTTTCAAAACTATATCGTTTTTCCAGAATTGAGTATCACGTTTAAAACAATTTACTGTCACTAATGTCACTAACCGTTTAATGCTTTCTCCCTTAGTTTGTCATGACATAAAAAACCTAGAATACTCGCAGTGGTTTCTTTCACTCAATAACTTCAGCCTTTTTTCTTGCAAATTTTCAATAGTTTAAAAGTAGCTTGGTTAACTGGACTTGTTTCTGACGTTTTTTCAGTGATTGTGGCATGCTATGACAAAGAACATGAAATCTGTTTGTTAAAACATCATACTGCATGAAAATAAAAAAACACTGTTAACTTCTCCTAGCGTAAAAAGACAGTTACAGTTACGCATGCCTTTGTCACTTTAATTTCAGGTCTCTCGTTGTGACCGGGAGCCGTTTACGTGGGAAGTCTTTAGAGATGTTCAAGATAAACGGGTCTTCAAGGACTTTTCTCAAAAGGATTTCTGTCAAAGGAGCGCAAGATCTTTTCGGTGTAAAACACCGCCAGATTTGATGTATTTTGTGTTTCTAGGATAAAAAGTAAAGGGATCCTGCTACAAGATTCTTTTTGTACTGTGCTACAGAACTGCTGTCTTGTATATCAACATAGCATTATGCAGGAAGTCTCAATCGTGCTTATCCTCCACAGTATAGGAAAGTTTGTTGAAGAGATTTCCTTGGGAAAAGTTCCGTTTACTTCTTTAGTGTGTACAGATTTTCGCCCCTTTGTAACGGTTTCCAATGTAATGTTGGAAGGAAGGTTGTAAAGCAACCAACTCAATCAAGTCGCAGTTGTTGTTGTGTAGGGGAGTCTTTGTGTAGGGGAGTCTTTGTTAAGGGGAGTTATGAACGGTCTAGAGAAAGAAAATATGAATTTTGAATGCCGATTATTAGAATAAGCATGATAAATTCGTTTTTCTGAGATCGCTACGCTGTCTATTGGCCTATATTTTTAAGATCAAGCCTTTTTTAAGAAGGTAGCATATGCTTTGTTAGTCTCGCTCTCATTAATGCGCGTGTTTTATCGTAGGCAGACCTTACTATTCTTTCTTTCGCCTTTTTAGTACTGCACTTAGCATTCAATTTGTTTCTGTTTATCTTTGATGTTTGGTAGAGCTTACATTTATTAACGTGCATCAGTATGAAAGTGTTAATTTCGTTGCTTTTTCAAGCGACGCAGGTCACAACCGCTTTCAGTCGGCCCTCTTTGTGTAAATTGGTTTGTTTCCCACAGCGTAAGAAGCTATGAGAAGATTTATAATTGTATTTGATAATTTCTTAGGGTGTGCATAGTTCTGGAATCCTGACTTTGCTTTTTTCTTTGATGTGTTATTAAGGGAAACACTTTACTCCTAGTCAGTAAACTACATCGGGTAATTTTTTCGATTCAATTATTGGCTAATTTTGAATGACGACGCACCGTATTTAATTATTTAACACCATATCAGAAGAAGATTTGACTTCGGTCCTCTTCTTATCTGTAACTGGTCCCAGCATAAAGAGCGGAACAAAAGAAGTGGGATCTTCAGGCGCTAGAATTAACCTTTGCTGTTTATTTGAGAATTTTTTACCTAAAACCCTTGTGTATGAAATGCAAGAAAACTTCGCCCCTGCTCGTCATGGCGTCAAATTTTAGCATACCATGCTTATTTATTAACGAATCTCTCAAGATGGCTGCTACTCGCTGAAATTGTCTCATTTCCTGCTCGTTAAAGCTTGAACTTTTGCCAGTATAGTTAACTGTACGGTTGCAAAACGCAATGCAGTTTCGTCTATGTCTTTTTCACATCTGTATGATCAGTATCGCATCGCAAGGTTCCTTTCATATTGTTTGTCAACGGCGGGCCATGAAATGCATCGTTGAGCCGTTCAGGAATGCTGCATAGAGAGAAGTTTTAAAACAAATGAACCAGCTTGCTGTCCGTAGAGATCTGATACGGGGAAATCACTGGTAAAAGAAACCAGTTATTGTCTTTGAGTATTAATCGTGCCATTCGAATGACGTTTTGCTTCTTAATAAGCCAAATTATAACGATTCCTTTCACTCACTTGTCTACTGTTTCGTCCGAATATTTATCAGCTTCACCCTTTATTTTGCTTAATAGGATCTGTTCCTTTAATCCTGGAATAAAAGCTAGTCCGTGTTTTAGCTTGAAACCGACTTTCAATCACATAGTTCTACCCATGTTTATATTTACATTGTTACGAGCGAATGATATACCTGGTTTTGCTGAAGTCTAACCAGTTGTAAGGAAACCAACGCGTGCATAGTTGTTATTGTTACTGCGATTTCGATCACAGTCAAGTTCCTGGTGGCTTTGGAAACAGTCATGCATACTAGAGCCCGAATGGAATGGCGATTTAGCGCGTTCGTTGTGCGGAGGTGCCATGCTGCAAAACGCTGTTGCTGAACGCTATAAGATGGGTTATCATGCTACTCGCCAGAACCCCTTCAAGCCAAACCCAACTAGTCGTATGCAAAGGTACCCCGTACTGCTGCTTCAAGGGTAAATCATTCTATTTTCTCGACTGTTTTACTCGTCAAAATTCCTATTTATAATTGAGCTTGTATTTTGTATGCGCTTGTGTTTGAGAATTCCGTCAATAAAAACGTTTTCATCACAGCTTGTTGATAAATTGTGAGTTTAAAAAAACAATGATGCATTCGCTGATTTTTTCGAGTGAAAGTTTATGCGAATTCACACCGCATCAATAATTTTCACTTTCGAATTTTCCTTTTCCATAGTATCAATAGTTCGCGATATCGTGTTGGTATTACTGCCGTTGGTAATGTTCTGTAGTATTGTGTGTTATATACAACAATGTTCTGTTTATTCGCTTCCTTTTCAATTGAGGTCCTGTATCGTGTTGAAGCGAGAAAAGATTTTCTCGGATCATTTCAAATTCTTTTATTTATCTGTGGAATTTTGAGAGTTCTCATATTGCAGGCATTGAACTTCAAACCGTTCGTTTTTCTATTTATTTCAACCCGTTCTTACTTCCCATTTATAGCAGCTGATAACTCAACAAAGATCTTTTTTCGATAATCTAGCTGCATAATTTTCTTTGCAATAGACAACAAGGACATAAACTCTCTTCCCATTGCTTCTTATCTCAAACCGAGCATTGGTTTTATTTCCAAGTGCTAAACAGGTGGATAAACCTAAACAATATGTTTTTATCAATGAACCTGCATGGACGTTTACAATCTAAGGCTGCCATGATTGTGCCTGCCATTATTCTGCCTGTTACGATGCTGCCTGCCCGTGTATCTGCGAGTCAAGTGTAACGTGTAATATATTGATTCCTAATGCCCTCATTCCTTCTAATAAGCAAGTTTGGTGCAGAGGAAATTTTAAATTTTGTTTTCTTAAATTGAACAAAAAACTGGCCTTGGTTTAATAAAAGCTACCATACATCTGGTAGGAAAAGGTCCGAAGAAGATTGTGCTGGATTTTTGCATTGCTGATTGAGTTCCGATAAAGCAATATCAGTTTTACCTTTTAAAACAAGAGACACGCCTACGACTGCTCGATAAAGCGTCAGTTCATAGCACTCCCGGTAACAGCATCGCGCCTCAATCGACATGTGGCTTATCAGTATTGGCAGACTAGAGCAGGAGATTTACAACTTATTACATTTGTCACATAGTCGCATTTCACAAGATGTATCTCACACCCCATCTCCTCCTCTTTAGAAATGAATCTTAGCTTCCTTTCAATTTATCAATTACAAATATGCTAAACAACAAATTCAGTGCTTAGGTCAGCATTTTTGAGTCTCGCCCTCATCGGGATAATCTAGCGATTTGTTATGGCAGTGACCTTGTTCCTCTTTCCTGATCTAGCCTTCTGCTCCTTACCCCGACAGCCTGGATTATATAATTGCAGATTTCCAAGCATCGTTCTCTTTATTTGCACATCCCACCCGTGGCTTTGTAACTTTAGAAACTCTTTTTGTCTTTTGTATACGTTGCAGCATGGTCGTCTTGACAAGATGAGTAAACACTATAAAACTATGTTTTAGCTTCAGGTGTACCTGCATTAAAAATCTTGTTGAAAAGCACGAGGCTTGTTTATTCCACACAACAACTCTTAATCGTATGGATTTCAAATATCAGGCTGTTTTTGTGCCTTTTCTTTGTCCTGAAGCTCCGCTGATACGCACTCAAATACATATATAATTCCATCTCGCTAACGTATTAAGCTTTCTTCGTTACCACGATCCACATTGGCCATCTGATTGCATATTCAATTAAAATTGTTGAGAGCCGTACTTCCAATTCGCCTTTATGTTGTAAAGCTACCTCTATGTTTCAAGACCCAGACAGGAAGGCTAGAATTTGCAACATTTCTATTAATGGCTATTCTTCTGATGATCAAGAAAAAACTGTCAAGACTTTAGTTGTTATAACTATTTCATCATTGCTATGCTAGTTTGACTAATCTTTTAGCAAGTGCACACTATCTGTGTACCCTGAACAATATTTACTGGTTTGTCAGTAGCCTAAAGAGGCGAAATCGTTCTCATTTACAAATTCTATAAACTTGCGAAAATTAAGTTCCCGCTTCTTGGATTAGAACTTTTGATAATTTAATAGAAATGGTTTTATTGTGCCTTGACAAAACACACGGCCTGCACCTGGCTCAATATTTTTCAAACTATCCTGTTTGGCTTATCATTTTTCAAAGGTTTGGTCAGCGTTGTTGTGTTATTAACTCTATGGTAATGCCGTATTTTCCCATGTCCAATTTGCTTGTTAAATAAGACTCTGTTGTGAAATAATCTATAAACAGACATTTAAATCGCCCGAAAGCACTATGGTTGTCTGGTAGCAAATGCTTGAAAATGACTTTGTAATCACGCATCTTTCCAGTGTTGGTAGGTCGGTGCCTCTTATCCATCCAGTAAGGAGTATTTAATTTTCGTTGTGCAACGTATTTGCAATGAATGAATTCTCATAGAATTTTTTGTGGGTTTTCCACAAGAGATGGCAGGCCTGCAATTGACTGCTTTATCTCTGTCAAAACATTTCAATACAATCACAGGTTCCCTGCACCTTAAGGGAATGAGTAAGTTCTGCTATTGTTTCAGGGCTGCTCCAGTCGCATGTATATTAAATAGTTAATAGGTTGAGCAGGTGGAATTTGTGTGCATATCTCATGTAATCCAATTTCTATGGCAATCGCTATTGCATATGTTATTGAATTTTCTGGTGATGTGTGTTGAAACTCATGAAAATGGCTGTGTTAGTTAAATCATCGTGGTTAGATGAAGTTAACTATGGTTACGTTATCCAACTGTTTCAACAAATGTCCCACAATTTCTAAAGCTTAGCCCTTATTGGGTAAATGAGACGGCTACGACCGTGCCCTAAAATGACCAAAAATTAAAAACCATAGCTCTGATCACTGTCAACTTCAAGAAACTGTCCGAAATCCTTCTTTAAAGATGGGATGGATTTCTTCGACTATCAAGTACCTTTTTCTGTTAAATTGACATAGATGGTAAATAGAAGAACTCCTTGTGGCTGTTTTCCCATCTAGAAAGTAGCTTTTCAGTACACGGGGCGTGGTGGGAATTTTTATGGGCCGGGGAAGTCAAGTTGTTAGGGGCACACCATTTTGAGGCTTATTGCTTGTTGTTGCCGTCACTTATGATTATTGGAAATGAGTGTGGCGGAGGCAGCGTTGGGCCTAGCTTCACTTGTTTTTTCTTACAAATCTGATGTTACAAATGATAAAAGCTTAAAAGGAAGAAAAATCCAAAGGGCTCACACGAAAAGTTTTAAGGGGCCTACCGGGAAATTCCCTGAGTCCCGGTGGACCACCACGCCCTTGGTTCTGCTGCTAAACAGATATACAGGTCCGGCCAACTTGGGTTGAGAAAAAACAGAATATTCTTTTAGCTCCTAACTAGTTTTCTCTGCCAGCCATCGATTAGTTCCATACCGCTAAGGCTTATATATAGGTAGACGGGAGTTTCTACGTAATTTATACGATGTAAAACTGTTCTTTTCTTTTTGATTATTCTTATTATTACTATAAAGTATCACCATTGCAGAATTATAGCCTGTTATGTCACAACTGATAAATCAAAGCAAAATGTCTCTATATTAATGAGATGTAAATTGAAGAAGGCTCTTTTTCATTAGATGTGCTAGAACCTTTTAAGACTTTCAAACATTTACAAGCGTGAGAAGGAACTGCCAAGGGTCCTTTTTTATTGCCGTGTCAAAGAATACAAAGGATCTGTGGTCAGCGTGTCTGAGCCCTTTGCTTTCTAGTACTATTTTTATTGACCTCCTATCTGCCCAAAGTCTTTCGTAAGCAAAGGACTTTAACTCTTTTATTTTTTCTTTACATGTCGAGTGCCTTGATTATTTTAGGCTAACCATGTTTTGGACACCGTCGTGATTCTTCTTCAATTTTGTCTTTTGATGACATTCCTCAACGCTCTGTTTCTTAGCGAGCTTTCATTTTTTCTACGGAGATCTATTACGGTGGTCGCTTGTTGCTTGTGATGTCCCCGAAATCAACAGTCGAAATTGTTTGTCCCGTTTCTTAATAACTCGATATAATAGAACTTTTTGTGGTATTCTAATTAACAATGATGTAACCTTTTTTCCTTTAGTAATCTTCGTGACAGTCCGACACTAGCCCTAAAACCAAGCAAATTGCTATTCTAATTAACAATGATGTAACCTTTTTTTCCTTTAGTAATCTTCGTGACAGTCCAAAACCAAGCAAATTGCATTTTTCTGTTTTATAATTCATCTTCCTTTTGGTAACCAGGAGCCTTTAACATTGCCAGACCGATGTATTTATCCCTAGGCCGATGTGTTCTTGCCTAGGCCGATCTTATTTGCAACTGATAACACCTGTTTTGCTGCATTTGTCTAAGCATCTAATGTTTTGAGTGACTCTACCGTGTATAATTTTTAGCCACTAATCACAAAATTTAAACAATCATTCTCCAATATCTGCAGTTCTTTACATCTGACACGATGAATTTGAAAACCCACGGTCTTATTATTTCTTCTTATTCTCGTTACAGTCGTGGTATCTCCAAGAGCAGTATAGACAGTTTACAGCCGCTACCCGAACGTCCTGAAGAACAGGTTCGCCTGGCATACTATGGCAAATTGCCTTCTACAAAGCAAGACAGCTTGGATGCTTCAGATTTCGAATACAGAGGACTTGAGTCCCCATTACCCCTTGATAAAGAGAGTGAATGCTTACGGGAAAGCCTCGATTCTAGCAGAGACCAATCGGAGCTGTCAGACAGCAACACGTGGTCTGTATGCACGGGCAATTTAACTGGCAGAAGCAGCGTGTACAGCTGGGGAAATGATGATGTACGTTGAAAAAGTTGTTTATGATATGAACAATCAGAATCCCTTTTTTAATTTATTGGTGCCTGTGACTTAGACAACAAATTATCTTCGACCCATGCTGGCATGAAAAAGATATCCTTATTATTACGACACAACTGAGATCGAAATTCTTATCTATTTTCAGAAAAGTTGTTTCTTAAACGTAATAAATTTGTCGTTTCAAGTGTTATTATATTTCATACTAAATGGATGAATGTATAAAAAGCAGGAAAAGAATGACAATTTGAAAATATAGAATATCCTTATGGCAAATGGAATTTTAAGGAATTCTAGATTTCAGAGCAGCCATTTTAACAAGCAACCATTTTAACTAGCACCCATCAATCTAGATCAAGACTTTTTGAAGTGGATAGGATAAGGCTCAATTAGAATTTTTGCCTGTGCCAAAAGGAGTTCGCTATACTTCATCAAGCAATGCTGTTATCTTGGTAACATGTGTGCAAACTGAAAGCTGCCTGGAGATTCGCAAAATGTCCGAATCAAGTTAATTTCTTATTTGTCTGATGTCATCTGATTTATCAAAAATATTAACACAGAATCGATTTAGCAGTCTGGTTTCTTAATCCTGATTTTTCTTATTGGCCTGCGTTTCCTTTTCCAGACTGTTCTTTGTTTGGAAATATATTTCGCAAAACCATTAATTTTAAACCAGTAAATCCTATGTATTTCGGAAGTCAACTGACCTTAAAGATGGGAACGTGACTTAAACGTGCGTTTATCAGATGCTGTTCCTATTCATATCTACAATAAATCTAATCTGAAGGCAGTGATTTTTCTAACTTTGAATTATCTTCCAATACTCAGTAAACGATTTCAATCCTTTTTGAACTTGAGCTGTTGCGAGGTGGATTTCACTAGGGTGCCAAATTCGTATCCTGCGTGGGCTGTAGCAACGTGGACCTTTATTTCCTAGGTTTCTTCGTAAAGCTGTGTGCCTATTTTCAATGTTTTTCCTTCTTGCTAAGTGTTTTTAGCGAAACTTTGCTCAACGGCTCCGCTAACATTAATTTTGCTCTCTCTCTTTTTTAATTGTGAACATAAAAATCTATTTTTGAATCATAGGAGTTTGACAGACAAGCGTCTGCAACTGTCCGGCAAATGTTCGACGAGATTGACGAACTGCTTTTTGAAGAAAACGAATCCAAAGGTTAGTTATTTGACAGTGATACAGTAAGACTTTATAGCTAATCATGGGGTAAGAATGCACCCATATTTAGTCATCCCTGGGTGTACTATTATATTTCCTATTTGTTCTTAGCGATGAGATTAACATTGGTCTTTTGGGTTCCATGGGTACGTGAAACCCTAAGCGCTATTTCCACCACCATAAGTAGCCTTATAGCATCATAATATTGACGTTTAGTTTTCGAGCTGTTTTCGATTTTAAAGGAAATAATTTCATGTTATTTTACAAAAATGTTCGCATTTTGTAGCTTGCAATAAGCCTCAACAACTATTATCTGGTTCGTTTGTCACAGTTCCTAACACAATTAAAAGTTACTTAATAAAAACGATGTGAATTGGAGAATTTGTTTTTAGTAATCCATTTATCTTGTGTAAGTTGAGGGGGTCTCATATTAAAACTGAGAGAATGCTTGTTTCTAATCAAAAGTGGAATTTCAAGAAAATACCGAACGCTCGATGATATATAGAATTCAACTTTGATATAATTAACACACACGCTTTTAGTTGGTTTGAATCTCGTTTTGAACGTTTGAATGTTACAAACAATTTCTATTTTCCCTCAAAGACCTTTCCACGCAGGTTGTGTTTGAATTTACTTACTTATTATGTTTGATCGCCAATTTTAAGGAAGACTGCTTTGACAGCCTAATTTAATCGGGTTCTGCTTAACATTGTTTAACCCCAGAATAAACATGTCCCACGACTGCATTGTGTCCATTAACACGAGGTTTGCCTTTGGTTTACCGGAATTAGTATCACTTTCTCCACAAGTGACATGGCCTTGTGGTTTTGCTTTTTGCCTCCTCTCTGCAATGCCGTTGACTTCCTTAACTGATATCTAACTAGCAATCTTGACAGAGACTGTCCAATTAGAGTGATCACCTCTTTCAAAAATCAGTTCCTTGTTCGGTAATGACTTGTGTTTTGTTACTTGATGCCTTCTTTGTAGATACTTTGTTATCGTTATTTCATATCAAATTTCATTTCAAATTGTTTGGCATAAGACGTGTTGTAGCTCGTATTCCTGTTCAGATTGAAAGATAAATATAGACTTTGTCGTAGTTTGTAGAAAACGACACATTTTTACCTTCTCCAAATAGAAACATCTAAAGAATTTTAAGGCAATGTTTTATCGGATTAAACAGAGTGAAATTGAAGCGAATTAATAGTAACACTTGCGTGGGAAGGTCTTATCGATGGTTGTCTTCCAGAAGTGTTGTTCTAGCCCATTTTATTTTTGGGGTTGCCTGTCTAGGCCGATCAAAGCTAGCAAAACGAACCGTTGAGTGTCTCAAGTCCCGTAAAGGGCTACGAGAGCTTTGTAAAAGTGTTTACGGCAGTAAAGAATTAAAGTTCCATATCCCACAGAGATGAAGCCGTTATGGTTTAATCCATGGTTAAAACTGATTTGAATAGCAATGATACAATGATACAAGCAATGAAGCCCATTGCTTCATTGTAGTATCTTGCTCGTTGGATTGGTCCCAAAGAAGCTTCGATCGATTGCTATTTGATGTACATTCTTTGAAGCTAGCGCCAGTTCTGTATATTAACTGATCATTTCGCAAACAGCCACAACTCTTTGCTACTGCAGAAGGACAATGAGATTACGAAACCCAAGGGTACTATCACATCCGCATTTAGTAGCCAACGGTATAATCCTCCTTACTCAACCGCGGTTGTTTTAGAATGTACATATGCCAACAAGCCAAAGAAGTGGCGCGAATGTTAATTTGACATATAAATGCAACTCTGTTTTCATTGTAATATGGTTGATTGATAAGTTTCGTAAAGTTTAGACATCCAAGTGTCCCCTTGTTCTGAATATCTTTTTTAAGACCCCAAACATTCTTTATTTGCTTTTTGGTTGCTTTTTACATATGCGTTTAGTCTCATAGCTATTATTCCCATGAATTTTTCGCTATTTATATCAAGCCTTTTAGCATTTCTTTTAGAAGCTTTTCGAATTATTTTTGATTTGTGTCAAAGAGCCTACGAAATTGTTATTTTTTAGTCTCTTTACTTACGTTTTGCCGCCATTTTGCTCCTCAGAAAATGACCCTTTGACATTAGAGTGCAAAGAATGGTCGACGAATTTTCATCATATGAGGTAAGTGGGACCATTTCTGTAAAATAAATAGATTTATTTCAATCTGAATGATGCATCTTTACGTATGTTCGCCGTCCTTGGTTCTCATATTCGACCAGTTTTATGATTGAATGTGTTGACTTCAGCATGCTTGTAAATAGCTTTGCTGTTAACTACAGGGTAGTCGGCAGCCAACTGCTGTCACCAGACGACACTGGAACACAGTTCATTGTCACAAGCGAAAAGGACAGAGTTGGCCCTTATATGCGACCAGATACCGCGATAACTGCCATTTCTCTTGATGACGTCACGGCTGAGACACTCGCTGCTACTTTCAACGGGTAAATACGAGCATCCAGTTTCCCTGTCACACAGTAAGGTGTTTGATATATACACAACAAGCTCAATTAGAAATTAGAAATAACTGCAATCAAATTCTTTGAATGTGTATTAAGCATCTAGTGTTTTTCGCCTTGAATTAGAAAATAATTGATAACAAAGTACAGAAAATGTTTTAGGGTTACGTATACAGTTTTGCGAAGTCATGATTATCATAAATTACCTAGTCAAAATGGGGTATGGAACCGAAGATTTAATGCTGTTCAAATGTAAATAAGTATTTGAAATATACCGAATCGCCTGTCATTGTGCATCCTTCAGAATTTAGTCTTAAGCTACACACTTTGCTACGTTCTCATTTCTTCCACAGACTTTCTTTAAGCGGGCAGAGAATCGAACCTGCAATACCGCCTTCGATGCATTCGAGTATAAATTCAGAAGGTACATCAATTTATCGTAAACATTTTCACACTCGAGTTCTTTTGTGCACACGAATGAAGTATAAAATTTCCTTAGTTATTGAGCAGTTATCACTTATGAGGGGAATGGTTAGTCCTCGTTTTTAAATATCGAAATATGCGCAGGTTTAAGCATTCTTCGAAGATTCTGTTGATAATGAAAAATGATGAAGTATTTCAGTCCATTGTCCTTTTATTCTTTTGATAGTTTTAAGAAAAAGACTGCTGTTTCTTTAATTTCACTCATGAGTTGCTCATTTAAGATTCTTACTTTGGATGGCAATTACAATACATCGTCATAAAGACCACAATGTTCATTGATTTCATTCTCAACGATAATTCATTGAAAAGGTTTTTCTTCACAGATCCATTTCAACAGTTTCATTTGCCCGTGAAATTGCAACTTGTTTTGATGTTTCCACTGATAATTTTCATTGTGAGTGTCATGCTAGACAATCCATGTGCTTATCTTCGTGGTTGCCCAGTTACTAATTATTTTTGTAACAATCCTTATTGATTTATGGATTTCCTGCAGATAATCATTCTAATCCATATTCACATTTGGAAGAAGAAATTTACGCGGCAGATGGCGACCTAGAAGAATATTTTGCCTATGATACCGAATTTGTGTAAGTTTTTCTTCGAGTCAAATTTTAAGAAAGATGGCGTCGAACGCGATCGAGTGGATGTTGAAAATTCAATTATGACATTTATTTTTGAATATATATGATATTTGTGTTACTGTAACTTTGAATTTATAACGCATATTTATCTTTTATTGTCATTCTTCTATGGGAAGGAAAATATTCAGTTTACTTTACGCTGCATACTTGCTTTGTTTCCTGAAAGATTGGGAATATTTGCCATTTGCAAGATGATCATTTATTATATTCATAATTATCGCTTCTTTCTAAGGATGTGTTTGTTTTGTATGCAATTTACTCTCGAGTTCATTTTGCATCAATTCATTTTGAGTTTTGCGATGTTAATATGAAAAATTTCAATCAATTGCAGCGAGCCATGGGATACAGCTAAGGACGAAAGGAAAAGCAAGAGGAACAAGCAGTGTGGTTACCCCCCGGTCACCCCACATGCCTCTGCCACTGACAGTCTCATCAGTGAAGCATTCGATCGCCTTTGGATTGAGGTACTAAATTTTGATGCAACTTTTACTTTCATAACTAAGCTATATTTCGTTTTGGATAATCAACCATTTTTTTATATCAATTTTTGTGCTTACTGACATCTCGTAACTTTGCAGGCTGTGCAAAGCCTTCGAGCGTTGCTGCTTCTGTTTACTGAGAGGTCGTCAGGGGGTAAGTGTTACCTTTAGATTCGTCAGCTACTTTGGCTTCATCTTCATTCTCCAAATGATTAACATAGAGAACCTTTTGTTTTCTAAAGCAACTACATCTATTCATTTCGACCCCTTACCCAAATGACAATTTTCTGTAACTTTATACTTCAATTTATGTATATTATTAGCTGGTAGTCCTTATCTCTAGTAAATATTAAATTTTTGAACTCTTTAGAATACGCAAAGTCCCTACTGCCGGCTCAAGTTCGACAAAGCGAAAATTCATCGGTCCGGACATTTTCCAGAGATTCTTCCTTCCGGACGGGTAATTTCTCCTCTCAGGTGTGCATCAATAACAATTTATTTTTATTTATATACTAATTTATTTTTACCGATATTTTCTAATAACAACTTATCAGTAACCACCGATAGAAAGAAGTCTAGTTTGACAGTAGATTTATCGCCCTTCTGATCTTTCAGAAAGTTTTATGCTTTTACTGTTTCTGCCTTTGATACTAAAAAAGTTTGAAGATAGCACGGAAAAGCTTATTTCACACCTATACCAAAAGTAAACAGCGCTCTTTGGACTTCAAAAGCGGTACATTTTTTCAAAGGAGACATCTTGTCAAACCACTCTTTTTGCCTCAAATTAATTTCGATTTGCATATCGATACAATCTCGATCATCCGTCCTCTAATACGATCGTTCATGCTATGTATTGGACCAAATTTTCTTAATTGTTCGCGTTCTACGCTCGAATTTATGTTTCTCTGGTGCCAAGTGACGCTTTTCAATGCCATCTAGAAATTCTTTGACATGTCATTTTTAGTTTGGATTCAAGTCATTTTATGGTGCTCCTCCACACATCTCTGATGCGATGGGCCTAAATGAATTGATGCTGATTAGGTCGTTGTCGTTACGACACCGAGATTCAACGGCTTCTACCATGGCGTGAGTTTCCTTAATATCTCTCCATTATATTTGATCACCCAATTATAGCGTATTTTCTTTGCCAAGTAAGTACGACGATGGTGCCATTTTCGTTGTACATTATACATTGGTAATTCTTGAGGAACCATCCACTAAAGCATACAAAATAAACTTCATGATATGTTAAAGATATTAATGTTGTCTAGATGCTAGTCATTTTGTATTATCGATATCCAAATCATGAAAAATTAAGTATATACTGTAAGTTTATTTTTCATAATGCATGCAAATATTACAGACATTGATTCAAATTTGTTTCCCTCTAATGAGTTTAGAATGAAATGAAACGGTGTGGCATTTAAAATTGTCTCCAATCAATGTTTTAACCTTTACTCGTACGCTGCAAAGTAATTTATTGAAGCGTAGTCGATTGTACAGTTTTAATTTGTATATTATTTATTTTAATATATTACTTAATATCTTTTTTCGCTGAAAATTTGATGTGTAGAAATATTGACGAATAAAGATGAAATTTTGTGCAACATCCTATAAAGTTTATTTTTCTTGCACCAGGCCTAGAGATGAAGACTACTCCGCCCCTATGTCCAGCCACGAACAGGTACAATAAATTTGGGTCTTTACTTGTCAAACTCTGTTGAATCTAAGCTTCTTGATACTGCAAAAACGTAAGTAATTTGAAATTAATTTAGCTTTTTTAAACGTGTGCATGCATTCAGCTTAATCCTACATGATTTGGTTGTTTTATTATTGATTATATCAATACCATCATCAAGAATAAAATACATCGATGGCGTTATCATCCAACTTTCGTCAATAAAAGGGTTTTGTGCCAAAACTTTAAACGTCCATGTTTATTTTTTTTTCAGTTCAGGCCAGTCTCGAGTAATTTCCCGATCACAAAAGGTTTCCATAACAACATTGGTATGCACCAATCGGACCACCAACTGTACGGAAAGATGGCGACTGCAAAAGCCTATAAGAGGTAAGCCACATCCTGAAATTTTATAATTTTCTCTTTATTTGACTTTGAAGGCATCTTAACGCTTTTGTTCATCATGTTTAACAATTTGTGAATGTTTCTCTTTCACAAAGCAAGGGAGTTGTTGACTGCGCAAAGTTTCCTCCTTTAGTGTCACATGGAATATCCCTGTTTTGTACACAAACAACCTTCTATAGAACGGATTCTTTACGCTGTTTACGCTATAGAGCAGTCACTCAGGAATTATCAACTTTAGCATAACCGTTGCAAAAGCTACAGCTTTCTTCATTGTTTTCTGTTGTGTCACATCATCGAGGGCTGCAATTTACAAGAATTTTCTTTACAGTTAGTGGTTGATGTCGGAATGAGTTGGGTGCAGTTATAAGTTGCAAACACTAGCCTATTGGCTGTATTGTGGTTTCTTCATTATCCATGCCAAAATACTTATTACATCATATATGTTTTATAGATCAGGAAGGCTTCAACCGCTGCAACCAATGGATCGCATTAAAACGCCAGGAACTCTGGTAAGACCTTGCCTTAACCGCCTGTTGAAAATGGGAATAGATTCCGAGCTATTTGACTCAAAATCCCTCTGTTTCTGTCAAAATCTTCATTTTGAAAGTTTTATCCAGGGTATAAATTCAGTAGAAATACTGTTTTATATCTGAGCCATTTGTTTCGAAATTTTATAAAGCATATAATCGCAGTTGTTTAGCACTGTCAACTATTACGCTGCCTGTTCTGCTTAGGAAAATATCTCTTGATGGGTGGAATTAATTTGTTTAAATGATTTCAAGTAAAATTCTTAAAGTTCATTTTACTTTAAGTCAATTATGTAAGGTAGATACTTTAAGGCAATAATTTCTTTAAGTAAGTTTGATGATCATATTGTAGGGTTGTGCGAGGTGCTAATATTGCTATAATGCGTGCACTATCGCTTTGCTGTTTCTCAGTTTCTTAAATAACTGTTATTTCATTTTCTGAAGTGGCTTATCAGTTCCTTGCTTATTAGCAGGACAATGACGTCATCGGAGAAATGGTCATCGGTACGAGGCTTCATACTGCTGGAGATCACAGGGCACCAATCAACAACTTGCCAGCTTTTTCTCCGCAGTTATGGTGGGTTTTATATTTTCATTAGAAGGGATACTTTTACCCGTGCTGATTTCTACAAACAAGTGTGCACTTAACTTTCTTTCAAATTCTGAAAGCCCATAATTCTTTGTTGCCTTTAATCTTCCTTTAGCATCTACAATATACCAGTATTTATGTTATTTGAAAGAGACGAATGAATATGGAATATTTGAAGCTTTTCTATTCCTATTGCTGTCTTTCTAAATTTACCTTTTTCCTATGCATCACCTCATACGAACGTTTTTACTACAGGGGTGCGAAAAATGGAGCTTTGCCGCCAATAGAGAGACCGGATTCGGCGGAAACATTGTCAAGTTTAGCGAAAGACCAAACAAGAAGTCCGGTGAGATATACACTGACATTTCCTGATGCTTTTTCTCTCTGACTGATTCGTAAAGTTTACTTAAAAGTCACTTTTCTTGCAGCGAACTGTTTGATTTAAAAAATACAGATATGGCCCGTCATATGACGTATTTTTTACGCGTCACAGTCAAGTGAATTTTTCGCAACTAAGGATACATTGAAAAAGGGAATGGATTCCAAGCTATTTGAATCAAAATGTCTTTCTTTCTGTCAATATTTTCATTTTGAAAGTTTTACCAAGAATACAAATTCAGTAGAAATACTGTTTTATATCTGAGCCATTTGTTTCGAAATTGTGTAAAGCATATGATCGCAGTTGTTTAGCACTGTCAACTATTACACTGCCTGTTCTGATTAGAAAAATATCCATGTTGTACCAGGTGATTTACAACAGAATTCACAATTTTTTTCTAGAAGCAACGTCAACATGTTTTTAATAAGAGGGCATCGAGTGCAGCAACCAATGAGACAAGGTGAGCTGCTCCGTGTTTACTGTTTGATGAAAGTAGCGGTGGTCTTTTTCCAGTTAAATCCGTCTGTTCTGTTTGTTTATCAAGTTTGCTTAATACTACACACCAAGCCACGATTTTAGCACACTACCGATTTGTTAACCACTTTCTTAACCACTTTGTTAAACCCTTTGATAAGTTTATGAACAGAGCTACCGTCAACTCGCTCTTGGTCTCTCTCGCCCATTTCCTCTCTCTTTCGTTCTCTTGATCTGCCCCATATATGGTAAGATTTTAAGAGCTACAGTGATGTCAGGTGTGATCTTAAAGGAAAGATATGATATATCAGGTTGTTCCATGTGAGGGCTTTAGCTATCTGTTTTCCACCCTGAATTAAAACAGTTTAGATCCAGAATTTTTAACAGGCGGTCTAGCAACAACAAAAATCATGGACTTGAGCTCTGCAATCGATTCATTATCAAGTTCTGGTCCTTAGTAAGCTAGCTATTAGGGATGCAATGTTAAGCTACTATTGCTGATTTTTTTGACAAATAGCTTGATGAAATTCTATTTCGCTATTAATTTGCTTAAGTTGACATCTTTGGGAATAGAAAGAATAGAGAAAAATTGAATTTGGAGAAAAATGAAGAAAAAAATTTTATCAGGGAAAGTTTACTTTACATGGAAAACTGTTTTTAACTCTGGAATATGAGTATCACGACGCTATGATATTCCTGCAGGATAATTTTATTATGAAAGCTGGTTCATTTACCAACTGCTAGTGGTATTTATGTTACTCATCAAAATAGGCAAACAAGCCCTGTGTATTCCTGACTTTTTCACAGAATATTTCATATTCAAACGCCTTCTGATTATGCATTTCACAGCTTATTACATTCAGTGATTTGACAAAAAGCCGGTTGTCACGCAAGCGTTGTTTGTTTCGATGTGATGTGATATGATGTGATGTTCAAACCTATACGGAAGAACCTCATTATCCATTCCTAAAGCCCTGGTCAAACGATCCAACATCACCCAACATTTCGCCCAACATTTCGTTATATTGTCCATAATTAAAGTGAAGCAAATGCGATTGTTGAAACGAACGAAACCAGCTCAAGTAAACAACAACGATGCTATGATGGAATTGTGGCGCTCTTTAACCAGCTGCGCGTGCGCAGAGCTAACAGTGTTGGCTGAAGTGGTCAAACGATCCAACATTTCACCTAACACTTCAAAACAGTAGAATTGTTGGATGTCGGCAGCCAACATTGTTGACCTCAGTCAAATTTCGTCCTACATCGAAATTTACGATGTTGGGTGACCCAACAAGGTGGTCAAACGATCCAACATTGCGCCCAATAACATTGGGTGAAATGTTGAATTTTTTGACCAGGGCTTAAGCAACATATTTTCCTTAGTTTTCCTTAAACAATAAGGTTCTTAAGAATGTCAAAAGACCAACATCACTTGAAACAATTTACTTTTATTGTTGTCAGTTTCTTAGTTGATTTGTTTTTATAACTTCTTCTTGTCTATTTGAAATCTGCACAATCTGCCTTACCTTTTCTAGGCGTACTTCTCATCGTGAAAAGGTTGCTGTGTTCCCAGACTCAAGACCGAATACAACACACACATTTCGCGTAGGTCAACACATTTCGCGTAAGCTAATTAGAAATCAGACTTGTAGAGTCAAAATCGTTCTTTAAACAGTATGCCGCTATAAATAATTAACGCTAGCTTTGTTTTCGAACCCCGAGAAAGCAATGTGTATTTCATACAGGGTGCGATTAATTCAACACTTTTCGTCCAGCAAATGTTGCTTGCTCGTGCTAAAGATCACTCATTCGATCTGTCTTGTTATATACTCTATCGTCAATGATGATCTACCGCTCACTATTAGGGAGCAGACGTATTTCGTAATCTTCTACTCCAACCAACCCCTTTCCCCCAACCCCCTTCCCCCAACCCCCAACCCCAATTATGGGCATCAGATATGTTGACATATAATCATCAGATATGAATTTATTTTATAAGCTTTTTCATTCCAGTCGGACACACCAGCGAGTGAAACTGCAAAGCGACTCCAAACTCAAGAGAAAACGTCGAACCTATCTACCGGGAACCATTTCCCAACTTCGGCGTCAGAGCCTAACGAAAATTCTATTGGAATGATACAGGGTGTCAGTCTAGCCCTTGGGACACATCACCAATCGACAAAAACTGTTTCGTTTGAAGAAGACGTCGAGGAGTTTAATAATTTTGCCACTTGGGGTGAGATTAAGCATGGTTTTCCTTCATTTTTGACCGAAATTATTTTACTTCTTTTGATATTTACTTCAAATTGTCGATTCTTTATTTTGCTACGTTCATTACTCTTTTGCCATCTTCCTTTCCTCTCTCATCATTCAGTTCTCCCTGATAAGTGTTGTTGGATCTTTATTGATACGAGAAAAATTTAGAGGGTAGATATTTGAAACCTTTCTGTCAGAGATCTTGATTTGTCAGCTTACGATTTTGAGATCTGCCGGAAAAGTCATAGATCACTTCTTCAAATAACAGTGTATAACTGGATGTTGCTTTATCCGAATTCCTAATGGATGTGGTAAAGGCGCTTTTTTCTGTGACTGTCCGACCGTGTTTTCGCATGACCGTTGCATCGCTTTGCCGTAGCTTTTCTGTTTAGGCTGAGTTTTTATTTTCACCGTAGGAAGCGGAACGCCATTATTGCATCAACATCACCAGAAACGACGACGAACTAATGTGAGGTAGCATGAGAACAATTTTCAATTCGAGAAGCTGAAATGATATTTAGTGTACATATATAGGAAATAATTTTAAGGGGTTGCTTGCCGAATAGATCTATTTAACGTAGGTGAATGACAAACAGTTAGAGAAGTGCGTGCTTTTGAAGCATAAACTTATTGATTCCCGCTACTGCTAGAAACAGGATACCCAACGAGCGAGCCTACACGATGCTAAACAGGCGTATGATCCATAGTTATGTCTTTCCATTCTGTCTCTTCTCTTCAAATTTGGAACAAACTTTCAGTGAAAACTTTCAAAAGAATTCACTTCAAAATGTAAGATCACCATTAGTCGATTCTTTTTGGTCTCTTCTCTTTGGGCCCTGCGCGACTAGTAATGCAGAAAACATGGAAAGTTAAATAATGGTTAATCTTTTGTAAATAAATGTAAAATGGAAGTTATCATAACTAGCCAAAAATTAATTGAAGATCTAATTAAAGGTCGAAGTCTTTTATGGACAAAAGTTTGTCAAAGCGTTTCTCTGTTTAAGAATTGTATCATATGTCGAGGATTGTATTTTCGGATATTTAATCTTTAATTTATAAATTGTTCGTGAAATATCTTGCAGAAAAGAAAAATATGAATTTGATGTTTCTTTTTGCTCTACCTTTTTCCTATATCTTTTCCCTCTATCGTTTGGTTAGTTTGGTTAGGGATTGTTTTAACTTGCCTATCATTAAATTTCGCGTTGAGCTTTCCATAATGGTCTTCTTAATGGTTTTAATAATGGAATTGGTTACAAAGTAAGCAGGAAGCGAAACAGAAACAACAAGTTTGTTGAGAGATTGTGAATCATAAGAAGAGAGAGGGTGTGGGGTCTTTATGGGACACATATATGTCATTTCCTTCTTTCTTTGTGTTTTGGAAGAAATTTTTTTGATAAAACTTCGGAACATCTTATGCTGGAACTTTTTTCTTTGATAGAATTTAGGATGACGTCATGTTAAAGAGTTTATGTGATATTTTTTGTGAATTTGAAATTGCATGATTGGTTATTTCATAACCTTGGCCCCATTCAGACCAACACAAGCTATGTTTTCAGATAGAACCTTAATAATTTTATCTGTCTAGATTCAGAAAGAAGTGAGTGCATTTGATTTGTGCTGATTAAGTTTTGGACGCTCTTCTTCTGTTCAACAGAGCAAGGTGGCTTTTTAAAAAAAAAAGTAACTGTGTGTACCCACAAAACATCATCGGTGATGGGAACCATCATCTAGAAAACATTCCGGTGGACAAACATCTCCCATTCTTACATCTTATCTTCTTCGGTCTAGAGCCACCTCATGTGGCAACGTTATGTTGAATTAAGTGATACTCCAACATCTCTTGGGCTGTGAAACTCCAATATGAAACAGGAAAAAAAGGGAAAATTTTCCGACACCAAACAGAATGTCGATGGAAAACAACTAAAACAAAAACAAAGTTGCAGTCCAGATCTACTATCACTGCTAAAACCATCGAAAATGTCGAGAGATAATACCCATACCGAGCTAAGTAAGTCATATGATAAGGTAAATATCAATGATAGTAATTACCAGAGAGGGATTTACCCAGGGGTGTAACGGATGCGACACCCCCTTTTTTGTGTTCTTCGGTAAATTTTGCTTTCATACATTAAAAAGCATTTTTGGCTAGTCGGTATTCACAAAATGATGCAAAAAAGTTGCTTTATTAATCTCCTTATCATCTTTAATTGAAAGTTAAAAACTAAATTTCAAAAATAGACGTTTCCATTATTTTCCAGTCACCTGAAGGGTGTGGCATCAAAGCCCAATCAGCATCCAACCCCCCCCCTGAATCATTGCCGCTTAAATCCGTCTCTTGTAATTAGCCTGGTGCTATCACAATGGCAGGCGAATCTAGAAGAATGGCATGCTTTATTGCTTTAAAAGTCAAGCCGAGGTGTGCCGAAATAACTTACAACGTATTTTAGTATTTTACTAATGAAAAGTATTTCACAATGTTTGACTTTGCTTCGAAAGTATTTTGCATACAAAGTTGAATGGGAAATTTGCAGTCGGTTTATGGGAAGTATAAGCCGGTTAAGATGGATTAAGGAAGATCTCGGATTGTATCATGAAAAATATTACAAAAACAGCTTGTTTGCTATTTAAGGGTCCTTTCCTTTGGCCTGGTATATGCGGGATCTTTTAAATCTGCTTAAGTTATGCATTAGGAAATAATACGCATGCAAGAAAATTCTTGATTCTTCCTGAAAATTTTATGCGATAAGTTTCCGCCTAGTAGTACTTGCAACCGGTCACGCATATGGCGAGGGATATTTTTTTGCACGATTTTTGATAAATATATCTGCGAAGAGTTTTGATTTGATTAGGAGCCTTCTGTGAGAATACTGAGCCCTTAGATGACGAATAATTATAACATTGTACTGATCACGTTCAGCTCATTTCACTGTTCAACTTAAGAAACTGTTCGAAAATTGTTGTATTAAAGATGGAATATAGATGATTCTTTTAGACGATTAAATTGTCTGGTTCAACCGATAAGGTTAAAGGTAAAAAGAAAGAAATTCTTGCTAAGTGTTTTGCTTTAAGTGTTCTGTCTCATTTTACGGTATATTACGTTCTTGGCTTCTAAAAAAGGAGCCTTTTATCTTTAAGAAACTTTTAGTTACAAAAACAACAAAATTAAGAAATTGAGTACTTATCCAGAGCTTAATTTTGTAAACAAATGTGCGTAATTCAGTAAGGCTTGCCGTCACTTATGCTAGAAACATAGAACATGGTTTTAGTATCACAAATGGCTGTTATCTGTATCAAACGTACACTGATATTGTAGGATCGTACAATCAATCTAGATATTGTAGGTTTTCGTGAGTGAGCTGCAGTGAGTTTCTGCAGAAGTGGTAACACGTTCTTTAATTCTGCGCAAGATACTGTGCCCGGTCTGGGGCCTAAGAATCAAGATCTAAACACGATCTGGACCATCACTTTTTGTGCGCTCTCAAGCTTCCTTTCTGAAATGAATATCATTTTAACATACCTTTTCAGCAAAATCACAAATATTCAGATCAAGCTGGGTACCTCTTTTAATTCCGTAATTTGTTCGTCTAACTGTTGTGGGCATGGCTTGTCCATCATCTTTCACAACCAGGCATCTTTCAAACTCCCTATCAAAATCAATCATTCTTTTTCAAATTTTTGTGAAATAATTTTACGAATAGAAAAATTGATTTTTCTTCTGTGGCATTCCTTGGCAACGGTACGAATACGGACAGCATCAAAAACTTTAAAAGGTCCAAGCATATTTTGCGCTACAGTTGAAAAAGACCAATGTATTGAACTTGAAATAATGATAGTACTGAAAATTCTGTCTTTTTCTGTCTTTGTTAATGCCTAACAAGGTAGTGTTAATTTCGAAATCCCGTCAACTATGAAGCAAATCAACCTTAGGATACAAAGAACAAAGCTGAATCGGTTAGTTAGTGAACTTGTATTGTGTAGTAAGTTACGATACAAGAAAAGGTAGCTTGTTGTCAGCCTCCTTCTCCAAGTTGAATCTAAAGTAACGTCTTGTGAATAAGTGCAATCAAAAAAGTGAATATCTAACAGGAATAATTAGACAGAAGATTACGTCGACATGATCTGCATAAGACAGTAACCAAGTTTACCGTTTCATTAAAGTTTGTGTATGCATAGATAAGAATTTCAACGTCTTTTCAAACATGCAGGGAGAGATCTCTATGGAAACAATGGCGCCATCTTTGGCATGCTTCCAGACGGATTAAAATCGTAACACTTAACGATATAACCTTGCATAACAACCATACCATACAGGCATTATCACAAGCATCGCAGAAAAAACTCTGCAAACTGACACGGACAAAATCCACGAATGCAAAAACCTACTTGTTTTATCTTCAAAATGCAACTTCAAAATGTCAACTGTTTTCTTTTCATTTTACGCTTTAAAGTGCGCTCTCATTTCTACAAAGTTGCTATTTGCAGCATTTTATCTTTTAAAGAGATGTCTAATCATTGCAATCTTCTCTTTTCTATGTTTGCTGACTAAACATTAAATGGACACTACACATCTCCCGCCACCACTAACCATGGTCCGATTAATCTACCAAGCATCACAAATAGAAGCCCCATAATGTTTCCTCGATCTCTACAGACAAACAAGCACCTTAGAGCCATGCAGTTAGAACTTACTGAGATCCAAAGTTACATAACCGAGAGAGAATGCTATTTATGCAGGAGCCGGACACTTGGCCACAAATATAAAAGATAGCCATCGAAGTAGGACTCTGGAGCAACAATAAGATTGACGCATCCACTGATGGCTGCTTGGCAACACTTTCTGTTTTATGTAATATTTGCAGATAAGGAGAGGTTGATGCAATGCTTTCATTTAATGCCATCGGAACCTGCTAGCATGGGAAAAGACGATTGTCCTGCGCATGTGCAGCTGCGCATCCGACTGTTTAAGTAATGTGAGAAACACGATCAAACAGACTCCAGACTCAAGACTTCTCACAAGCATGATCAGCTAACGTGTTTGTCAGAGCTTCGGTACCAATATAAGAGCTATCCAACAATATTGCAGTTAACAGATCAGTTCAAAACACAAAGTCGATACGGTATTAAGTTCTGGAGCAAGAGGAAGCATTCTTACAGATTTCAAATGAGCTTGGCGTTTTACTTGAAGTGAAAGATTACATGAAATCAGGTATGAGAATAGATATCATGATTAGATATTTCAAATACTTTATTAAAAAAATTAGATTCATCTACACTGGGCACTGCGTAGATCTTTTCTAGAGTAATTGAAGAGAATATGTACCCAAACTTAGACCTTGCAGCGGTAGCAAAAGATATTCACATTCCCCCTTCGAAACTTTTGTAAATACGAGTGCTATGTAAGCTGTCTTTTACAGGCAAGAAACATTACTTTTTGTCTAACATTGCTAAAGAGGGACTTAATGTAGTTTGTATTTTTGCACTTGTTCTTGAAACACAAACTGAATTGTTCCAGATCTCTCAATCAGACGCAAATTCTTGCAATAATTATGTTACAATCACATACACTTAACCTGAGCCATAAAAATCCTAATTTCATCATACTGAAATCGGCGTATCAAGCATATTTCTAAGACTTCGAAAGCAAAAACCTCAAGTCACTTCAAAAATACAGGAACAAATTGACATTAGCCACTCGAATGTACAGTGCATCGTCATCACTGCCTAGCGGGATTGGCAAACCAAAGGCAATGAGTAACTATTGAGGTTCTGGAACATCTACGCCGTCATCTCTAAATACTTCTAAACGTCAACTCGTTGTAATTTTTATTTTTTATTATTTGTTAATTTGTTAACTCAGACAATTTGTATTTTCAATATATTTTGTGAGCTAAGAAATAAATTAAATTCAGTATTAAGTCATATTTACTGCTATTGATAGAACTGTATAAGAAACAAAATGGCACATTGTGACGGAATCAAGTGTTTCTTTTGTTCAAAGGACTTAATACATTTGATGCCGACAATTTGGCCACAAGATCAAGATGTTTGTTTTGAATTTGAATATGCTTACCACTTTATTTAGGTCACAAAATTTTAACCATTTGCCTATTCAGGTAGCAATTTGAAATAAAAAACAGAAACAAGAGGATTAAACATTGGTTTATCGTGAATGCATTTGGTTAACGAAGTGCTTTTAATAAAGATAATTCATACATATTTTATGTAGTTTTGATTGACAAATGACCAATGAAATTTTGCATGGATCAATTTGAATAGAAAATGTTTTAAAAGAACAGACCGTTGATTAACATGACGAAAATAAAAACTGCTCAAAAATAAACTCTACTGCATGCTAACACATGACAAAAATGCCTATCGGTCTTCTTAATTTAGTAAATGGTAACTGGTTTGTTAGGGGCCCTCTTTACTTACCGTTACATCGAGACTCTCTCCAAATTAAAGGTTACATAGAATTAATAGATCAATTTTTTAGGTATTTCAGTACTACAAACTCATTTTCTGAAATTTATGGACCCCCTTAATGCATACAATTTTCTAGCCCCAGTGCCCACTGGTCCTAATGAAACAAATGCTCACTTAACTGGAATACCAAAATATGAAAGCATGTTCTTTTTGGAACCTTCAGTTTAAATATAACTCGGCACTCAGCAAAACCGGATTAAAGCAATTGCTGAGACGGGAAGACAAAACACAAATAAAAATGGGAGTGCTCCAGTAAAAACAAAGCCAAGTTGGCCGAGAATGAATAGCCAATAATGTACGAGCAGCTGATATCTATCCTATTGAGGTGCTAATCACTTAACCGAGCTGGCTTGTTTCCCGTACAAACGAAAATCGTAAAAAAAATTGGGATGAATTTCTCCATATAATTAGGCCCTAAGCCTCATTTACAAGTATTTAAAGTGTAAAATGTGTTGGCGAATATAAAAGGTCTAAGCGCGAATGAAATGCGCGAGAGCACAAAGCCCTGTATGTTAAACGATCGGTATAGCTTATACTAATAGGAAAACATTCGAAATGAAAACTGCTGATCTGCCTATGTACTGCCCTACTTGACACCTCTTAATGAATACGCTTATTACACATAGGGGCGTAGCTTGCGGGGGGGGGGTGTAGGGAGTGTAAACCCCCCAAATTCTTCATTAATTGGTCGATCAGTTTGTCTACAAAACCCTTAGTTTGTCGGTAAAATCAGCTATAAGTAGGATAAATAGTACCGAAATTCTTCTCAATCTATGTCCTCGTCGGTAAATTTTGCTATTGATGACCCTCCGGCCGCCTAGTCTGGAAGGTCAAGCGACGCCACTTATTACATATGAAAAGTATTGCACATGTCTAACCAAAACTCGAACATATTCAGATTACTACTGAATGCTTATTGTCGAGCCTGAGATCGTTGCCAGGAATATCGACCAGAAACTTTTGAAAGTAAACTTTGAATGTCATCTAATTAGCCTAACGTAGCGTTTGACAGAATGGGTTTTGTTCCTCACATTGGGCGGGACATGTTACTGCGGATTTCATTCACGCTTAGACCTTAAATATTTGCAAACAAAGTTTACACTTTAAATACTTGTAAAAGAGGCTTAAACCTTGTATATCTGAAATTTCCGACCGAAATTTGCAATTAAAATTTGATCATACATGTATGAAGATACGAAGATAATGATGCCACACAATGTATTAAGGTACAAGATTTACAAAATAGAGCTTGAACGATTATGTTTTTGTAAATATCCAATACGCACATTATAAGTTAGAGAATAACGCCGATATGAATTGTGTAATAGACAGCAGCATAGACAGCAGTAACGTAAACAAATCCGGTTTGCCGTAACCCATTAGAATAAATAGCAACATTTCAAATAGCACTTTAACCCAGTCTAAAGAGTGTTGCTGCAAAATGATTCTGGGAATACCCGCAGACTTACTTTAATGTTAAATGTCTAAGACATTAGACTACAAAAATAAAGCAATTTTTAGCATTTTCTTTCTGCCATTAGTAAACACTCGATCAGCCTGCGCTTGTTCAATTTCTTTGTTAAATATTAGCACCCAACATACATTCGGTGAACCCTGTGCATTTGTTTAATTGATCGAGAGAAACTGGTAGGGATATCAACTTTGGAAGATATGACTAGACAGGGATCGTACGAGAGAAGGCGTGAAAAATGAATAGGAGAAAAAAGTAGGAGGAACAATTTATGCGTACATCAAAGGACTGGGTAATCTCTACGAATGAAGAGCAAACATGAAAATGGGAATCTTCGTGTAAAGTAGAAGAATAGCAAAATCAGCTTTAGAGTTGAAATGCTTTTTGTCCCGTTCGTTGCCTCTATTGCTGAAAGAAACAGGCACAAAGAAAAGGACGAAGATCAAAAAAATAAAACGATAAAAGAAAGGGAAGATAAATGGGCTTTTTCATTTCATTAATTGAATTAAAAGGCTTGACAGGAAAGCAATTATTATTGATAAACATTCAATGAAACTATCAAAATGATGCTTCACTTTTTTGGCTTTCCAGCTGTCTTGAAGAAATGAAACTGCATGAGTGGCTCGAAAATGCATGCAGGGGCTGTGCACATCTCAATTCTAATTAGGCTATCTGCATAATATTGAGATTATGATCGCAACGCACTCTCTTGATCAAGCTTGATGATAGATTAAGACGGCAGGGTTGTAAAAATAATTAGTCAAATAAATCTGTTTACGAAGTTTAGCATATGGTAAGCATAAGACAATTAGGCTGCTCAACGCAATTGACAAATGCACGACCGCATTTGGCAAAGTTGCTGAAGAAACAATTGCAGGTAAATTTTGATGATGAATCTGGCGCACCACGTAATTTGAATAGGAACGGGTTGGAAAACCTATCCAATTTAATTAGCTGAGGTTCATCCTTAGCTACTAACGATGCTGACGATGTTGTAAAATGCGAAATGTATGCCTTGTTTCGTTAGATTTTTGGCACATCCAATTGAAATGAATGTTCTTCCAATGTATAATTCAATAGAAACTGGCGCTCAGATATAAAACATCTTGAAAGACAATCTCTGTTTAGCAGCTCTGCTGTAACCCATATATTACGTGTTATGGAATCTTTACTCATAATAGACCAGGCGGAGAATAGGGGAATGGTCACTCGAGGGCGAAATTTATGGGACCAAGTGCTTTTGGTCAATTCAAGGGTGCTGATTTTGAAAATTGATGTTATACGGGGATTTTTGGGGGCCATCAGCCTCTTTTTTTATGTTTGAAGTCTCGTTTTTGCGTATATGACAGTAATCAATGAAAAAACAGTTTAAATGGGAAAAAGTTAAAGTCTTAAAGTTAATTAAGCACATTTCTTGCGCATAAATGCTTAAAATTGAATTATGGTCTGTTAAGGGGCGCAAAAAATCCTCGTTTACACAAGAAAATTACGTAATCTTAAATTTTTTATTCTTAAATAGAAATCTAAAAGCATTTTTTGTTGAGACTAATTCTTTAATTGTCGTCCGAATGAACTATGTAGATCGTCTTCTTAGTCACTGCACACGAAACTCTGAGCATAAGCTCTTTTTCACTCTGACAATAGAATCCTTATTCACCCCAACCATTATCTATCTACTAGGAAGCCCAACTGAAGCACCAAACCATCTTGAAAATCATAGAGATTTAGTTTGCATGCAGAATATAAAGCCTTGTGTTTTCTTCACATGGTGGCAGAAGACTGAGATTTATGATCTCTTAATGTCTTTCGAACTTCTGTACAAGCAATGCGTTTCAGAGAAGATTCACTCAAGATGTGCTTTGATTTCTATGAAATACAAGACCAAGTGTAACTAGAAACATAGTTATAGCAAGAAAAAGCATGCAGGCCAAGAAATGCTTTCTTTTTCTAGAACTCATGATACCATGTCTATTATCTTCCTTTGTTTTCAAGTACAATGAGAATCTATGAGAATCTTCGTTCCACCCAATTCGTGGAATAAGAATATTGTTTGAATGTTTTTGAGAACTTCAACATAATCCTCTGTAGCTTTTGTACACTGAAATTTGTTTGAAATGATCATTGGCCTGCTAAAGAGTTGACTACGATCCTTTATAATTGCAAGCTGAAAAGGATATGAAAGCTGTTGAAGTCATATAGCACCTTGATGTCGGGACTCGTTAAGGTTTATAGCTAACTTCACCGTTCTCAATTTTTTCACAATCCTTTATATGCTGTTATCCTTGTATTTGTCAAAGACAACCACACTGGTCTGGAATGGTAGCAGTACAGGTATTTCGGTGTCCATTTGTCTCTTGGTATATGTTTGCATTTAGCTGCAGCAAGGTCCAAGTCGTACCTGTTCAATTTCTCCGCAGGTGCTAGTTGATCGGAGCTAATGAGGGTCACTTATGGCAGTTTCATGCAATTTATCTTTAACAGTCCTTCTGATGGCACCATCTGCTATGCTGGGAGAAATTGACGTAGTTGCAAGTGGATACGATAAAGTTGTCTCGAGATCTACACCTGCATCGTGCTTGTTCGAGTGCACAACTATAACGCCAAGAAGGTCTCTCTTAAAGCTCTTTTTTATTCTGTTAATGTTCAGCTTATTTTCACTAACGAATCCTTGAAGCTTGCAACGACTTTGTTTTCAGTTTTTTTTCAATAGAAAGTAAGTATTTTCGGGAGTAATGTCAGTTGGTAAATCCCGCCAACACTGTCAGGTGTACCCCAGCTCATTTGAAAGATTTTTCTGAAAGGGGTGATCTTTTCCTCAAACCTAGGACAGGTAAACTTGGAAAAGGGGTACTTTTTGAATCTGCAAAAAAATCACTGAAATAAGGTGCTTTTTACAACCAACCTAGGCCATGTATCTGAAAGATTTTTAGCAAAAGTATCACCTCAATTTGATTCAATACAACATTTGCAAGATAAGGTTTTTTGTGTATAAAGGTCATTTGCAACTTATAATAGTAATGTTGGTCGTTTTGTTATACAATGTGTTCCTTTTTCACTTATCGCCATTCTAGACAAACCTATAAACCTATAAAAACAAGAATCATTCAAACTTCAGTATTCTCCAATAAGTACAGTTTTAGCCAAAATAGTGTAACAAAATTATAATGTAGCAGAGCAGGAACTCCTGTTCACTTTCTTCTTTTGTACAAAATTCATTATCATTTAGTTCATTATCATTGTATCTCCGTAAAAAGGGTATAGGGAGTTCCCATAGAAGTCAGAGGAAAGGGGTCTTTCTTTATCTCTCGGATGGGCATGGGTACACAACTGATTGAGAGTGGACAAGCCGGGAATGACTAAGCGAGATTTGTCATGAATTTTAAAAAAATCAATGCACATCTTGAGCGAATCTTCTCTGAACATATTGCTTGTACAGAAGTTCGAAAGACATTAAGAGATCATAAATCTCAGTCTTCTGCCACCATGTGAAGAAAACACAAGGCTTTATATGCTGCATACAAACTAAATCTCTATGATTTTCAAGATGGTTTGATGCTTCAGTTGGGCTTCCTTGTAGATAGATCATGGTTGGGGCGAATGAAGATTCTATTGTCAGATTCTTCGGATCAATTTTAAAGCAACAACCATTTAAATATTCGTTATAACCTGTTTCCTCGAATTTCAAAGGAGAGCACATGCGATATTTCGATTGCATTTTCTTATTGCTATTGTTAACAAATTCTACGCACAGACCTAGTCACGATAACAAAGTTTAACTCATCATCAACATTCAACAATTGTAATGCGTGACTGTTGAGTAGATTCACACATTGTTTAGCGAGATTCAGTGACATTTTGCATAATTGACAAATTGCAAATATTTTCAGCGAGTCGACGCCATATTTTTCATTCTTTTGCCTAATTGGGAGTTGATCGAAAGCCTCTTTCAAAAAAGCTGCATGAGCTCGATAAGATTATTTCAACCATCTTCAGTTTTAGGAGATTGTCAAAGTCTCACAACCTGTCAAGCCTTATCTTGTTCCTCTTCAAATTTTCCACGTCTTCCAATAACTATATCAAACAAAACAATTGTAGCTTTTCGTTTTGCCAATTGCAGTCGAATTCATCGAATATATTCTTCAGCAGAGATCTTAACGATTTCTCTGCAGCTGTCTTGAGAAGAATACGTCAAAAATGACGAATTTTAGTTAAAACTGTCTCTGTCAGGATGGGCCTGGATATCTGTGCTGAGCGATGATCACTCACATATCTCTCTTTAACAGATATTGGCACAAAATGTTTCGTTGCTCGACAAATGTCAAGCTCTGTCGAGTGAAGTCCTGCTTACGTTTAAACAGGGCTTAGGACTATATAAGCTCCTAATTCTTTCAAAACGACATGATACCGTCTGAAATTTTAAGTGCATCTGGAAAGTTCTGACAGCAAAATGTTCTTTATATGCTTTATTTGGATACACTTTATGTGTATATGTTGACAGGAATTCTACTCAATGGTTATTTGAGAATGCCTTTGAATACTAGATTTTCTCTAGTCATATTACTACCGATTCTGTTGAGAAGAATCCTATTCCGTTACATATTCAAAAAAGCCCTCCAGACATTCATCTTTCTTTGTATAAATCTAATTCACAGTGGAAAATCAATCAAGCACAGACTCTCTCTAAGTACCATGTCCTGTGAGGACGTAGATGGTTCTCCATAACTTTCTATCCCTTGATATTTTCAACAATGCTTGCTCCAATACCTTTGCTCTCTCTTTCTGGCAGTTGATATGACATCCATTTGCTTACACTTCTTAAATAGGTCATCCGTTGCCTGCCCCTGCTCCATTTTACTTCGATTCTTCCTTGTTTATTGTCAAGTTGGACCTTCCTTTCGCATTATGTGCCCAAGGAACTCGAGCTGTCTCTTCCTCATTGTTTTTATTAAGTTTCTTTCTCTCTCTGCTTTTCTTAATACCTCCTAAATTGTTACATGATCTGTTCAAGATATTCTAAACATTCGCCTTAGGAACCATATTTCTACGCCTTCTAGTCTTCCTTCCATCTGCTTTGAAATTGTCCAACACTCACTGCCATATGTAAGGATGGGATATACATAACTCTCAGACTTATAGTTGCAGCCATTCTAGCAACTGAAGCATCTTCAAACACAAAGTTGAATAATGTTCTTATATCATAAAGGCGTAGATTACCTGTTTAAAATTCATGGTTTGGCATCTCCAAAACAAAATGGGATTCGCCTGTGTTGTTTTCATGAAGCTGTGCAGAAAAAGCTGAGAAGAATAGTAAGAAAAATGGGCGCATGTAACCCGAGGACCACTGGTTCCAAAAATTAAAGCGCAATAGCAGAGGTAGTTCCACCCAGAAGTTAAGGTAATGGTCTTTATTTGGAATTTGGAGAGGCGGATTGCAATCGTAAACGTTGAGAGACTGGTTGAGACAAATCCTTCTTAAAAGGGGAAAGGGGAGTGGGAAATGATGTGTGCAAGTCAATCAAACATCATTGTATTTTGTCTATCTGCAATATTATTCTCTGGCCAAGAGGAGAGCAGCTGATGATACAACTTTTGAGGCAATTTTAAGCATTTCCAGTTTTAAATTATGCCCACAAGTCGGCAAGAAAAACAGATAAATTTGTAAGCTTAAGTAATTTGGACATTACATCTACGAGATTCATTCTTGGTACCTCTAGTTATAATGGTGAGATAAAAATCTCGTTACCTGATTTATTTGAATATTCAAAGTTTGAATAATATCTGATTATTCATACTTTGATCTTTAATTTAGTTTGTAGAGATTTTGAAGCAGAGTTCTTGTTAACGATGATAGGAGTCGTTAAAAGGAGGAATGATTTGAAACGACATCATAAGAGGTTTTTCAATAATTTAATGAAAACATGAATGCGTCGGTAGATGACTGAATGGTACAGAGAGATAAGAGCAGGTAAACAGATACATTTGAATGACCTGGGTAAGTGTGAACCAATCATATGAAAGAAGTGACTAAGCGAGCCAATCCCATTAAAGCTTGAAAATAATTGAACCAATCACATCAATGCATCGTGCGTCACACCAAAGTGACCATACAATCAATTGAAATAGTTTTTACAAATAACATTAGCACATTTGCACGGTGCCTTAATATGCATCAGAATAACCAATATTTCATTATACTGCAACATGAATCCTAAAACATTGTAAAACTTATTGAAGATAAGAAAATAAAGATCTATTGGAATGAAATTTCGTAAATACCTCATATCATTTTTCATATTGCTGGGGCGTTACTGTTCTTTATCATCCATTTTGGCACTGGCGCAGCTGTCGAAACCCAAAATACTCAAACTCATAATCAATTAACAAACGGCATCAAGGTTCCGATTGATAAACTTTTCTAGATTTACTTCTAAATTCAGAAAGCTTTGTAAAGAATCCATACGTATTGGTACAAGTAATTTTCTTGGTTCATCCATCAAGAAATCAAAAAAGATTCAATATCAAACAATATCAATCAAACATTTAGAAATAAGACTTCAAGATGTTATTAAGATTTGGCTCTTGCAGATTTATAATCTGTCTAAATCTTTATTATTCTCTACATAGTCGGCTTTCAAATCGTTAATTTTTTGGATATCAAACTTCTATGCAAAGATTAGAAAACATTCAGACAGAATTATGCCATGAAAAGAACTTAGATGAAAGCAACTTGTTTTTAATATTACGTTAACCTATGGAAAACATGTATCAACGCTTCTTCGATATAAATAGTTGAAATAGGGAATGGTTTTGTCACTAATCTAGCAAAACAGATGGATCACTCCAGTGCTGATAAACTTTCTTTACAGTCCGATACAGCCTAACCATATTAACGTCAGAAATATTTTTAATTTGCAGACAAAACATCTGCCCGGAACAAGTGCGTGGTCAGAATTGTGCGAATTCAATTTATATTTTGCGCAAGCTATATTGGCGTCTAATTTCAAATTAATTCTCTCTATTTCATTGATTGAAATTATTTGAGTTTTCGTTGTTTATCCATAGAACGAAACATTAAACAACAAAAAATTAGCGTCATAAAAACTGACAAAGTTCGAGAAAAAATTGCAAGCAGCGGATATTCGTAGTCATCAGGGAATACTCGTAGTCATTAGCGAATGCTCGTGGTCACCCTGTTTACCTGTCGCTAGCACTAGCGTCACCTTACGTCGACTTTATTCTAGTGCGTTTTTCGCTGTAGTACAATTAAGGTGGAAAGGACTGAAAAGCGTTGGCGTATTAAATCAAGAGTTTTTACTTTGATCTCCCAAAATCTCGATCATATGTAGGTTTTTCGTTAGGTCAAGCCTTTTTTCCCTGGAAATGCAGTGACGTACTAAAGGTATTTGTAACCTAACGAAGGTTGTATTGCTCAAACGTCCAGAGAACGCAATTATAGAAATAGATCTTCAGCTACGAACAAAAAGATTTAAAAAAGGACCGGGTAGAATACTTTTGCACTGCTCAGGCAGACAATCCGCTCAGGCCAACCAAAACTATCCAAGAATGAGGCTTCACCTCTTTTAAGGCATTACAACCCTTTTCATTCTATTTCGACCCAAAACTTGGTATATATTGCTTTCTCAACCCTTATCCTGACGTTTTATACTCTGAAGAGCGTCAGACGAAAAGTCATTTTGTAAAATGTTTGCTTTTTCAAAGCCTTTTCATTCTTTATATGAAAATTAGTCTTAGTATCTCAAAAAATAAGTCTGTCTGATAATAAGGTTTAACCAGTGGAAGGCTCTCTCAATTTAAGGACTTGTTGTGCGCGCCCAATCATATTCAGCGAAAGTCAGAGAAAATATCACGCTTTATGATGATATCACATTGTTGCTAAGCAACAGATGAACGGTCAGCTGCTGCCTCACAACGACAACCACAGTCACTTTTAGATCACATCGGCCGTTCGACCCACGCAAAGCCAGCTGATATTTGCTCATGCTTAAAAGACGAAATCAGTCTTTCAATGTGCTCTTCTGGATAAAATCTAGCGAAAACGTTCTCATAAAACTCGACAAATTCAGAAAGCAGGAAGGAGCCGGGCAAAGATAACAAATGAATGAATTAGAAGTTTTTGACAGAACTGAAGCAGAAAAAGAGATTTACAAACAAGTTTCTAAATCAATTCACTTTGAGGAGCGCTGGATTAAAAGTGGTTCTGGAATTTTTTGACGTTGCCGTGGCAAAGAACTTGCAAGTTTGTATTCTTAGCTTTGATAATTAGCTTAGTTGAGTGAACAAGTGAAATATATGGAAAAAAGCAAATTAACATAAAAATAAGAATAGCAACGATTTTATTTTCTAAAATTAAGTCAAGAATTCTGATATTTTGAAGGTAGAGGAGAGTTAACTGAATATACAGGAATAAAGCATAATTCTGCAGCGACTTTTTATCATTCAATAGGCCGTGTAGACAATTTTTAAAGCGATATTCTGATTGCGGTTGTGCCATGGTATTTAGCTGCAATCGTGCAACTAGTATCGGCATCATTGGGTTTGTCCCACTGTGCACTTTTGCCTAAACCTGACATCAGGTGGGTTATGTCACTTGTAGCCCAATTCAAAAGTTGAATTGTAGAAACTGGTATGCAAGATAGAGTCATTCAGTGTTTAGATTACATAAGGTGCTTTGCCGACTTGTAGTAGATTGATCGACAGGATAATTTTAAGACATAGACAAATTCACAGGCAGAATTTTGCGGTCAGCACAGTTAAAACAGTACAAGTGAAAGCACCTCACAAATGAAGATCGGTATCGGCCAATACCAGGTTGTTTATTAAGTGTGGTTAGAGAATCATAAATAAATTTTTAAAGACCAGCAACCGGTCACGTGACAGCTGACGTTACAATTGGTGTGTGATGCCGCACATTTATGCTGTCACAAGGATTTCTGTTCTATTCAGTCCTTAATATAGTTCATTGCAAAGGAATAAAACCGGCACTTACAATGCAGCATACGGTATTGCATTTAGTTAAAGAAGATTCTTTCATTTGCTAAATCTTGATGTCTTAGATAGAATGAAAATAACAAACATTTGATGGACAATTCTAATCTTCTCTATTTGTAAGCATTTCAAAAAAAGGTTTAGTGAACAAAATTTCCTAGTATTTTCTTCCAATAGCTTGAAGCAAACACCTAAATATAACCTGCTTGTTAACAAGCCATCGTCATAATCGTAACCAGGTCGAGCCTGCTCGGCTTTTAATGGCACAATTCTTCTAGCCTTCCCAGCCGCCAATTCCACTACTAAGCTTTTAAAAACGTTGACAGTCATACTGCCTTTAAAACTGCCTTTAAATTACTTATGTCTCGTGTCTTTACAAAAAGAACTGTACCTGCTTCAATTTAGATGAAAAAAGCCAGTTTCAATCACTATTCTTTTCGCAATTTATCTCTTACAAGATTTTTTCGAAAGCCTACCATGTTCGCTCTTTCCCCTTGACAATTTATCTGCATTTCTTTATCGAACAACCTCAGTGATTTAGCATTGATCAATGAATAACACAAAAGAATTTCCAGATTATTGCTAAAATGTACTGTTTTGTCTGGTATGCAATTAATGAATCAAGTAGGAGAAGGGGCTCCACATTCAAAAACATCCACATAAAAAAACATCCACATTCAAAAATATCTACATTCAAAAACATCTTGTAGACTCGCAGCAAACGCTTAATAGTTTTTAACCCAAGTTTGGTGATTATGCGGATTATGTTTCTCGACGTTTTGAGTAGGTTCCCGTTAGCAACCAAACGAATGTAGTTTTAGAATATGATGAACTATAATCTCATTAATACACAGTGCTTTACTATTTTATCACCAATACTGTAAATTAATTTGCACAGTACGATGGCATACACACACAAATAGTTCTTAATCAGCTTTGCTAATTTTCATTTTCTGTTCAACTACTGGGAATATTTAAGAAAATGTGGCAGTCTTTAGGACCCTGACAATGATTTGCCCTATTGCCTTTATATAATTAAAGAAGCGCTGTTTACATATATAAATACTTTAATAAAATTCAATGAGGTTGTACAGTATAGGCTACACGCTGGCTTGAGGGCCAGAGCCCCTGCTTGGGTTTCTTTATGGGGTTGCTCAACCACATTTGGTAGCTTTTTCGACAGGAATATCTCTTGCAAAACTCTCAAATTTACAGGTAACAATATCAACATATTCACTCCTTCAAATATTATAATATAGACTCTTGCTTTCGACTTAAACTCATGTATTCAACGATGATAACATTTCCTACTATTGTATACAAAAGTGTTCTCAAAATCAGAGTGTTTTCAATCCATTTTTACTTATACTTGGTACTGAGGCTATCTGCTAATCATAAAAGCAGTTTTGTGTAAGTTCACACTGTGAGTAGTTGTCGAATGGCCGTTAAGCCATATGCTTTGAGAAATGGATGCACAAAGAACAGTGAATCATTTTTCGTAATTCGATATGTAGCATCTGCACGTATATTTGAAATAGATATACCCGGATTGCAAAAGCCGTATTTAGGAAATGTTGCTTTTAGAATTCAGTTCATTTTATTTATCTAAATTCAGATTAGGAAAGCTGATTCAAAACGAAAAAAGAAATGTTAGAATAGCCCATCCAAAAGCTTTACACTGAAATACACTTAGTCAACATAACAAACAACTCACGCGTTGCAACTGTTTTGCAAAAGCATATGGCATTTCAAAGAATTTCTGCCACTATAATCTATGATTGTCATAGGTGTCTCCATGCAAACAACGTATTGCATATAATTGAATACCTATTTAGGCTATAGCATGATAACACAAAAAATTAGAGATATTTGCTGAAAATCATCGCAATTAAACAATCACAAAAAATGCTCTTTAGCTACAGAATTTCATCCTCTATTTTTGTATAACAGAAGCTTTTTTCTGCAGACGGTTACCAACGCTGGCTGATAACAAACACTTTAAAACATTGATTCAATTTTGCGGCCTAATTGCTTCTTGAAACGCTAAACTTTCTAATTTTGATTATTTGTTTTCTTTCTGCTTGTTAATAAACTTAGTACTAAAATCTCGGAAAAATCTCTTTTTAATACATACGGTTTCTATCTTAAAAAAGTAACTCCTAACGCTTGATGGAAAATGGTTGTGTTAGATCGTTATATTTTGTATTGGTGGTGTTTCCCCTTGTTTTATAAACTTTCTGCTTGGATTAATCTTTGTTCGTAGTTTACCATCTTGTAAAAGTGGTAAGCTACCGCGTATAACTAGTTTACTTTTGTAAATAACTAGCTAAGCAGAGCGTGGCAGTATGTTCTCGTCATCTATTTGTGGCCTATGTTCTCGTCACTCGTCTCGTCACTCATTTTCCTAATCACACAAACAAGTTTTCATTGAATACAGTCTCTACAAAGGACGTCATCAAGATAGTATCATGTATGCCAACAAATAAAGCAAGTGGCATAGAAAGTATGTATATGAGGTCTTTAAAACCAGTTATAAAAATAGTTGCACCATAAATCGCACAGCTGTTAAACCTTTCCTTAGCAACAGGAAAAGTTCTAAAAGAGTGGAAAACTGCAGTCATTTCTCCTATCTTCAAAATGGATCCAAAGATGACATTGCTGATTACAGGCCTATCTCACTAGCTTGAGTAGCTAACAGCATGAAGAGGAAATTTCAATACATGGGATCTGCGGACTTTAATTATCTGCCTACCTTAGCTCAGCGTACAACTAATACAAATAGATTTTTAGCCCAAGTTAATTCCTTATTTTGACACTATTTCATACCAACTATTTTCTTTATCCCAAAAGTTATAAGGTTTTATGTTATAATAAGGTTCATAGGTATTATGTAACAATCTTATCATTTGTATTTTTAAAACAAATCATATCATATCATATCATATCATATCATATCATATCATATCATATCATATCATATCATATCATATCATATCATATCATATCATATCATATCATATCATATCATATCATATATCATATATCATATATCATATATCATATATCATACATATCCTATAATATTATATCAAATTATATCATATCATCTATTCGTGGCCTATGTTCTCGACATCCATTCGTGGCCTAGCCACAGCCTCACACGTTCAATTGGTAAAATATACGCTCTGCTGGTCCTGAAATGTTAACATGCTGCCATTGGCCTATTACGTTATCGTAGTCTTGCGCTCACGTTGTGGTAAATGGATAGAAACAGAAGCGTGGAGGTTGACTTGACAATAAAATTGATCTGTAAGAAGCCAAACGATATAATATTGGACTCAAGATGTTCTCTCTTAAGTCCTCATTCCTAACACAGCTAGCATTGATTTACATGAGTGAGATTTGTGAAGCATATTCAAGCATTCGTTCTTAGTTTCTAGTAATGATGAGCTGCAAGAGTTTGCCTCAGCTGTCAGGGCTACAACACTCCTTTGGTAAGCAAACAGAAATTGTCAATAATCTGCCGAGTTAATCGACACTAGAACGTGTGATAGTAGCATCATTAACAAACGAATAAAAGTAATCAAAATGTAGGAATGGAAGCATATTTTAAGATAGAATCTAATAGAAAATAGAGATAAAACAAAGGCTGCCTGACCTGAAGTGTTGTCAGGGCTCATTGTCAACTTAACTACTGATATAAAATCGTGATATAGTGGGTTATTTGTAAGAGAAGAATGGTAAAGAGCAAATGCAACAGGTCAGTAGATCTACCGTACAGGCATCCAATGAAAACGTCAACATCATCCTGTCTACCATAAGAAAGCTTATCAGTAACACAGTCAGGAGTATCAACATCAGCTGTCAAATCCATCGACTTTCTAGCTGTCTCTCAAAGATTATGAATATATGACACGGAGAGATGACATATCACGTTATTGTCAAGAGATTTCGTCGATGCAAGATTCCATATAAGAAATACTCGTGAAGCAGCTTTAATGCTTAAGGCTGGGTCAGCTGTCAATGCATTTGACAAATTTCGTCGTCGAGTGTGATATTTTTGTTTGTTTACGCTAGGTATCAATCTTTTATTTCTCTTGTCAATTTATTTGGCTATATCAATGATAAACCGATAATGAAAAAATCTGTCTTTTTGAAAATCTCAAAACTTTCAGGTTACAAGTTTCAAAGCCAATTATTCCAAAACTGCTTTTCAGGCTGATGACATTTTTACATTGAAACCGGAACTTCTGGTGGTTTTTAAGCTAATGTTCTAACTTCATGCTTATCTTGACTCAAAGGAAAATACTTCAATTGGTTTACTTTGTGTTGATGAAAAAATTTTAGCATATAAACTTGGGAAAACTGTCTTTAGAGTGCGTATAAAATGCAGGGGATGTTCAGCTAGTGGGGTCAGATCGGAGATTCAAGCAAGACTCCTGAGCTCGGTGCTTTGCTGCTGAAGAAAACCACCGTTGTAAGATGCATGTTAATATTATATTTTTTTTGAAAATTACGAATGAAAAGCATTTCATCTTTTATATAAATAAAATTTTAATACAGCGATGCCTTTTTTAAACAATCATTTGATTTCTTGTTGTTCATTTTAAAATACTTTCTTTTATCTGTACTATATTACTTAAAATGAAGTAAAGATTATTTTATCTAGTGGCCCCATGTGGCGGTAACTGTTTTCGAAGCTTTTTTGGTGATGATTCATACCCTAGGAAACAAATGCAAAATGTTATTTTTCACAGTGCAGTTAATTTCTTTCTCAAATTTATATTCCTTGAATAAGTGACAGGCTTTACCAAAGTCCTTTTTTAAGAAACGAACTGTTTTGTATCATTAATCATTCAGAGGAGATTTTGAAAACTGATTGATCAACTTAAGGTGCAGTATCGATTGATTTGAAATTAAACTTTTGTCGCTACAACCATTTACAAAAATAGGGCAAGGAGCAGCTGAACATATAAGCCTGGCTAAAATTTACAAAAATTCTAAACTGAATTGATCGACTTAGCCTTACTTGTACAACAACAAGATTAGAAGCGCAGTTTTGGAAATTTTTAAATTGTATCAAGAAAATAGGTTTTTAGCAAAGGATATTTGTTCGCATTAATTTCGATTCAGAGCAGAAAAAATTATGTAAAGCCCTGTCAAAAGACGTGATAATTCTAATGTGCAAGAAAATCCCATTCAATGGGATGCAGGGAAGCTGTTCGCTAAAAATCTTTGCTCTTACATGTACTTTTAAGTCAATCGAACAGGAATAGACTTATTTCTTTTTCCTTGGAGCTTTTAACGAGGCCTTTCTAAAATGTCCTTTTTGGTGGACGAAACATTTGATGTCAAAAAGAAAGAACGATTTACCGAATACTTCATGAAAACGAGGATGAATATTTAGCAAAAAGAGATCAACGAAGAACGAAAAAAAATAAAAAGAAGGAAAGGCAATTCGAGTTTTGTTATTCAGGGTTCATGTTACACCAGCACATTCATGTTGTAGTGTTTATGACAATCGAATTTTGAGTAACATGTTCCTTTGAGAAGAATGAAGCCTATACTGAAAAGCAAGTATGATCAGTGGCGACAAAAATTAAGTAAAATACATCTAGAGCCGTTGAAAAGAATGAAATAAATGTTTAAACTTTGATGGTTGATCAATTCCTGATTTTGAAATCTTTACTACGTACGTTTTTGCAGTCTTTTTAAATCAGTTGAGCGTTCCTGCTTACCACAGAAAATCGCAGGCAATTAGCTCTGAATATATCAGTGAGTTAGAACGAAATGCTCAGGATTCTCCCAGACAAGACCGGAGCTTGCCTAGTTGACCTCGGGTTTAGGCACGTGTCAGTCCTAGGTACAGTCAATGATTTTGGGAATATCCCATCTGGCTCTGGAGGCTAACTGTGTGATGGAAGAGTATTTAGAGAAATTCAAAGCAAATCTGATGAAGTCTCCGCAGATATCAAACCAACCTAAACAATATCTATCAATAAAATTGGTGGATAGAGCCGTTTTATAGGGAGCTGACGCAAAAACACAACAGACGATTTAGCAGGAGTGATGTGTCTGCTGGCCAACGAATGATATGCCGCTATTTGAATAAATAATTCTGAAACGAGTTGCTTTCCAAACAAGCACTAGATCAATAACATAAACAAACGCATTTTAATACTAAACTACACTGGCAATGCAAAAAAACATGTAAGGACTTTGAGAAAGACGTGGGGCTACAGCAAAAACTAGAAAAGCAAAAACTAAGAAGGCTTGCGGTCTGAAGCTTTTAAAATGCGATGCAATTTTTTGTGATGCCATAGTCTGATCTAATGCTATCATCTACCGAGCCGGTTTTGCATAAAAATCAACATAATTATAATTCTTGCAGTATTCTCTTTGGTCTACAAATTAACCAATACAATCCCTTGCAACCTTGCTATCTTAGTGCATCTGTTTGCAGGCTGCACGTTGGTACGAGAAAGTCTTAAAAAATAAAAGCTTGATTGTCAACAAGCAGCTGTTAGCTCTTAGAAGAGACAAAATATTCTGTAGAATTCTGATAATTCGATGCAAATTTACTTTTTAAATCGCTTCATTAGGCTTTGAAAAGACCAGCTTCGCATGCTTATAGATTCGGAAACTTTAAGCGCTAGCTAGCTAAAGACCCAAAACCAAAACAAATGCAAAGCATTTTCTAAAACTAAGGGGGAAATATTGAAATTAAGTCATTTGCAGTAGGGCTGAAGGGATTTTATCCCCAAGGGCATCAAAGACTTGACATTTAGAATTTCCAATTTGAAGGTCATGAGATGCAGCTAAATTATCTACGGTTTTGTCATGCGAGAAAAAAGCCGTTGAGCGTGCTCTTTACACTTTTTCTTGCAGTCGCATACTGCAAAGGCAATCTTATCTCCCTGAATTGTATTCTCAAAACAAGGTTTAATCCATTAATTGAAAACAACTAGCCTTAACTATTCTTAACCAAGACCCTTAATCATCGATTTTGCCATCATGAAAGATATTACCATCGATTTGTTTTTTTTCTTAAAGTAGCCCCTAGAAAGAATTATAGAATCATTAGCCATTCACCTAATGACCGCCAGTCTGTTTTTTTAACACCATTAGCCATAGCCATAGTTGTGACAACAGTATGACTGTTTTCAACACTGATAAGGACCACACCAAAGCAGTTTTTCATTAACTTAACTCTGTTCCTTAGGAAGCGTATGAGTGGTTTGCAAGAGATAAACAGTTCTGAAGTTAGATGCTATGGCGACAAGTGCCATGGCGACTGGTGCCTTGGAGATGGGCGTCAACACTACTCTACGTACCCTGTTATCTTCAATTAGCACTCAGAATATTACGCCATTTGCAACATCAACAACACCACTGCAAGATCAGCAGAGTAAGAACACGAGTGTTTCAGCTCTGACACGAATGCAGATCATTCTTTACATACTGATGGCATTTGTGGGCGCGGTTGGCAATGCTTTGACCATCGCTGTGCTGTTGAAGCCAAAATTTAGAAAAAGAAAAAGCTCAATTCTACTTCTAAACCTTGCAATTTGCGATGTCTTGATAGCAGCCATGTGCATTCCGCTCGACGTAGTGTACTTCATTAACGGCAAATGGATTTACGGCAAAGGACTCTGTTACGTCATTTCGCCTTTTCAGACTAGCATGCCAATTGTGTCTAGCTGGACCTTCATGTTTATGATGCTAGAACGCAATTCACTCTTCACGAAAAGCTTACGAAGACAAATGAAGCGCAAATCAGTGCGGATACTCGCAATATCGACATGGATAGTTCCAGTGGCATTAGTTATACCATACAGCGTTCGTCTACAATTTTCATCCGAAAAGGGGATCCAAAGCTGCTCTGAAGAATGGGACAGCGAAGTCGGCAGGAAACTGTACACAGTTATTCTGTCAGTGTTTGAATTTCTTATCCCGATGCTGATTATAATTGCATTTGTAATTCGCATTTGCATCAACCTTTCGCTTCAGTCCAAAAAGCTACGGAACAATTCGCTCGGTTTGAACAAAGAAAAACGTAAGTCCCGTTTACGACAAAATCGAAATATTACAATGATGTTTATAGTCATGGTTGCTCTTTACGCCATTTTGAAATTGCCAAACAACATATTTTGGCAGTGGAATGAGTTCGGTGGCAGCAAGGATACACAGAAGAAGCATTTGATCTGGACGTTTGTGTCACTGGCCGCCTATTCTACATCGATGGTAAACCCTATTGTAGTGGCTGCAATGTCAAGTGAATTCAGAAAAGAGTTTTACATAATTTTGCGATGTAGAATCTTTACAGGCATTGAGACGGCTTGTTTGGCATTCCGCAGGGCAGGCAGCGACTCAAGAGGATCCACAGAAATAGAATCATCGCACGCCTCGTTAAATCATCCATATAAAATTGTCAGGATTGAGATGCGAGATTTAGTGACGACATCAGAGGCACAAGCCTTCAAAGAGCTAAAATTGGCGACTAAAACTAAGAAAAACCATCTCGTTGACACGGACACGTCTCTTTTCCAAAATATCGGAGATGAGTGAGACATTTTTAAGTGTGACGTCACAAGGACTTCCTTCATACCAGTTGATACAAAAGTTGTTTATTCAGGCAAAGTCAGTGTGGTTGCCAAATCATCTTGTCAATCAAAAGAAACCGAACTTCAAAATGAAGGACCAACTGACTTTGTTTTGTCCCAGTTACAACCATACTTAAAACTGATACCCTGAACTAGGTCCCGGAGGAAAAGAACATAAACTGAACTGATTCGTTCTTCATTTAGGTTTGGTACACTGTTACACAACGATGTAACTAGCCGTTTGAACAGCTAGCTGTAATTAGCTTTGCGTCGCATTTCACGAGGTTGATTTTGTATTTTAAAAAGGCGTTGTGAGAATGTTATTTTGCATTATTTAGTCGTACCAAAGTTTTTGTTGAAAGTAGCTTATATACTGTTGATTTGAAGGGTAATAAATAACAAAGTTTGCGAAACATAAAGAAATATTTCATTGTTGGTAATCTTTTATTTTATGCTTACATTTGACAAAGTTTTAAATGCTGGTTGGGTTACGCTTCTAATCTTAAGCAAGTCTTTCAAAAAATGAAATCCATCAAGGTTGAAAATTGAAAAGCGGTGGAAAGAAACCTTACACTAGACACCGTTTGTTGTATTTTGCAATCTCTCAGGAAAAAAGAGACTTAAATATCAAAATATAAAAAAGCGATTAAACATGGAGGCCTCTTTGAATTGGCAAAGTATGAAACAATTCCAATGTTCACATTCTCGATTTATTTGCATTCGAAGTATTTCTTTTACATTTTATGAAATTATTAACAGCACAGTAACAACAAAACATGAAAATTTTATGAAATTGACATCAGTTGATCATCGACTTGAGCCGAAGAATGTGAACTTCTTTTGCGATTTAGATAGAGATACGACCAATATAACCAAAACAGTCTTTCATAAGGCTCGCTCAACCCAAATTTATGAATCCTAGAGGCCTAATTTTAAGTAAAAAAGGAGGCTATTATTCAAATTGGTTTATTTTAAGAAAAGGGCTTTATCGTTCAAACAAGTTCGATTAAGCCAACAAAATTTGTTCAGACTGTGGTTTACGCAACACAAAGTATAAACTCCACTTTTTCTCATCCCATTTTCCTTAATAAACACGATAAAACGTTTAGATGGTTTTGATATCGGTCTATGTAAATTTGCCTAACAAGATCTGCACTCAAACTTCACCAGGTGATCAACCCACAGATTGTGTAAAGAAAAACCACTCCCACTGAAAGATGGGTTCATTGACGCTCCGTATTATCACGATTATTGTAATTGGGACTGGGTAATTCCTCTTGTTCAAGCTCTTTGGTTTCTACACTTTGATTAACTGCAGGAGATAGAATAGAGTAAAAAGAAGGACACTAGTTCCTGGTGACATAGGGGCTTTCACACATTCTTCAAAATTATGGATTTAGCGGCTAGAATAGGAATTAGTGCTGAAAAATCAATTCTGATTTCTGTTAGCAAAAAAATTAATTTATCCTTCCTTTCTGGCGTCGATTTAAGAAGTTAGATAATCCTTGCAAAGATTTTGCCCTATAAGTCAGCTGTTTTTCTGCGAACCTGTTCTGCGTTAGGGAGCTGCCAGGGTTGTTGAGTCCCTTTTAAACAATTTAACCCTTTGCCAAGCAATTTAACTTGCATAACTAATTATTCTAGCGATAAATCGTCCAAATGGTGGATAGTACTAGGTAAGAAATAGCAAGAAAATAGAAAGGATTGAGATTGATAGCAGGGACAGTTTTGGTTAAATTTAAGAAGACTATTATCATTTTCAGGTAGCATGAAAGAGTTTCGTGTCCACCCGAGCCGTCAAAATAGATTTTGTTGTGAGTGTATGAATGTAAAAAGTATGCACAATTGCAAATGATGTAAATCAAGGCAAACCTTTAAGATTTAGCCAAAACTTGAAATATGAAAAAACAGAATTCGTTATATTTTCATCTCTGTGGCCTAAATTTGGTTGGCGAACTCTGGCACATACTAGAAAGTAGAATTAACAACAGTTGCAGGAAAAATAGAACATATAATAAATGCTACAAACTTACTTTGCCACGTCGTCTTTATTGTTTCGTTAATTTCAAGCTGGTCATATCTTTCAAGCAACCTCAACCTAATTGGCCTAATTCTGCGAGGAATATACTCCCCTTCGCTCACGTGGCATTACGCTAGAGAGACTTCGCGCCAATAAGAATGGAGCCGAGACCCCCTGCTCCCCGCTACCGTGGGATAAAAACCGGAAATGCATATGCTGGCTTCAGTTAAATAAAAATTACGAGACTGATATTGGAAGTTATAACCTTTGATTCATTTTTTAGATAGTATTTTCAACACCATATTAACAACACCGTTTAAGACAACCAAATTCAGCAATACATTCCAACGCAATGAAATGGAATGTAACTTTTAGGAAAGGGTATTTTGTGTCTTTAAAAAAAGATTTGCAAAGCAGAGGAAAAAATATTGAAAATGAGTAATAGTCGTGAACTAAAGTCTTTATCTGCATAGACGTGAACTAAAGGCATCTGTGTACGAATCACGTTTCTTTGTCTTTTATTCAAAACATCTTGAAAAAGACCTGTTATCAACCATATATGAGTATACGGTACAGAGCTTACTATTGGGGCTGATTTTGGTATCAATTTCCTATAAAAGAATATATCCCTATGCACGTATTGCACTAGAAAGTTGATATTAACATTCAAGACAAAAATAAGCAGCAAAAATGTGCTTACATTATTCATTATCGTGAATTTCTATTCTTAGCATTTGCAGTGGAATGAATTGGTTGTGTGTTTCATAGAATGCATTAGGATTATGATATGTTTTTGTTGAAGAAAAAGCTAGATAAAGGGGGAAAGACCGACAGTTTAAAGAGAAAAGACAAGGAAGAGGCGATAGTTAAAAGGCACAAAGTAACAAAAATTCAAGCACACGTGAAAACTGATCAAGGCGTATTGCTTTATAGTTTCAGGCAATGGCGGACAGTTGAAATCATTTTTGATGGGAACTCGATCGTAATCGACAAGGTAACAATAGAATAACAATAAACGATTGATTTTTTGAGGAATTCGCATCAGACATTTTTAATGAAGGTACATTTTAATGACAGACAAATAAATAAAGTTAGCAACAACGGACTGTTCCTTACAACGTTGAGGTTAAAATAGCTTTTAGAAACACAGTATAACGAGTAGCAGTTATCAACAAACGACTGTTCCAGACTATTGCAAATTCAATATGTTGAGAGAAGGATTATCTTGTCAATGGGAAAATCGTACAACATAAGTTAACGACAATTTTGCTAGCCAAAAAGTGATTTTAAGACGTTATTAGAACGTCTGCATATTGAAACAAAAAACAACAAAACCCCAAAGAAATTTATAATAGTCTATCAAGCTTCGACTTTGATTTGCCATAACTGAGTTCATATTGATTCATTTAAATTCTGGAGATGTGACAATTGAATTTGTGTATGTGTCCATATCATTTCTGCAAAGTAATGGAAGCCAGGATTAAGAGTCGATTAAGAATAACAGGGTTTCATGGACATCAAAATGTAGCGTACTGTCTTTCTTTGCACGCGCATAATAAAAAGTCAGTTATAATTTTCAGCCTGAAGCGTCCCATCACAAGATCAACTTCTGAAACGCATAAATTTAAAGCATTTTAGCAATTAACTGCTACTTGATAAAAATTAAGAAAGCTGTCTACCAGAGGGTCGCTGAGCAAATAATTCTAAAAAATAGCGGAGAAAAGGATGGTTTGATTTCAAAGTATGACTCCACAAGCAAATCTCAACAAACCTCTCTATCTAAAACGGATCACAAATAATAAACACCCTTTAAACTATTACAGTATAGAATCTTTTGTAAAATTGGTAACTTGTAAAAAGACAAGTTTTCAGCAGTTTCTACAAAGATACCAGGATAAATGCAGAACTTGAAAATTTCTGCATAAAATCAGAATGTTTTATCGAATAGAAGTCCTCGAAAGGTCTCCGCATCATAAACCTATTCTTTTTATAACGACCGACAGAGATATGTGGAAGCCCAATCAAGTTGACACCTTTGACACAGTAACAGCAATCTTCATCTGACACGTATCGGCTGACGCATGCGAAATTGCCCGCTGACGCTGGCTGGTCTTGGTCATTAAGAAAACGTTGAATTTTGGGCAGAAAAACATGGAGCATATCGTAGCGATTATTGTCTATGGAATGAGAACACTACCGAACTGAAAAGACTTCGTCTTTGGAGTCTTAGTGCTGACATCTGCTAAGAGCAAGTTTTTCGCTGGATTGCATTAATTAAGAATGAGGATAGCATATAACGACACAGCATGCACGCGCAAAGACCAAAATTACTCGCTGTTCATGTTGTGAGATAATTAAGACCCATTTTAGCTGTCTTGCTGCATATTCAACACAGAGATCAGAGATAGCACTAAAGACATTTTTCTTGGGACATTCAATTATCGAGAAAGATATACCAAGACCGGTTTTTAAAAATAATCGGGTTCTTATCTTTAGAATCAAAAAACCCATTATCCAACATCTCTCGATTCAAAAGTTGATATGTGTAATAAAGTAAGAAAAAGTGAGAAGGAAGCGCGATTTCGAGATGATTGAAAAAAAACGGGAGAATTGGGCACATTTTTCATATCAAACGACTAAAGGAAAATAAAAATTCTTAAGGATGGCAGCTTCATAAGACACGCGATGACAGGGCTGGTGATGCGCCTCCCAAGTTTCCGTAAAAATTTTGAAGTTCAAAGGAAATTCAGTAGTCTTAATTCAGAAGTCGTTCAGGATATCATATCTCGTGGTCAGAGTACTCCTCTTGGTATAAAAAACATTCCTAAGAGCCTCGTCGATGCTTGAAAGCGTACGTTTCCAATTAATAACATGTTCCAAGTTTCGGCAAGTTCTCTATTAAGCCGACTCTGTGAGCAGCATTTTTTATGAATGAAGTAGCCTATGCAAATTCGACGCTTCTTCATTATATAAGATGACATTTGCAGATGAATAGGTCTCTCAACAGGAATTTCAAGTGTGTTCTAGTGTAGGTTAAGGTATCTTAAGGTGGGTTGTGGGGCGTGTGTTGGGGGATAAGTGGTAGGTAAAAAGCAAACTGCTGGAACTTACCGAAGGAATTTCTGTTTGGGAAGATCGAGTTGTTAATTGTCGTGTAGCTCGTGCCGCTACCACAGACTGGAGTTTATGTAGTTGCGTTAAAAGAGATCTAGCGAAAATAGAAAATAGCTTCAGATCTTTAAGCACGTGGAGTTTAATTCAGCAAGATTCTAAGCTTGTTAAATGCTTGGCTTTGGGTGCTATTCATAAAATTGTTAGAAGAATAAATGGTGCTTAAAATCGTGAGCTTGTACATGAAAATCGAGACATAAATAAAAATAAATGGTAAATAAAATTTAATATATTTTAGAAATAACCAAAAGATATCAGGACGAATTTGAAAAGGACTATAATGTTATAACACATAAGTTAAAGGTAAATGTTTACCAAAATATCTAAGTAAAATTATTGGAAGTACAAGGAAAGGAAAGGAAGTATGAAAATTTTTAACGAAAAAGAATTTCTTGCATCTCCTGTGCAACAAAAGCATTCAATCACAGCTATAAAAGCATCTATATTGTCGGCGCGTATTCAGCTAGATAGATCAGTAAAGGCGCCCACTGCGGGCAGGCAGTATACTTAGAAGGAATTAGCAGTGGGGTATCAAAAGGAAAAAGGATTTCTTAAAAAAAGATATCATTTTGCTTCTTAGTGCACAAATACAAAACAGCTCGAACACACTGAATAACATCAGGCGCATCGAGAGTGATTATACGTTCTACCATGCTGGATAAAATAATGATAATCAAGATTTCTTCAACAGGGTAGAGGGACTCACTTATTTGAATTTTCGAGAGCATCTAGTTTTTTCTTTAAGTCTGTATTATCGCCGTTCAGTACGTCTATTCTGTTGAAAAAATGAAAAATGTTAAAACATCAAAAATCTCCAAACAAAATACAGGGATAAGGTTTTTAGTTTGGAGGTATCAAAATATAGAGGATCACCTATCCAGCAAGAAACCAAAGAAGAGTGAACTTCAACAGGCTGTCAGTTCCAATCGTCATTTGGCTCAATTTTGGTGATTTCACGGGAGAATCAACTTACATTATGTAGCTACAATGATAACATAGACAAATCAATAAGGCTTTAAAGAACTTGTAAGAGCTTCAAGCCAAGCGTTCTGTCTGTTTGTTTGTCGGTAGTGCCCATCGGATTCTAAGCTATAGTAGGGATCGAAGTATCATTACTCCAAAATGCACCACAGGTGAGGCTGCTGAGGTGAAAACGAAATCAAATTGCAAAAACAAACTAACTTTTTTTCTAAAGCTTCCATGTACTCTTTCTTTTTTCGTCTGCTTTCTTGTGCCGATATCTGTGACACAAAATATTTATTCACAATACGTGTAAAGCAGGGAAATTTAAAAATTTTAGTCAAATTTGTTTACTGTCATTTAATACAATACATCTAAAAAATGCATCATATTCTGAGAGAGGAATGGGGTATCCAGGGCTTGGTTTTAAAACAAAGCAATGTGCCAATACCCATGAATTACAATAGACAAAACATGTCTTAAAAAGCATGGAACGGATTTGAGTTTTACTGACGAAAAAAGTGAATTAATGTAAAATGTTTGTGCTTATATTCTGAAAAATGAATCAGAAGAAGGTTTTCTTAATTTGAATCAAAAGACACTCTCAAACACGCAATAGATTCATTTTTAGTTTTACAAGCTTTCGAGGAAACATCTAATTTACCTTATTTTTTATCTTTCTTCTAACCTTCTTCAGCGCTCGCTCTTCGACCTGTAGAAGCATTCAACAAAATCATCAAAATATTTTTAATTACAATAATTAATTTTTCTAATATGAAAATAAGCAAAAACGTTTTTATTAAAGGTCTAATGTAGCAGAATGAATATTGCATTGATGGATTCTTTAAGGATTCTTCCTGAGCTAGGTTATACAAACGGTATTACTGCAGTAACGTTCATTTTATTGATAAGAATGAACCAGGAAAATACAGCTTAATTAAACAGATCGGCATAACCAATAAAATGCTGCAAGTGGAAAAGGGAAAATAGAGTTCCAAACGAGGCGCAGAAACTCTAGTGAATAGACGCGTGAATGTTTTCTAGCCATTTCCGATGATTATCCCATGAAATTATTGCGCTTTTCCATCTAGGGATAATTCATCACCAGTACCCTATACATCCAACAAAATTCTAATTTATGAAGGACACCATCAACGAAAAATTCATTTCGAGGAATCTCTATAGCGATCTAAAGTTCCGATTAAAATTATCTTTTGCACTCACTTTCGACAAAGGGTATCCGACAGGCACGGGGAGACCTTCAGTTATTAGTGTTCGTCTCTCTTCTTCAGACAGGTAAAACGGTTGTCGTTCAAGAGGCTAAAAATGTTTAAAAAGCTTTTTCAGAATCACGCAGGCTCCTCGCAACGATGTATGCTTTACTTAATAAATTAAATTTCATGTTGATAGTAGCGTTACTGCCGCTAAAATATTTCATTCTACACGGTAACAAGTCAGTGCAGAATTCTGTTGCAATCATTTCCATTGAACTAACGATTAACAAGCTGAGTGTGTTAAAAGCAATGCAGACTGACATTAGAGGTGGTATAACGTAATATCCTGCCAAAATAAAAAAGGCATAAACAAAATAATACTAAACCGTGATGTTAAAGATAAATTGCTTGTTGCATCTTAAGACATTAATTAAATTATAAGGAAAATTTGACCAATTAGAGGGCAGGCTTTATAGCAGGGTCCCTGGTTACAATAAATTATTAGTATCTATTATTTAAAAGTATAAATTTTCAGCGCATCATCAGTATCTTGGTCAAAGAACAGAAACATGAACAATTTCTCTTTGCAAAATTCTAGAATAAAGCATCTTTGGGTTTTTGAAATAATCTGTGGTTGTCGCTAAACTGCAACATGGTTAATCAACGAAATATTTAAAATATTCGCTTTTAACGTTTCACAAGTATGCTAAAATTGCCAATTCGCTAATGCAATAAGAAAAGATATGTGTTTACATACTTTCTCGCTAGTAGGTGTATTGTCTGCACTGGACATTCCGCCATCTTTGTCTCCAAGGAAACGCGTAGGTGATAAGGAGGCGCATCCAGGTGATGGTTGTCTTGGTGAATCGTAGCCTATAGAGATGAACAAAATGTTACTATGGGCTCAGTTTGTTTGCGTGCAAAGGATTCCATGCAAATTGCATGGTCGAAAACGATAATAGGCAACACATTACAGAGGTTTCTAAGATGATAGCGACGAAATATTTAAGATTTCTAGGCAAATAGGATTTATGCAACTTCAACATGCAATCTCAATCTTTCACTATCAGTTTGGTGCTTGGTTATAAGGTAGAACAAAAAGACTGACAGATACCGTTGGAGCATAATTCTTATAACAACTACCTCAAATATTTGAGGTAGAGAGGAATTAGCAACCCAACTTTTTGAGGTAAAAGCTCTTAAATTAAAAAGCCAAAATCAAGCTCTCTGAACAAACGATTATTTTTTGCTTACAACAGAGGGTGTGAGAAAGGGATTGGATGCAATGTTAACACAGGGAAGTTTTCCTGGCTGAAACCAAGTCTTCAAGTATTGAAACGACCATTTCTGAACTACACTACTTTCCATAAACAATTTCCAAAGCTTTGTTTCAGTTTTATATGAGAAAAATTGATAATTGAAATTCAAAGTACGATGTACGATAGGTGAAAGGCTTCAATGGGAAAAATGCAAGTTTTGAAATGTAAAGCGAGCTGAAAATCGAGAACAGCGAGATAAAGTAGAGCACAATAAAAGATAGTCTATAGCGCACTTCTGCCGCTGAATCGCTAAATATCACAGATATTTGGTCAAGAACACGCAGCCGAAGAAGTTACAGGCGTTTCCGTTGTTCTTTAAAAGGGGAAAAGACTTCGAGCACGTAATTGTTTAAGGTAGAAAAGCAGCCATCTTGAATCTTATAATTTTTGCAAATTTGGAAAGAGACAAAAAGGGAAAATCTTGGTCGAATCACAGGCCTAGTACAGATTTGATCTGCTGAAAAACATTTCAACAGTATCGCACATCAACACTTGTTGACACTAGGTTGAAGAGAAGACATAATGCTAAACTAAATACATATTCAAGATCACTCTTATACAAAAGTGATGTGTATAAAACCAAACTTTGTTTGTTTTCATAAGAAGAAGGGAATTTAGCCTACGCTGCAATGGCTACAATGCAAATCGGCTTAAGGAGAACGTATTTTGATTCAACTGGCGACTTTCAATTTTCCGGACGAAAAAGACTGCGCTTTAAAGATGACCTTACAAACAAGCGGATCTTTGGTGTGGAAGCATCCTTTTAAGGCATTGTGTCCGTCCAATAAGGGAAATGGAGGCAAAGGAACTTCATCAACCATCGCCAAATTGAGTAATCTACTTATCACGTGGTACTGTGCACTTTTACCACAGAATGTGATACTAGCACACAATACTAGTCACTTTTATCTGTGCTTTTACGACAGGGCTATTCTCAGCAGAATGAAAAATTCGTGATGGCTGGCAGTGTGTAAACATCATAGGGATATAACATTTGGAAGCGGAATGTAGGCGGCGGTGTGGGAGGGTGGGGGGGTGTAGAGAGAACATCTAACGAAAGAGGCGAGAAAGTAAAAGATCTAAATAAAAAATAACATTTACCTATTTTGCATAGGGCGCCATTGAGGAGTACCTATGGGCTACCATTGAAGGCTTTTATGTGTTAAAGTACTTTTAAGGTGTGAAATGATGCATGGCACTGTTGTTTTACTCTTTACGTTTTGAGGCAGTTTAGTTATTTTACAAACGAAAGCCCATTTAAAGGATAAACTAGATTTGATTTAGTCAAAACTCACATAATGGTCGTCCATTTTGCAACGAAGACAGCTCTGGAACAGTACAAGAAATTCTCGATAAAAGCGAGTGATTTCCTATAAGTAAAAAATTCTTCAAATTAAAAATAAGATCAATTTAATTTCTATTCACTTCTATGTTAGTTTAGGCCTAGATCGTAATTACGAATGATTAATATGTAAGATTAGAGAGATTATGACTTTAAAAAGGTATCTGCTATTCAGTCGATTTTAATCAAGCAAATTGCTTTTCAGTAAAGGCTTATAACTTCAAACTGTATTTCATTTATTTTAGAAATCCCAACATTGTTAAAAAATGCTCTGTACTTTGAGCAAAAAGAAGATCCTTCAACATGTTTAAGCACGTACAACGAATGTCTCAGGAATGCACTGTTCAAAACAGACATTAGTAAGACTTGCGCTTGGATAAAGGTCTGATAAGGGTAGGGCCTTATTGTGGAATTCCACAGTGGATTTACTATTGTTTAGCTGTCTATTTGTTTTGGTATTCATGCTTTAGTATTATATTCTTATAATTAACTGTCTGCATTGATACATAGCAACATATGTATTTACTAATCATTGGAGCATAGTTATACATAGTTATACTAATCCTCTCTTTTGCGTGTATCCATAATAACTTTACCCATAGAACAAATCACTAACTGCTTTGTGTGCAGGCTAAGTAATATCACACGTATAGCACTAAGAATTTGATTGGATGAAATATATAATTTACATAATTCTTGTATCTCATTGGTAGACTAATTCAAGGAGGTTATATTTTTGGAAATAAAAACTTGATGATAGTGTAGTGAAAGACACAAGATGAGAAAGACGCGAGAAGGGAAAGACGCGAGAAGAGTAAGACGCGAGAAGAGTAAGATGTGAGAAGAGTGAGACGCAAGAAGAGTGAGACGCGAGAAGAGTAAGACGCAAGAAGAGTGAGACGCGAGAAGAGTAAGACGCGAGAAGATTAGCCCCGGAAAAACGACTGAACACTTGCACTGGTCATGCACTGGACATTGCGCACTTTGTTCAGTGTGTGGACATCCAGAAATATTTGGTGGTGGCAAAACGACTGAACATTGCCCAGTGAACTTTTTCCTTGCTGAAGAATGCGCGCGGGAAAACTGGCAACAGGACGTCTCTTTGCTTTTGAAAATACAATGTTCATAGCCCTAACCACATCAACGTATAGCGTATGAATTAGAGTGATTATCGAAGTATGGCTAGGACTGCTAGGTTCATCACAATCACCGTACTCGTGCTGCTAGGTTCATCACAATCACCGTACTCGTGCTCTCTGCCATCGCTTTCCTCTTCAGAAGAATCTTCTTTCCAATGAAATGCTTTTTTCTGCTTTTCGTCTAATTGAATGTTAATGTTAATTTCATTTCTTTCGCGGTGTTTACTGGGAAAGCTTGTTGAAGATTTTAACATGGGAATAAAATGATGCCAAATCCAATCCATTACATCAATCGCGCGTGCGCGAACTGGACAATGTTCAGTAGGGTGACAAAACGACTGAACATTTCTCTATCTATGAACAAAAGAAATCTAATTTTGTCCATTGAACATTTTTGACTGCCTTCAAAATCGACTGAACAACACTCAATATCGCTGAACAAGATTTGACAAGATGGCAAAATTTACTAATACGCAACATTTACGCTGAACATTTTTTCCAGTGTATGTTCAGTGAAAATGTCCAGTCGGTTTGCCGGGGCTTGAGACGCGAGAAGAGTCAGACGCGAGGAGAGTAAGACGGGAGAAGGGAAAGGCGCGAGAAGAGAAAGACGCGAGAAAAGAAAGAAGATAAATGTGCCAGTTACTAACGAGTCAGTACCTCAAGCACAGTCTTTTTAAAAGCTGGTGACAAGTTGTGCAAAGGGTTTTTGAGTCCATAAAAGTCTGGCCAAAAAAGGCTGCCATTGTTGACACAATGGTACACTGTAGCTTTGTACACGGGTTATCTTTTGATCTCCGAAGAGTTGCGAAGTACAGCAACTGATAGATAAAGATTGAAGTAATAAAATCATACGTAAAGAAAGGAGATGATTAGAACAAATAAGATACAGAGACGGGTTTAGGGCATGAAGCGAGATTAATTTGAGGAAGGCCTATAACAAGATCTGTGGCTTGCGTGTGTGGAAAAGATACCATTTAATATGGTTTGGCTAACAGGTTGGTTAGCTGGCTTGGAGCGTCGCTGGAGCATGGCTAAAACAAGACAACCTATAATCCCTGAAAAAATGTTGAGACACAATGCAACTTCGCAATTTTTTACTCTACGTAGCCCTTGTAACTTCGAATCCCCTCTTGTTCCCCGAATCAATGTTGGATTTGTTAGGCCATCATTTGTGCTTTTAAAACATGCATTCAACAATTAAGGGGGGAGGAGGGGGGGGAATTAGATAGTCAATTTTTAAAAGGAAAGAGAAAACAATTATTGAAAAGTCTCAGCTATTTTTGTCCGGGATTGTAGGCTGGGCAGCACGTTACTTTCCTGTAGAGTTTAAAGAAATGGGTGGAAATAATGCAGAATTCAAAAGAAGAATGTCGTGACCTGAAATAGACGAGAGCATCAAATCTGCAACATTGCTAACACGCAATACACTGCCCCCATAGATCAACCGTTACACAGAAACGTAACTAGTAGACTTCGCAGAATACCAGGGTTCTCTAGCAGTTTTTTTCTTTCACAGAAGATGCTTGAAAAATATTTTGAAAGCCTCAGAACTCAAATTGCCTTTACCGTCATGTTTCTCTCCCCATCATTTAAGTTTTCCTACATGGCGCCGATGGCGTTATTCCCTGACGCGACCAACCTACGACACACTGCTTACAGTCTCTCTTTCCAGAACCATGGCTAGCCTCTGTTTAGAATCCCCTTTCATTCTGCCAACAATTGAAACAACGTATGTTGAATAGAAAAAACGCAATCAGTGCGTATGAACAGCAGTCTAATCTTTTGGTGTGGGTCGAAGAAAAATTGCTAGCCTTGTGGAGTAGTTTCTATGACAACGATAGTTCATATCATTATTCAGCTGAGTCAACTCTCTCGGGTATTCTTTCTTCTTCTTCATTCAAAATTGCAAAAACTACGAAGACAAACCTAAAACAGCGCCTTTGACATGTAATTTACAGAAGTCAGGCAACGTCTGCACACTAATCATTTCAATATTTCTCTCGTTTTTTTCTAGGATTTATCTTTACACGATATTAAACAACGGGATATAAAATGACGTCCAACTGCTCAGGAGCAGTTGGTAGGAGACCCATTGACTGAGCGGTTCAGCACTACCAACTATTTGAAACATTTGATTTAGGAAATGGCTGGGCAAAACTCGAAACTTTTTAAATCACAACTAGCAGCAGCATATACTCAAGACAAATAATGGTCTCTTTTTCGAAAGAAAAAAGGCAAGTCCCTCCTAGGATCTGGCTGACAAAAGTAGTCATGATGCTGACGATGATAGCAATAAGGGAAACCAGTTCGGGCTATATTGAATGCAATTTGTTGAACAAAGTAGCTGCAACTCTCTGGTTAACTCCTTTTTTACGTTTTAGGCGAGGAGCTCCCTAAGGTAATATCAAAATCAGGGGCAAAAGGGACTTGTTACATCCCTCAACGGTCGAGAAAACAAAAAATCATCAGAGAGTATTCCAAAGGCACATCCTATAACCTACCATATTTTTTCAGCTCGTACAAAAATTATGTTTAAATTGCATGCAAAAAAGGGCTGCATTATGTGTATACTAATTGTTTAAGGGCTACCCTTGATCAAAAAAATCTTTAGCTAGGCCTTTTTGGGGACAAGCAATCTTTATAAACTCTCCCCCAAAGAAAGGGATGGTATTTGAAAGGATAGGAACATAAACAAAAAGCAAGTAGAATATCAAGGTAATGGAGTGGGTGCAACCAGCTTTTAACCACAATATAATTTCGTGTCTATTTCAAATAACCATAATCAGTGGAGGCAACACACCGAAATGTGAAGGGATGATAGTATGCGGTGGAACGATGGCCGATGAAAGCAAAAGGAATAAAACGGCCTAGCCGATTATCGAGGGGTCAAGCAAATATGCTTCATGATGAAGCACGTCATGGTGGTCAGTGTGAACCATTTTGTCTTAAATACGATACGAGAAGATAGCAAAGAAGCTTTTGTTTAACTGGATCAAATTTAAAGAAAGGTGGCTATGAAATAGAAGAGATGTCATATACGTTTTGAAACAAACTGGTCAAATAGAGTCACGTCACGACAGTATATAAAAAAATAAATGAGTTGAACCACGCAATGTTAAGTTTAAAACAAAATGCATTCAGCCCTGAAGGAAACAGATCTTGGTTTGAGGAAAAAAAGCCGCGAGTGAAAGTAGCCTATGTTTTTATTTGGTGTAAACAAAGACAATAGGACCCACATGGCTTTCAACTGGTGATCAAAAGAGCAGTTGAAGGTTCCTATGTAACCAGAACAATAGAAGTTCATGGGGTATAGAATATTCTTGTGTGGCAACAAGTGTATTTTAATGAAAACCAAAAAGCAGCATGAAGAAAATGTCTTATACTAATAAATAAAGCGACTAACTAAGTGATTAGAAAAAACTAACATTTATAGTGGGCGGATTGAGGCAACTTAATTTGGTTCAATTCGTTTTAAACGTAGCAGTGTTTGCTAGTAGTGCTGCAGTGGGTTAAATATACGACTGTAGGCGCTGTGGGAAATGAGGAGGCAGTCAGGCCATGGGAATAATGCTATTTAAAAAGCTGGATAAACCCGCTGACACAAAGAAAAACAGAGGAGTAAATAAATAACCTGTTTTGCAATGAATGAATCAGTTGCGAGTCGCGTTGCGACGTACTGTAGATGAAAAGTTTGATATTTTGAAAGACTTAAACTCACCAGAATCATTACCATTGCTGTCACTCTCTCTTCTAAAATTTGACGCACAGGATCTAATGTTCCGATTTTTTTCACTAGCATTTGTCCGCCCTATTTTGTGATCTGGAACCCTGTGTGCGTTATCCTCTGATTCTGATTTCAGTCTCTGAATTAACTCCCTTGCTGTTGCCAGACTCAGTGAATTTCTGTCTAGTTGTGTCAGTACTTTAAAATTTTGTGCCTTTTTCAATATATCTGGTATAGTGACATCAGCCAAAAGTTTCGTTTGTATTCTCTGTTTCACCTCATCCGCAGGGGCAAGAAATGGGTCGGGGGAGGGGGTCCCAGTTGAAATTGGTGTTTTATAGACTTCGCCGGCATAATCATCAGAAATCAAATTCAGGCTTTCCACAAGCGATCCACCTTGCATGTTTTGCCCTAATAATTTTACCACCGAAGGATATACATTGCCCATACTTAAAGGTACGTCTGACAGCTTTGAAATTGGGGGGTTAAGTGCATTGATGTTGCATGTGTCATGTGGGGGTTCGTCGAAGAAGCTGTTTAGCCAGTCGACTCCTTGGTCCATGTCATCTTCATTGGGCTATCAAAACAAAATTATAATTGCACCCAAGTCTATAATATGTTCATTTAAATATTCTTGTAATTTGACAGCTAAACAAAGGCACTCAAAAAGTGCGACGAGGCTTATCAATAGTTTTGTTTTCAAATAAAAACTGGAAAAAGGAAAGGCAGCGGATAAAAGGAAATAAATTTATTAGGGCCGAAAAAATGCGAGCTCTTTTAAAAATAAAAACAAAGAATAAGAGAAGTAGCGGCCTTCTATAACTGCATTATGCGTCGGAAACCCCAAGCATTTGAAAACAACAGGTTTACAATCCTAGCATCGAGGTAGAAAGCATCATTTACACAAGTTCCACTCCAAATGTTGTTGAATAAAGATTTAGCCAAACCTAAGCAATTCTAGACATTTGTGCGACCTTTGGGCTCTTATTTCGTGTTTTCAACAAAAATCTTCTTCCAGATAAAAAGATTTTATCGTTGTGGCTATAATTGCATTTACTTTTAAAACTTCATTCAGCAAAAGTCAAAAGCCAGTTACATATTTAATATCAACACGAAAGATTATCTGAGAATACGGCGTCGCCACCTATTTCGCCATTTGAGAATAGCGTGGGGAAGCAAGACTTAAGAATCTTTCATACTGCGTGCCTGAAAAACTTACAGAAATACACTACAAATCTCACTACTCACGACATTAGAGGCGCCTTGACCAAAAGGATCGAAATCTGGTTCCGGGATGATGTTGTCCAAAATATTTCCCGAGCTCTGTCCATAGTCTTCGAAATAATGAGGTTCTTTTTTGACCAGATTTAAATCAAGTTGGAGCTGTTCCATCCTTTCCCTTGTTATCTAAATGAAGACAACACCCCTTCCAAAGAGCCTCTGGCCTAACAGACGTAACCTCTGGCGAATGCCCCGGTGAGTACTGCGCAAAAACCTTTTGTTACGACCCTGTAATAGGAAGAATCCAGCAACCATAAAGACCACAGAGGGCATACTTGCTAACCTCAAGGTTAGCCAATCAAAAGCGTAAATCCTTCAAGTACCAGACAAAGAACAAAGGGTGATTCCCCAGTCTTTTGTTCGAATTAAAAGCTGATATCTAGGATACGAGCGTAAACTCACAAAAATTCGAAACACATGGAAAAAGAGTGCGGGGTGCTGTTTTAAAAATAATCAAATGTAGGCCTATTATTCTGACCATGAAAAGAAATTTGAATTCCTTAATAACTGTGAATCACCATGGGAACTAAAGTCCCAGCGATCTATGGATTCAAAACATTTGCAAGACGCTCGCCATACAGCAACACCAGTCTGTGAATGTCAAAACCCACCCTTGCTTGCCAATATTAAGTGTTCAACATTAAAATAAGTATTTTGTTTTTGCAATATGGTAAGAACGGATATGGGTGGGGGAAGGAGGTGACATTTTGATCCTCACGTTTTTTTTAAAAGAATATTGGCAAGAGGTGAAGGGGCACCAAAGATACAAGCCTTTAGGTTCATAAATTAAGTGGGAGTCTAGTGGTGACACCGCTATAGAAGTGTTTTGGGACGCCCTCTCATTGTTTTGGTTCAGCGTGTAGCACCAAAAAACATTATTCACATAGTTGGCATAAAAACTTCGATACATTTGCTAATTATCAAAAAGTGACAAATCATATTTCCAGGAGATTGTTTTAAGAAATTGGACCAAAGTAGGCTTCTCCGCCCAATCTTTGCAAGTTGTTTCCATAAAGATCTATTTAGATGGGGTATTCAAAAATCATCATTTCACTATTAGAATACGTTTCAGTGGATGAATATTTCGGAAAGCGAAGTTTCACCGACTTCAAACCTCATTTGCCTCCTCTGGGTTCTTCGCCTGCCAAAAGGCCTTGGAACATCCTGAGATTTCTGTGAATTCACGTGTCCTATGCTATTTCCATGTCAACAAGGAGGGTTTCGCCCCCCTTCCCCCTCATACAATGTTGATTAGTTAATCATATAAAATTTGTAAATCATACAAAAGGCTTGATAAGTTTGTGAAAAAGGACAAAGAACCCGAAAATATCCTTTCAAAGAAACACGAAATCTTCAAAGAGACGTCGTTATCACAAAAGATCTGATGATTAGTGATTGGTTCGATTGCGAAATCTTCTTTTGATTGACGCAATCCGAGGGCTGCGAGTGTGCAGAGATGTCATGGCACAGTGATCATGGCCAGATCTAGCGTAGCATCGAAAACCACTGGTAAAATTAGGTAAAATGACTCTTCTCCCTGTTCAAAGCAATGTTGAAAAACTTACTGAAATGGCAGGCAATTCTCCTCCTGGCATTAATTTTATTGAAAAGATACAAATTTGATAGAGCAAACTGATTAACGTTATGATCGAGGAAGGCATTTTAGGGAAGAATTTATTCCGGGAATTTCAGGAGAAAAAATTCGATCTTGTTACTGAGACTTTTTGAGGTATTTCGAGAGGTTTGCTAGAAAAGGCTTGGTAAGTTGGCCAGCTCCAGTTGAAGACTCCATTGCGAAAATTCCACCGAAGAAACACATTTTTGTTGATCAGTTTCTCAAAAATAACTCTAGCAGAAACATAGTTCAACAACATTGTTGCTACATAGAACATCGAAAATTCAGCATGTCACCAGCAAATCAGAGGTTCTTCCACAGAATGCACAAGGCAAAAACGTGCAGCAGCCAATAAAACAGTCCATATTACTTCAGTGATCTATATCTTTGTCCTCTGCTACTAAGCGATCTTAATCTTTCCTTTTTGTGATTCCAAACATTTAGTTTTATGCTTACAGCAAATTACAAGGGCACTAGTTACAAAGCTGTTCCATAATTCCTACTATTGCAGCTAATCGTCTATTTCTGTTTTTTTACAGGATTTCTTTTACACAAAATTATCTGTGTAACATTATTTAGCAATGACTACTATACAAAATTCAATGATACGGCCGACGCATGAAGTAATGGAAAACGACAGCTCGATTTGCTTATTGGAGAAATATAAAGAATTATTTAACTCCTTTTTTGAGCAAAATTATAAAATGATAATCGGAAACAAAATTACAAGCTCTCTAAGAGGCAAAAATTTATCAGTGTGTCAGCAAACTTAAATAGAATGGTGAAGGTCAATGAAAAGTGAAAACATTCTCACGAGTGAATGAAAACATATGGTTTTGGTTGCATGAAAACCAGAAGAGAAATTCACTAGATGGTGAAAATCTAACGGGAAAAAAGTTTAGAAGAAAACTTCCTTGTTGCTTTGCGTGTTAACCTTTGTCTCTATCCCTTGCTCTTTGTTTGGATCTCTCTGAGGAGATAAAATCTTTTCATTCTTACGAAAACGTGTTTTTCCAAGGCCATCAAGCACATCTAGAGTGCAGTTCACACTTCCGTATTCTTAAAGCCTGGATGATGGTCATTTTGACAAAATTTGAAACAGTGGATTGGTTTTTCTATAAACGCTCACAGTAGGTAAGAAGGTGTTGCTTTACACTCTGTTGCTAAGACACCTGTTTTAATTAAAAAAATTTGAAAGCAATCACAAACAAGACATCAACTCTTTCCTTCTTTCGGTTTCGGATAATATTGGTTCTGCAGACATGAAACGGAAATGTGGATATTAGCTGATTTTTTTCACATGATTGCACTTGTTGCGTAATTAAATTACTCACGTTGGTGAATAAATGCCTGACAAATTTGCTGAGTAAAACAACTCAGTATATACGGAGCCACTCACTTACGAAGTAAGCTGCAGGGCAATGGATACATTCGATTGACTTTTAAAGGAAGAACGCAAAGTGTAAAACAAATAGAATCAAGGACACGATTTCGTTTTTATTCCATTCAAAAGTCAATCTGATAAAAGTATAAAAACTGCAGAAAATAAAAGCACGGGTAGATATGCTACTTTCCTGCTTGGCGACATTGTTGTTTTTAAAGTTCGAAGCTTGGTTTCTCCTTCATAGTGACACCAGATTGCTGAATGATGTAGTTGGCTGCGTAGTGTCCGGCTTTTATACAGGTTTCTAGAGGTTTCTCCTGAATCAACTGACTCAGGAACCCTAGCGTGAAAAAAAAGAATTCATAAATTAACCACAGTTAGTGAATATTTACTGCAATGTGTCCTTTAAGAGAGACCAATTTTTCATCAAGGAGACATTTTCTAGCGATTAATACCGCTTAGCAGCTAAGCCTTGGCTGCAGCTGTAGAGTACATTATGGACATGGGGGTAACTGGCATTAAAACTGTGAAAACAGGGTCAAAATTGGTAAACCAATTGCTAGACACACTGAATGAAAGATTAGGAAAGCCTTAGAATGGCAAAATGTCTTAAAAATCCAAATCCGACACACATCGACCTGGCCAACATTCCATCTGTTTTTAGAATTTGTACCTTCTACACAAATACACTTTTGGCTTAAAAAGGCAGTCTTTCTTTATGTTTATACGTCCAATCTACACGGCATCAATGATTTTGTGACTGAAAATGCAAGAATTTGAAAATGCAAGAATTTGATGACTTGAGGCTTTTGAAACGAAGGAATTTTCGTGTAATTACAAATTTTCTGATTCGGTTTCATTTGATTCTTTGTATCTTAAGCATGCAGAAAATATATCATTCCATACAAATCCCCATTTAAACATGGTAACCCCCTTTTTGAAGAGAAATGAAAGTGCAACTGACGTCGACCAACTGATGAAGTCCTTAAGAATCCTTTCAAAATTTGACATAAATTGATTTCCGCAAATATACCTGTATATGTATTTCCTGTACTTTACACTTTCAATTACCGTGAGAAGGTTTACATCCAGAAGGTGCTTAATAGTAAGCATGGTTTATTTCTCAGCTTGGGAAAGTCTTTGGGGGTTTTCAAACAAACCGCAATGTAAATGGTCCACAAGCAATATCGTTTGTTGTTAGGTACATGTTGGTTGAAATGCTTTTGAATATTTACCTCTACAGAAACACCAATGTTCTTCCTAAATGTACTCGAAGCATACCCATGAAAAATAGTCATGGTCTCAAAAGTATCAAATCAACAGTGCCTCGTAGTGAGCATGCCTCCTATCCAAACCTTTCTTCAGCCACTTTCATTATATTGGTACGTAAAGGTTATTGTTAAGCCTGAAAGCCTAATCTGCTAATTCTAGACTTTGTCGGAAAGGAACAGTCAAAGGCACAGACCTCCAACGAAGGCATCGCCAGCACCATTTGTGTCGACAATATCCTCTTCCTTAATTGGAACCACCGGGAACTCTATGATCTTGCCATCTGGAGAAAAAATCGGGAAAAATTAGCTTTTTTCCAAAAGCGATAATTAAAATGGTCCCATTTGAATGCTAGTCGTTAGAGATTTTGCCATAAACCTTCACAGAAACTTTAAGACCAGTTAAGTTGAAAACAGGTCAAAGGTGCACAACAGTAGTTAGCTCAGTCTGGGTTTCTTTGTCTAGTAAACAAACTGGAAAAGTTTCAGATCTACGACTCACAATTCCCTGCCAAATTCCGTTACTAAACATTAAAGGAGGGTATGACCATTAATTTCATTTGAGACGTAGAATGAAAGCGTAAGAGAAACACAAAAAACTCTCGACTTTCTGCCTAAATAGGACTCGTCTTTTGAACTGTTAGCAATAATTTTTTTCTCACGGCGCTTTCCTGTGCATTTTTCATTTAAGTTTTAGGTAGAAACGAAGCATCATTTTGCAATCAAAGTTAAAAATGTTAAAATTTTTTGAGCTATAAAATGTGAAGTTAAAAAGTGAGGTTTTTAATCATTATCGGATCAATTTGCAGTAAGATTAAATAAGAGCCTTTTTGGAAGAACAAAAACATTACACGATTTCAATTTTAGCCATTACTAATATCAAAAGAAACTAGAAGATTTTTGTAAAATAACTTCTTTGTAGCGAAGATTTTTCCAATCAAAGTTAATTAAATAGAAACTTTCAGCTATTATATGATGATTGCTTTTGTTCAAAGTTGCCGTCAGGAAAAATCAACCAAAAGTTATTGTTTACAAAATTCTCCTTCATCTGTAAATATTTCTATGAGTAGTGAAATTGCTTGAACATTAGGCAGCTTTGCAATGAAAACAATTCAATAAAAACATGGTACCTTGGGCAACGATAGTTTTTGAAGCACCTTGGGTAATTACAACCATTCTTGTCCGCGACTTGTTAACTTTCTCTAAATTGCTGATTTTAAGCGCAATTTCTTGAATGTCTTCCGTCTATGAAAATTGAATTGAAAAGTCAAAATTAGGCACCATTTATCATTGGAGCAGCAACCATTAGCAGATTACAAAAAGAAGCGGCTAAAATTTTGCTAAAATTTTGAAAAAATTTGGCCATAATTTTGCTGAAATTTTGCTACAACATCTATTAAAAGTTGCATTCCCTCTTCCTCTTGAAACAGTGTAGAATGGCAAAAATTGTTGAAGCTTAAAATTCACCCAAAGTAGTTCTATCGGATAGCTTAAGTCGTAGATATTTAAAACTGGCTTTGAAATATTTCTTATGCATACTTAAGTCGAAATGAGGTAATCAGTAACGCAAAGAACAAGACTGTAAAGGTTGCCCTGTCATTACCGCCTGCCTGTAAAAAGCATTACCAGTGGAGTCCAAGGGTTAAAACCAACTCCTTCTATCAATCTGATAGAAGCTTTTCTAACAGCATTGTTTTTTGGGGGAGGGGGTGTTTGCGCAATAAGGCGAAACTTTCAATTTTCGAAAATCTTTAATTAAAAGGTGTCCCAAGAGCTATTTGCAGGATTGTAGCATGGATGTGTAAACATCGACACAAGAATGTGTAAACTTTATCAGGCGATCGCACAATAGCGTTCTAAAATGTCACGTCACCAAAAAACCCAATTTTCAGAATTTTTGAATTTTAACCACATAACATAAAATTTCACAATGAAACACTTCCAAATATGCAAAATTGGCAAAATATGTCCAAAACCAGTTGAGATATTGCCAATGAAGTTTGATTTGAAATTTGCTAACGAATCACAGATATTTTCGCTCTGTTCATAAAGTTATGAGCAGAGACCAAAATACAGAGGTTTGATGGGGAGAGAACCAATGAACATGTTGCCATATTTCTGCCAATTCGTAACACACTTGCCTGATTTTGCACATTTAGAGGTATTCTATGATGCTCTTTCAGGTTATCGGATCCAAATTAAAAAATTCTAAAAATAGATTTTTGTGACGTCATTATTTTAGAGCTCTATGATACTCACACCAAAACCTTGCTCCTTTGCAAAAGTTGTGGCTTCCTGAAAGCAGAAAATGTCGGGCTTCATAATGAAAGAAAGAAATCGAAGAGAAATTGTAAAAGTGATATTCAAAGTAAAAAATGACGAAATGATTTGTACGTTGTGGCTTCCAGCTGAGAGGGCAAAAGGTAATTAAAAAAAAATATGATCTTGGATCAAACCATTTGATAGGAACAAAAAACTTTAGAAGATCTTTATTAAAAAGGCTTTTTTAGAAGTAGTAAAAGCTTAATCGGCATCAAATGTCATACATTTCCTTGTGATAACATTTAAAAACTGATTTTGAAAAAAATTGCAGAACAGATCGGTCTGGGTATCTTGGCAAATAAAATAGATTCCCCGCTAAAATTTTCAGGTTCACAAAGTGTCGTCATAACAACAGTTGCGGATCAATACAAGGAAAATCTTAGACAAAGTTCAAAGAGATGTGCTTGCGTATAGCTAAGCAAAAAATTTACGCCACTGAAAGATTTGTGATCTTTCAACATTCTTTCTTGATAACGGTACAATTTTGCGGTTAACAAGCTGGGGCACTAGGCGATCATAAATTCCGCGTACCTCTTGTTTTCACTGGGTTTAAAGAGTACATCAACTATATTGCTAAACGAGTTATCGGTGAATGAGATGCGTGTTTTCAGCTCGGTTGCAAATCTTAAAAAAAATTCAACTTGAAGAATAAAACCCTTTCAGATCACATGACACTGAAAATTTCAGATCAAGCCTAAATTTCAAACGTCGGTACCACCTTATAAAAATGGATAACCGCTTATAAGCAAAATTAATCTGGCAAATACAAACGGTCTCGTTTCCAAAAAGAATGTCCATATAAGGCATAGCTTGCATCATTGGCTCTTTGAAGAACTGGCATAAAAATGGAGCTGACAAGTTCATCATGAAAAACTGTGGAGAAATAAGGGAAAATAAGTGTGAATCTTGAACAAAGTTGATGGGTTCTGCAATAGCAGAATAGAGGATGAAAATCAACCGACTTTAGCCTGAGATTTTATTATAATTAGTGTCGCATATAATGCTAAAAATCTCCTAAATATAAAAGACGTCAGTTAATGGCAAATTGCGACGTTAACAGAGAGGAATTTGGAACAGCGTCCAGAGAGAGCTACAGTCCAGAGAGAACTACAATCCAGAGAGAGAGTTACAGTTTAGAGAGAGAACTACAGTCCAGAGAGAACTACAATCCAGAGAGAACTACAATCCAGAGAGAACTAAAATCCAGGGAGAACTACAGTCCAGAGAGAGAACTACAATCCAGAGAGAGAACTACAGTCCAGAGAGAACTAGATTCAAGACTCGTTTTGTCATTTATATATTGCACATGAATTAAGTATGGAAAAATTCGTTGAATTCTAACTTCATACTTTTGCATTAACAAAACTTCTTGAAAATTTAAGAGAGCTTTGTTACTAATTCAAAGTTGACGCATGGAAATAACTATGAACCGTTTTCCTTCAAATAATGTCACAGATTCGTTGCAACTTGTTATGCCTAATTGCCTAGATCAGATTATGAGAGACAAAGGCAAACAACACTGATGCAGTTCACATTCCAAAAAACATTTACTATCTAACCTTATCGTGCTCAGCAGCGTGCTTAGCGACAGTTATAATTGACTCTGGAGAAACTGTTAGGAAGAATCCCTGTAAACATGAGCATAAATGTTGAAAGAAGCAGTTGGAGACATAAAATGAAAATGACAGCTAAACTTTATTTTTTTAAGGAAATAGGGAGGCAAAAATCACATGGCAAACAGTACAACATAATTTCTGAGATCCACGCTACCATGATCATCAGGGAACGTCATTATAAATGGAGGATGGCGGGAGGGGGGCGAAGATATGAAGGGGGCTCTTTTATCATCTTTCTTCCTTTAAGGCAGACAAAAAATCACCAAACAAGAGGGGGGGGGAAAGAAAAATGTCAGTCAAAATTGGAAAGTATCGTCTCTTCTAGAACTATATTAAATTATTCTTAATAATAAAGATGAGTAGTTGGATGGCTTTTCCAGGACAAACATTTCTGCAGCTTTGACCCTGGGTTGGTGCTATGCTTGGCTTGTCATGCTTTAGCTTTGGTGATTTCTGAAAATAAGGTGGTCTGTTTGTGCAATGGTCTGCTCAGGGTCAAGACACCATCAACAAAAAGTGTGTCATTTTAAATTTGTTCGCAAGGTATTAAGCAAACTTTGTATTTACTCAGAAAATGTGTGTTATTTTAATTGATATGGGGGAGAAGCTGCAAAAACATATTCTTGGACTAAAGCTGGCAATATTGTAGCTGTATGCAATTGAGAAAGGCAAAGAAAATAGCTGCATTCTTAAAAAAATATCTTCTGCCCCACCCCCTATCATTGAAAATGACTGGTCTGTTAAGACACAATATTTGGATTTCTCACACTGAATGCCAATCTATTAACGAAATCGGATTAAACTATACATCATTCGATGCACAAGAATTTTGTGATTCTAACCATATCAAAATAAATAGCAACTATCGTAAAATGATATGTTCCAGGCAAATTTATTGCTTGAGCGAGTGTACCACCTTCAAAAGCTTTTTTGTACCCTTGCATTTGAAAATTGGTAATCTATTTTTCTACACTCCCAGTTGTATTTGGCAATAAAAGAGAAACCAGAGCAAATACAAAAATTTTGAGACACACTTTGCTCACCCAACATCTATCCTGGCCGTATAAAAATTTGTGAGCCATAATTAAAGAATTTTAGCATGGCTTCCAGTCAAGCGCAAGTTAACAGGTAAAGAATCCTTTCAAAAGTGACACTCTGACATCTCCTATGCCACAGGTCGCCTTATCATCACTAGACCTTGAGTCATATCAGAAAGATAACAAGGGTACAATAAATTATTCTATTATTTTCTATCCACCTGCAATATTTCAAGAGATGAAGGTGGTAGAGAAGGGGGCAAAAATAGCAAAGAGGCTACAGGAAGGTGCTTAGAATTGTAGAATTAGTGCCCCACTGCCCATAGCACTTAAGATTTGAGAAAGCAGAAACTTTGCCATACACAAAGGAAACATACCCCTACATAAATATACTTGGCACTTTCGATTATCTTTTTGTTTTCTTCTACATCAAGATGATTCTTCTTGAAGTTATTTGCAGCAGCTAAGTTTGCAACCAAGGAGCTAAAATGACATTTAAAATGACTATGTGATAAAAATTCCAGCAACCTCTTACTAATCAAGCTGAAACATTTTGTCTGCTCACTGGACAAATGTCTCCTTCAGAGGTTTCAGACAATCCAGCTTTTCAAAGTTGTATGAAAACAATCATCAGGGTTTGATAATCCTTTCACAATGCTTGGCAAGGGCCAAAAGTTCCCTACCAACATGCAGATTGGTATCCCTTGCATCAAGATGCAGATCGCTGAAATCTTTTTCAGTCTAGAAAAAATACATGAAGCTCTATGGCTAAAAATTTGGGAGGATCATTTGCCATGTACAGTCATTGCAAATATTGTGTGATCTTTTCATATCATGGCATTGAAGAGAAAAGAGCACTGAAATCTTTACAAGTCTACTATTGTTAAATGGAATGAGTTTATCAAATGTTTTGATCAAATAATCACAATAGCTGTATGTTTGTAACACAGTGGAGATTTGACTTAAAGGTTTTTGAACATACTACAGGTCAGTGACTGAATCCAGTTCATTTCTATTGACAAGCTCACTTCTTTGATTCATTCATATAATAAAAAAGGGTCAGGAAACTTTAATTCGAATACGCTACAACTGCTTACCGACTCTTGCCACTGAGAAGTGCAGCACAAGTGCCAGTAGGTGTACTCTCATCAACCTGGTACATGACATTGACGCCTGCACTCTCAGCTATCTCCTTCAGCTTGTCACCATAACTATCTTTGCCAATACAGCCAAAATAGGAAGAAACTTTTGGCATTTGAACCATCCACTGCAATACTCTCATGCTATTTTGGGTTGCCCCTCCTGCTATATACTCAATTTCATAGTTATCCACCAATTCTTTGTAACTAAGAGCAATGAATAAATACACATCAAAATAACATAACGCAAGAAAATTAGGTACTACCAAAACATTTTTCATAGAAAAGTTAGAACTCTAATGATATTTCAAAGTGAGTCAGCACAAAGATTAAATCCAAACTAGATTGAATTAGAAAGGGGACACATCTTTACTTACATTGGTAAGTGCTTTTCTTCGGCAAGGATAGCATCATTTGCTTTTAGTACATACCTACAGCAGCAAATAGACACAATACATTGATATAAAAGTACAAACAGAGAAATACAAGTCTTGAATGATAGAAGTCATTTTTGCCATTAAATACAAGTCTATGAAACAAAATGCTAGAAAATTAAGCCAGGTAACACTAGCAACAATATGACATTCTCATTGACTTTTTAGTTTTTTGAGTGAAAGTCTTTCAATGTAAAACAAGATTCTTATATAGCCATGCTTCACCAAAAATAAATCCCACTAAAATTTTAGCTACTTAATGTTTTCTGTTAGTTCACTAGTGCACTTGGGGTATTCTCAGTCAGATTATCATTTAGAACAAATTAAAAAAATATTTGTTATTCTCATTGAATAACTCACTGAATTCAGTGATATAATATATGTCAGAGTAATAATAAATTTCACAGTGCCAACACATTTCTGCATCAAAAGATTTGAAATATCTAGCCAAAAAGATCTCTGGTTAGAAATAATCACAATTGTGAACAGATTTTGAACAGTGAAGCAATAGGCATGTAATGCTAACAATGTGGCACCTACTTAAACAAGCTTAGAAAACGATTTTTGGCTTATTAATGTAACATTTCATACTTTTCCAGTAAATCAGTACCAACTGTTGCAGAGAGATCCAGCAGTGGGTTTCCTATGCCAAGAAGAAGGGACTCCCTGTCAAAAAGATAAACAAAATTGGTTCAGTTTCCATACTCTGTTGGTCAGCAATGGTCATAAATTGTGAGGAAAGAATGAAGGTTATTTGGACAAAAACATTTTTCATCTGGCTGACTTTCTTTTTTATGTCTAAAGGATCAAGGTTTTGGCAACAAAAATAACATTCTGCATTAGAAACCTACATTAAAAAGTGTCACTTAAGCCTCAAACAAACACTTTAAAAGCCTCTTCTGCACTTTTGTTTACTTTGCTACCATAAAGAAACTTAACACATCCTCCTGTGTATATTTTAAAGAAATTTTGTTTGATTTTACCAAGCATGTGAGAGATTTTGCACTACAATCTCTGATCACCCACAAGCAACAATGACATGCTAAAAATCCTGTTAGCAGGATAATTCCAGCTGTTGGAAACTGACACAACACATTTTTGTTTAAGGATCTTCAAGCTGAGACAAATAAACTGAAACAAAGTTAGTGAAGAATCAGGCATCTTGAACAATTCTGTTCCACCTCAAACCAGAGGGCATGAGCTACGCAATACACTTCAAATGGTCTGTTGATTCCAAGTTTTGTTTGTTTGTTTCTTTACTTGAAAGATAGGGAAATAATTCATTATGAAATGATGTCTGATGCACGCATTAAAACTATGGGTATATTGTTTATATATTTCCAGGTATGTTGTTTATTAATTTAACCTAATAAAAGTTCTCTTAATTTATCTTGATATAACAAATTCCAGGGATTGTACTTTTTTTGCCAAATAACACTTTTTTAAAGAAAAATCTAAAATCTCCAGGTTTTGAAAATTTTAGGTTGACAGGTCTGTTATGTCCTTTGTAGCATCAATGTCTTTGTGCATGCCTGGTCTTTCTTTGAAAAATTTATTTGCCATTGACTGTTGTTGATTAATGAAAGATAAAATCTTGTTCATTATCTATGATAAATCGCAAGCTGAACTAAGCCGCTGTTTTATCATCAAAACTGGGCCATTTCGTAAGACCCTCAAATCGACCGGACCTCCTTTCAGGCGTTAGTGGCAGTATCACCCCCCCCCCCCGGGTATTTCTCCCTCCAAAAAACCAGGTTTAAATCGTATTTAAAGGCAAAGCAAATTCGAAATTTACATTCATCTTTTTACAAATTCCAAAAAAATTCAAATATATTAACTTTTTAGATTTTTACTTATTTTAAAAAGCATAGGATAGGGCGCTGGGCCCAAAAACCGCTTGGTTCATCCCAGTGTCCTGGGCCAGACCTCTACCTAAAAATAAAACGTATTGTAAATTGTTTAAAGCAAACTTGGAATTTTATCTTATATCTTAATGCAATCTTATACTTGTAAGTAGTTATTGTTTAATTACAAAGCAAACAAATCCACTCCCACGTGAGCGATTGCCTAGTCTAAGGCCTACCCAGAGCCTAGCCTAAAATCACAGTCGAGACAATACAAGTATTGCTAAGGACAAGATCTTTACCTCAAAATTGGCTTCGCTTTTTTCTGTTCTGGCTCCATTGCTGTTAATTCTTGTCTCTCTTGAAGGCGCTTCTTACCAGAACAGATCTTTGCTTAGATGGTCGTTCCCGCCGCTTCTTTTAGGGCAAATGGGAGGAGCAGCCTCGTTTGTGGCTAGAAATCTGGCCGCAAGTGACAACTTGAAGCACGACTACTCACACTGACTGCTCAGTGTCGACTCCCTCACGCCATTGCATACAAACGAGCCAGGAGATTTTCTGATTGGCAGGTAGACTTTTAAAACAAGGGCTTAAACCACACTAACCTCAGAAAGAGTAATGCTTGAATTATATTATCAACCTTCAAATTCAGTTTTTCTTGCAAGAAATATTACAGAAATACCTCGCAACAGAAGATACTGCTGTGTAAAAATGAGCCATAAATTTGGAAAGAAGTGTAAAATTCCCTTGTTATTGCCTTAAAGATAAATTCGAATCCATGAAACTAAGATAAAAACCCTCCAGTTAAAGGTTGCCGGGCATTTAGAACTGCCATAAACTTTTACATTCAGATTTATGCTTAGGGTCTATTTTAAGGAATTTTCATTACACCACTAATCAGCGTAAACAGATTATTTTTGGGGCAAAAATGGGCTCGACATCTAATTTTGTATTACTTCCAGGCTCAAAAAAATAAAAGATTTGTATAAAATAAGGTCAGGACTACGAATTTACATGATCAAAAAAACATCTGAATTTTTTTCCTGACACAAACCTCCGCAATGAACTTTTATTAACCTGGCCCTGCCCTGTGATTTGTAATTCGCAAAATCTATTTACATGACAATAACAGACCTTACGACCAGTGCTGTAGTGCTATCAAGATAATAAGGAGAGTCTTGCACAAAATGTTTTAAAAAACAATAGAAAAAGTTTAAATTTGCCAATTTTAGGCATCAACAAAGGGGGTTCAGCTCCCTGAGCCCCCTGGCTCTACACCCCTGCTTACAACCATATCAAGCGGTATATCAGAAGAAGCACATGATGAAGTTACTACCCCAGGCGGCAGCATGGTTTGTTGGAAAATGCACTCTTTAAAGCAGTTTTTACTTATATTTATTTGTGTTATTTATAATTTTACATGGCAGTGTGATTCTGCCTACGTAGGATGCACAACTCAAAGATTGGGGGATAGGATAAAACAACACGTTTCTTTCAACATGAGAAACAAAACTGAACCCCCCAAAAAGAACAGCCTCCTCGATCTTGTAGGTCTAAAAACACAGTAAAAACTAGTGACTCTGCCATCGGACAACACCATTTAGACAACCCAGATTGTGCAAAACTCTATAACGACGAAATGTTCCAGATAATTGGCGGAACCAGGTCGTCTTTTTATCTAGCAGTTTTGGAATCGAAAAAGCCGCCATTGTGTAGACAGAAGAAGTTCGCTTTCTCTCTTGGACTCAAGGTAATTTTATAGGCACGCAGCACTGATTGGACAACTTTTCAATTTTTCATTTTTGTCACTGTCATTAAATCCCTGTTCCTTGATATGTTAGGTTTTCATCAAATTTCATTCATCACTGCACGTTATATTCTTCACTGTTAATGCTCCTATCCAACCTATACTGGCGCCATTATTCTGACCGTCATAAACATACGCCCTCTTTCTATCCTTACAGGAAAAGAACTTTATACATCAACGAAAAGCTACTACAAGACTAGGTCTTCTTGAATTACAATATTAAGATATTAAGGTACTTTTCTTTTAGGCCTATTGGCCAAAACACTTTTAATCCCAGTCTCTAAAAGTCGCATAAATTCATCAACATCAAAAGCATAATTTGTGAATTTTGAATGTTTGCCAAGAGTAGGATGATGTCCCTGTAGAGAAAAGAAGCAACATAAAACCTTGTGTAAAACATGAAAGAAATTCGATAATTCTTTAAATAACAGCCTGCTGACGGTCATCAGATAAAAAATTTTTATACGGGAAAGAGAGGAGGACACATCGATTGTAACTGATGCTGCTTCTAACGTTCGAGAAGTCATAGTTTTCCATTGGTCTTTCCTTAAGTAGCAAATTAAATGGATACCTCGTCTTGCTGAAATAGTTTCTCTCTTCGTTGCCAAGTAATGTAGTGCACGCCTCTAAGGAAATAATTAAAAAAAGCAGGTAGTGACACACAGTCACAAAGAAAGATCAATAAAGAAAATAAATATCGGCCATAAAACGCGCTCTAAAAGGTCAAGGTGGCCTACGGATATTTTGCAGAGTAGAAAGGCCACCTGCCTTGACCAACAGCTTACTGGAGAATGTGGCCAGTCCCCTCAATCCCTGCCTTCAGCATATCAAAATCCACATTAACTGAACCCCCACCCTCAGGTAGGGAGATTGAAAATGGACATCGGTCCATATCAAGAGGTGAGCATGCATTGCAACTAAAGATGTTCAGAACCTTACTGAAGCACTTTATCCACCCGGCACATCACCATTAGACACAATAAGGCTACACGATGATAAGTTCAATTTTGTGCAGAACAAAAAGCAACAAAGCTCCGCATTTTTAAACCAGAAAACTCAGCTTCAATTTATACCATTAATGAGCTAAAACAACAAAGTCAGAAAATATAATCTTGCAAAGACCTGCCAAAATATTACTGCGTGACGTACAGTCATAGCAATCTATTAACAATGTACCTCAGATTTGCGAGATCTTGATAACAATTAGGATCTTCAGTATTGTACCTAGGAAGAAGATGCTGTGACGTTGAAACTTTCAAGCACTTATATGAAAGAACAAATTATATGCATATTCAGTTGCAAACAACTTAAATTTGAAAATGTAGAAAAGATACTCACAATTCAAATGCAGACGCCCAGTCCGGAAGAAAGAGCAAATGCGTGAGGCCAGCCCCATGCATTCCAATAAATACGTCTGCATTATGGGTAATCTGAAATGTTTGATACAGTGTTAGAGCGCGTTGTGCGTACAACCCATCTAGCATATAGGATTCGCAATTACGCTTTTGAGGTAAAGGACAGGAAGGCTTGGAGTTGCTACTCCGAGTTTCACGGTTAATGTGATCAACAGTGCAACCTAAGCATTTCTCTGTTCTATGCACCAAAGGCGAGTACACCTATGCATAAACGTCATCGAGCAGGTTATGACAGACCGGTAAACAGTAATTTTTAACAGCGTTCAAAAGGATGCGGTTGGTGAATAGAACAGGACGGTACCAAGTTGCTACCCTTAGGGTGCTACTCCGAGCATAAAAAACAAAATAAAAAGTAGATGTTTGTAAAATGGGAAACATACTTGCAGCTGCTTTGAAAACAGGATCGCCCTACAAAAAGCATAAGGAAATATTGAGACAAAAAAAGTTTCAACAGTAAACTAGCATATAATGCCGAATTCTGCTGTTTCTCTTTCGATTCCAGATTTATGCTTGAAAAGGGTTAGGAAGACCTGTCCCTGTTCCAATGAACTGCTCAGTTACTAGTTCCCACCTGAAACCACTTCTCATATCCCCTGCCTCGCAGTTTCCCTTCCCTATACGTTCTATTAAACCGACAACCCTTCAAAGACCGAGGCAGAATCTTAAAAATACACCATGTGATAGCCAGAATGATTGATTAACCTAAGCAACAACACTGGACCATTCTACCAGAATTGAAAATACCCTTACAAGTTGTATTCCACGGCAGTGACATTCAAAGATTTGTATCTTTTCATTGCACCAATTAACTGGAAAATGAAAGAGAATTCATCAAAGCAATGCAGTACAACGAAAATGTTCATTTTGGAGCCAAGGTGTCACTTTACAGCAAAAAAGAGCAAGGGCTTCTCCATATGGAAAAGTACAGAAAATATTTTTAACGAATGAGAGTAGCAAGAGCAAGATGATAAGACACACTAGAGTTATAAGAAGATAAAAGAATAATATTGACTGCTGGTGTATATATAATTTATTATCAATTTACTCTTTGAACAAAACAATGCTTGATAAAATGTCGTAGGAAAAGATAAGATGATTACCAACCTCGTCTTGGTTCAAGATATTCCTGTATTGGGTGTTCCTAACAAGCAGAGTGACCCGAACAACATCATCCTGTCACGAAAGCATAAACATCAACAGATATAAAACTATGCTGTTTCCTACACGAGAGCTTTTGCCGTTAGTAGATGGTTGAAAGAACAATGCTTTAGTGACATCTCGATAAATTAGCAATAATTATCTTTAGACAAGATACAAAGTTTCCCAACAAAATGCAGAGTGGGTTCTGAAAAATTAAGAATTCGGTTTCATGTTCATGACAATATATGATAAACTATCATTTTATAATGCGAAATTTCAAAACAGCACTAAAAGTAGAAACATAGTGCGTGGTACTTTCGTGGTACTAAAAATGTACTTTTTGTTCAGCACTCCTCGGGGTATAAAACGTTGGATAATGTCAAGTTTGACTTTCAAAGCTGTCCCTGCGCTTAGATGTGCTGGTCTGTTGATGCAATTCATTTTTCAAAAGATTCTAGAAACATAATGACTTTGACCTCGTACGAGTCTTGTTTGATCTTCAATCTGTGAAGCACGTGTTCAGAAAATGCTTTGAACAATCCCGCTTTCTGACAGCCTGGTACCTAAACAAATTCAAGGGATGAATTAGCAACAACGAAGGAAATAGTAACAAACAATAGAAATACATAATAAGTATCAAATTAGCTAAATGATTATTATTAAAAAACTTAAAAAATATTGCACTAAAAATTTGTTTGGCTTGTAAAGGTCTTAAATTGATCTTTGGTGAAAATATGTACGCAAACGGGACTCAGATACGAGTTAAGAACATATTCATATGCAAAACAATGTAAGCGCTTTTAAAATCAAGCCTACCAGAAATTCTAAGGGGGGCTAGCCACCCCAGGTTACTTGTTGATACAGAAAAGATTTTAGGGGACCAGTAAAATAGCATATTTCTCGAGTCAGGAAACCATATTTCATAACAATTTTTTTCTTTCTAGAACCCATGGGAAAAGTAAAAGTCGGCGTCTAGGAAAAAATATCCATGAAAATGAAACCCCCCGTTATTCATAACCGAGGCAGCGTTTGCAGACACGATTTATTGCAGCCTCTATCTGAACCTTCCATTGCTACGTACCACTTTGAATAAACCATTTAGAAACAAACAATAAACCGTTATTCTTTATAAGCAAGCATCAATGCGTCAAGAATATCTTTCTAGAACAGAAGTCAAAGAAAGCAAGGATCTCACCAATGGCATATTGTAATACAGCCCTCTTATCATGCGAGCCAGTAAAGGAAAGACTGCATCTTTAAAACACACCTTCGAAAAAGCACTGGTTATCAGAAACCTAAGTTTGATGACGAGACAATCATTTCACTAGACATTCCAGCTTATGCATTCAAGCTCCATTGCCATGATATATAACACTGTGCATGAAATTATATATTGAAAACAATGTGAAATGCATGCAATATAACGATGCTTTTCATTTCTCCTTTTTCGTGTTTATGTCTCGAATGCGTTTGAGTATCAATGTCATCCCGCTACAAGGAAGCAAGTTTCTTTCCTCACAAAAAATGAGTAACTGAGTTTATGAGACTGAGCTGCTCAAGGGTGAAGGACGAACAAATCTAAAGGAAGTAACAAATCTGCAAATAGATGTGCAGTATTTACCTTTTTGTTTTCGTATTCATTGAGACGAATAATAGGATAATCGGTAAAGGCTTTCCATGTGTCTTCAAAGAAATCTCTGTATGGGTAGTTGGACTAAAAGAGGGCAGTTAATGTTAACAGTAAATAACTTCTGATTGTTTAATGGAAACAGTAAATAACTTCTGATTGGTTAATGGAAACAGTAAATAACTTCTGATTGGTTAATGGAAACAGTAAATAACTTCTGATTGGTTAATGGAAACAGTAAATAACTTCTGATTGGTTAATGGAAACAGTAAATAACTTCTGATTGGTTAAAGAAACAGTAAATAACTTCTGATTGGTTGATGGAAACAGTAAATAACTTCTGATTGGTTAATGGAAACAGTAAATAACTTCTGATTGGTTAATGGATACGAAATTATTGAGAAAACTGATTGATACGAGATACATCGAAAGGTTATTCTGCCTCACGCTACACTATTTCATCAATTTTGATCCGAACTTGAGTTAATCATAGGAAAAAAATGTCACGCTGAATGCTGACACTGCAGAAAAAGAACTTACTGTGTCCCACATAACGATATAGATGTCAGTGGAAAAACTACCATTCATGTGTTGAGAGGCGTACAGATTGACAAAGTCACAGAAATGATGGAACATATTTATACCTGAAATTGAAATTGAAATAAAATAAACAATAATATATAAAATGAAAAGTTGCTGGAAAAAACCAACAAAATCTTGAATATATATGAGTGAATGAGAGGGTTTAGCCAAGATGTGAAAAGAGTACAATTACTTTCAAAGAGTTTTTTATATTTGCCTTAACCATCAAAAGTTTTCCTGGGAAGAAAGAGGAAGTAGTAGTGTTCAGGAGAAAAAGAAATATATAAAAACAAGAATTAAGCTTTTTAATGTCATGTTGTAAAAAAAGTGTTAACAATAATTTATTTTGGCAGACAAAGTAAAGACTTTGTGCATAAAATCCACGATCAAAAGAACAAGCCAGTTTCAAAAGCCAGTGTCAAAAGCCAGTGTTAGCCTTTTTGTAGCTTTGCTTGATAAAAATGTAAACAAGCTGACTAAGCCTGAGTTTCAAAGCTCAAAAATAAACGAGAGGAACCTACCTGCATCTAGTTTTATAAAATATACAGGCTTTTCAATCACAATGTGACAAGATCCAGTCTGTATAGGATCTTTATCAAGGGATGTATAGCTTTGAAGCTCAGCAAACCTTACGAAGAAACAAACTGTTGTTATTTCTATTCAAAGAGACGTATTCGGAAACAGCGCTTGGATACAGTTTACACATAACTGAAGGAATACGGGCCAAACATCTTGAAAATAGCGGAAATTTGGGAAAATATGAAATTGTGCATCGCAAAAATGTGCTTTGCGCACTTAAATTGCAAAAATTACTCAGATGGTGCGCCGTACATACTTGTATCAGTTTTTGGATGTGATTTAACGAAATTCAAGCATTTTGCAAAAATATAGAAAACTAAAAATAACAATATTCACACCCTTCCCAAATCAAAGTGATTTTACTACGTTCCCTTTATTACTACAGCAGTTAAATGTAAAAATTCAACTGAAGTGGAATCAAAATGCATGGACATAAACAGGTTTCCCTCTGAGCTATAGGTCTACTTGACAAAGGTTATCGTGAGAAATGAATCCTGCTAGGGCTTCTTCAAATGAATGGCGCTTGGCGCGATGCCACACCCTCGTATCATATCTGAAATCTTGTTGAGATAGCCTATTTTCCGAATCGATGGTACGATGTTTTCACGACGAAAGTTTCATTCAAGCTTGGTATATCAAAAATAACATGCAACTCAATATGGCCATTTCAAATCATTTGACAATGTCCAAGTGATGAAGCGCACACCTTAAGAATTGCAAATAGTAAATTTTTTTAAAATAACCAAAAACAGCAGAATACCATGACTGAAGTGGGCTCTTGTGAGAACCCTGTTGGCGAAGTAACACTTGGTTGAGGGAGCAATGCCCACCAATTTCTCCCTGTTTAAATACATCTTCCTTGAACCTAAAAAGGAGCTTTAAGCAATCAATTTTCTGAAACTTCTGAAAAGGCATAAATACACAGCCAGAAACTGAAAGCTTCTTTGACACTGACATAATTCGAGGTTAAAGAAAGGCTAAAATCTTTGAGTAAACAAAATTAATGAGCATTTGCAGTGTGGTGATTGAGAAAAGCGAAATTGAGAATTCTACAGTTGAGAATACAGGAATTGAGAATACAAAATTATAGAGAATCCTACCTGTCATTGCTACTGGATGTGTGCAAGTTTTTGAAATTGATGAAGATGTTCTTTGCTTCACAATACACCATATTCTCAGCACATATTAAGGAGGAATCTTCCTATGAAACAAATTCAGACTTGAACAATTTTTTGCGGTACAGAATTTGAAAATGGCTTTGAAAAAAGCAAATATTTTACGACATACTAAAAGCTTTTTCGTCTGACACTCCTCAGAGCATAAAACGTCAGAATAATGTTCCGAAAGAACACGATGGAAAATATATACCCAGTTGTGGATCGAAATAGGCCAATCAGAAAAACGCACTTTTTGATAAACATACAAAGTGCATCAAGTTTTTATGAAAATGTTCTACTTAAATTCATATAAAGTGAAAGCTTCATTCAAAAAGAGAGAGGAAGATACAACATGCTTTTTCGACAAAAAAGAAGCACTTTCATTAAGGTAAAAGGACGAGTGAATAATTTAGAGGTTTATTAAAAAATACAGAAAACAATTGGCAAAGCTATTTAAGAAAGTAGAAATTTATATAAACAGCGCCAAATGTTGAATCATTGATGAGAATTTATTTTATTTAAGAAAGTAGACGTAGCATTCAATTTACAAACTAATTTGACGTCACAGAAAAATGGAATATATAAAAGTGAATGGCGAAGGGTGACGGAACAGAAGAAAATGAAGAATGCGAACATGGCATACACGACATCTTACCAACCATGGTACACAGCCCTGGGCAATGGGCCTAAATTTGCAAGAACGTTGAAAATCCAACACAAAGGCCTTCAAAATGTAAATGGAAAACAACCAAGGAGACAGGGGACAATTGCTGAGAATGGACCGGAATCTGTGAAGCGATATGAGCTGACAAATCATAGCAGAAGAGAAAATGAATTGATCAGTTTTATGGCAGTGAGAATCCTTTATGCTTATCTTATTTTCATGCTTTTATATAGAAGTGATCGATTTTTAAAAACCTAGAGTAATCTGTTGGTTCGTTTATCTAAAATTTGAAAACCCGGTTCACATACTAGTCTGTGTCATGTAAAGGAAAGATTTTCCCTTTCATTGAAACTTCTTTAAAATATGTATCTAAAATTACCACCATCAACCCCAAAAATGTAAATTATATCACGAAGGCATATATGTTATTATCTATGTTTAACAGTTGTGTCAAAAACATCGACAATTCTACCTAAATCAGACTGGGAGACGTGAAAGGGTTCCTTTGTTTACGATTCCAGCTATATCACACAGTGCGTTGGTGAAAATGGGCCCTAAAGCTTATTGCGATGGAACTTACTACCAAAATGTCACAAGGTGCATATTGTTTATTTTATTCAACTCTCAGCAAAAGTTCTCTGTTCTCTACAGGCATTTTCGTAATAAGCTCTGTAGTAGTTATCTTCAGTTGGTTGTAATCAGCTACTAGATTGAACACCTCTTGCTGCTAGTAATTGTTAAATTGTAAGATATATTTAGTTATTTCGAAACTCCAGAAATTGTTTGAAAATATTGACAGCTTCAATTTTTAGATGGTTTAGTATGATTCGTAGGCTTGAATGTATGGTTTTTTCAAGCAAACTATTAATACTAAGCAAATGGTAAAATATCTCTGAAAATTTTGCAAACTTTTTATAGAGATCACAAGACAATGGTGAAGCACAGCAGCGCGCAAAGACATTCTACACAAAGAGAAAGAGAAATTCGGGATATCTATTTTGAAACACGGTGAAAGGATTTGCCTATTTTTGTTAATAGACAGACAAAGATTCAGCCATTTTCTCTGTTTCAGATATATTCATGTATTTCAATTGATATAAGGTATTTATTAAAAACTTTGGGAATTACAATTTGCGTAGCATTTGACGTTGAAGAGGCCATAAATTCAATGGAGCTATAATTATCTGATGTCTAAGAGACACAGGCATTATCAAAAAGGTGGGGAAATAATAATTTCCTGTAACGAAAGAGGGGAACATATTCTCTTAAATTTTTAAAAATTTGCAAAATTTCATTGGGATAGTTTCTGGACAGTACTGCTAAAGGATAGCATTTTCAACAGCCAAGCAAAATGTGCATGAGGGGGGTAGTCACTGCCACAAAGAGCCACAGAGAACCAGCTTAAATAATGTTTTGTTGCTTAACATAATTTGTGTTTCGTACTGCATTACTCAAGCTGTGTTTTGTTATTCAGTTAGGATTACAAGCAATGCAATTTGTAAATCACCGTTAAGTTTATTGAGGGAAATTGGGAGAATGGCTATGAATTTTCATATAACTTAGGATGTGTCAAGCCAAAAGTGTTTTTAAAGTCACTCAGACTAGACAGCTCATGAGTGTCTAAAAGGCAAGGCAGGGGTATTGCTGAATAGAGACCCAACAGAAATTGACTGGTACGAGAAGTGTGACATCTAACAGTTAGGCATGAAGATAAGCTACTGCCAAACTCCACAAGGGCTGGAAGGGAATGAAAAAATACTTGTCAAAATGCATTTAATTCAGTCTGGAAAGAAAACTTGAACATGGGCTAAAACTGGAAGACAAACTAAGTTCATTTTGCAACCAAATCACAAGGTAGAATTCTGCTTTGAAAAGGTGTTGATGGAAATTTTTCTATTAAGGAAAAAGACTTTTATTGGTGACCAAAGATGGTCCAGGAAACACAGGATACTATATACGCTTTTAAGGTTACGGTAGACATTTTCTGGATGAAAACATTTATTTCTCGATTACTTCACATTTAAGTAGCCGAACTTTCAAGGCATACAATGATGCCAAATTTGAAACTAACAGACATTTTGAAAATGGAAAAAAATACCATGTAAACGAAGGTTTCCATGATTTCTTTATCAAAACTTTTAATCGAACTCTGAAAATCTCTTGACCTGTTAAGCCGATTATCGTTGCTTAGCGGTTGTGGTCGCTTGTCTCATTTACAAAATCGCATGGAATATCCATATATCCAATGTATGACTGTGTTTATTCAAACAGGCTTATTGACTTAAATCTTCAAGTGACTTGACCTGGATTACACTGTGGTTTACGGGTGTACCTTGCAAATGCAATCAGTAAAATCCCGTTTTCTCCCGACTTACAATTCCTCTACATACAGGTACGAAAAAGCTATTTTGTATCCAAGGAACCAATCAAATGGCTCAAAAATTTGCACACGGCCAGGACAGATGTCGGGTAAGCAAGGGGTGTCTCAAAATTTTTGTATTTGATCTGGTCCGTCTTTTATAGCCAAATACAGCTATGAGAGGGAAGAGAAAATTGTTTGCCAATTTTTCACAGGGCATAGTTCCAAGGGGAGGAGAAATTTAAAACATTTCAGACACACTTTGGTAGCTTAGGATCTGCGCTTTCTGTTGACATAAGTCAGATTTTGATATCCCAAACGCAAAGCTAGAAAATAGCTTTTGAAGGTGGTACACTCACTTAAGCAATAAATTTGCCTGGAAAGTATCATTTTACAATATTTGCCAATTATTTTGACATGGTTGGAAACACCACATTCTTGTGCATGGAATGATGTATAGTTTAATCTGATTCCGTTAATAGATTGGCATTCAGTGTGAGAAAACCAAATATTGTGTCAAAAACGTGTACCATAACCTTAAATAATGTGGGCTTAAGAGGACCTGTCAAGATCAACGTTTTAATTGCCCATTGTGGCCAGGCAAGTAAGTGAACTAGAACTTATTAAATAATTCTATTTAAAGTGAGGCCAGGGGTGGCTCTGCTTGTTATACTCCACATAACTGTCAATAACATCTGGCAAATAGGAAAATGAATGTGCCAATAAATTCTTGTCTAAACAAATACAGATTTTTTTATATTTAAGCAATTTTTACTTGTGCAATTCCATACCTTTGAATTTGGTTTACAAATATCTAGCATGCCCTCTTTAAACTTCTTCAAATATCCAAAATCACCCTGTTCCCAGAATAATTGTTGTTGCTTTTCAAGACTACTAGCCCTGTAAGAAAAAACTAGAATGTAGAAAGTATGGCATTGCAAGAATAACAAACAGAACTATGCAAAAATGTGCCCTACGATTTTTTGAAACTTTAGGTCAAAAATATACATAAACAAGCTGTAAAAAAATAGCAAAGGATGCCCCAAAGAGTGTCAGGAGCCATTGCTTTTCTCGGCTAATGTTCTGATAATAAAAAAAATCAATATTGTCTACTCTGTGGAATCAGTACCTTGAAGCCTTTATGATGTGACCCCAGGGTATTAATGTTATTGCAGGCATAATGTGCCACGATATATGTTTTTAAGCCTTATAAGATAAATTTTATGAAGAAAATTTTTCAGCCAACCTTAACTGCAGATTCTATTGTGTGATGCTATTGATGAAGTGGCCTACAAATGTCCTTTCCAAAGTTTAATAGAAATTTGACATCCTAAGTTCTGATTTTACTTAATGAAGTAACTTAACTTAAATGAAAACAACGAAAATGGATAAGAATGAAAGAAAATATTACCATCTTGCATCATGAGAGAAGCAATTTGGATATGAAAACATGTTCTCCAGCTTACAGTCTTTTTCATAACCCCAACAAAGTTGCTTCCTTTTTAAGGTTTGGGGGATGTTGTTGACCTGTGAAATGTTAACTTTCATCAAACACTAGATTCTCTTTGTGCCTTTACAGCAAGGAGCACAACTCGACTATGCTCTCTATTTTAGGCACAAAACAGAAAAGGAATTTTTTCAAGCCTGATATTTATTAAAGACTATGGTAAAATGTAAGAAGCTCAGAGTACTAGATATGAATGATATACTATATCTAAAAAAGAATTGATCTAAAAAAGAACTGAAATCAAATTTTTTTTCATCATCAATCAAAACCTAAAGAGAAAAACAACTTACTTTATTTGCACCATGCAGTGGGGAAGGACATATAGTCATCTGGTCCTGACTGCAGATGGTGCTCACAATTCAACAGAATTACAATAGTCAATAATAAGTTTGTCTCACATTAGATGTCAGAAGAAATCAGTCATAAAGATAAGTTCTGAACTGTCATTAGACAGTCCAGAATGTCCAAAAATTAAAAAATCATATAACCAACAGAAATTAATTAATACAGAAAGCATGAGTACCTTGCATTCTAAGCCATCTGCTTTGCAATTCTCTGCCTCAAATGATGGTAGTCCAAAATACTTAAAGTGGCTTTTAGGGATATTGTCAAACTCCTTTGGCAAAGTCTGTACTTTGGAGCTTCCAAGAAGCATGTGTAAAATAAGAAAGGTTTTTGAGAAGCAGTTGTAAACCATACTGGCCCTGATATTTTCAAGTCTAAAATATGAACCTGTTGAAAAAGAAGAAGTAAGGTAAAATGAGGTGCTGTTTCAATTCTTCTCAGTGAAAATCAACTTTTCATTCTTTTCTGTGGTTTCATAGGTAGCTGTTCCCTTCAGTTAGATCTTTCTTACTTTTAGACTGGCTTTGGCAGAGCCCTGGCATTGATATTTCTATAATTATTTGAGCTGATGTATGTTAACAACTGCTGTTTTATAGACAGAAGGAGGTTTCAGCCTTCTTGGACTCAATTGAGAATAATTCATATCATGCTAGAGTTTATGGCCTACTTTGATCCATAACTGAGTATATATCTTCTAACTATCCATTTTTGATCGATATTCTGATATTTTACACCACAAAGAATGTTAGACAGAGAGCTTAATAAATGGAAATTATTGTTTGCTTGGTGCTACTCAATGTCTGTCAAAAAGTGCTTGATTGGTGCAGCATTATGCTAAAGCTAAGTAATTAAAGCTAAGTAGCCAAGAATCAGTAATTCTCGAAACTTGCTTAATCAATCTCAATTATTCGATCTAAATAATCTCTCCGGTTGAATAATATGTTAGTTATCTACTGATGAGAGAGCTCCTGAGAAATTCCCCCATTTGTTGTATCTTGCAACCTTTCTATTAATTTAGTTAACTGCTGTATGTTTAAAGAATTTTTGTATGTAGTGGAAATTTAAATTGAAGTTTAAATAAGTGAACTGAAATTTGTATTATAAATGTATCACTAACTAAAATAACTAGCAATCTTAATCATAAAGAAATGGCCAAAACTATGCTACGACATACCTTTGCGTTAAACAGACTTTCGAAACCTATGAAACACTGAAAGCTACCCCCACAAATATTTCCATGCCGAAGATGTGCAAATAATGCCAGACCATTCGAAAGCTAGGCCCTGTCAACAATCCTCGGAATCAAAGCGAGGGCTATGTATCAGTATCATCAGCATTTGCTGATCTTATAGGTTTTCTGAAAAGGTGGGGGTGGGGGCCTTTAAAGCAAATTTGTTGAAAGAAATTTGCTCTATTTTGCATCTGCTTCCAGAGTTATAGGACGAAAGCCCTTTTCTATTAATCTTCAAAAGAGTTCAATGATTGCGATGCTCCCAACTATTGACTATTCTCTTTGCATTTCATTTCCGAACAATGAGATTCGAATAGAGGCATAAGCATGAAAATGTTTCAATTTAAATGAGACAAATTTTTCCAACAAAACAATTCAGGCAACAAATGTAACAAAACTTTTAAAAACTTCTAAATAACACTAAAACGAACATGAATACGAAAGTTCCATCTGGTTATGTACAACTTTTTAGACAGCAGTGTGAGGGCCATCTGCAATCTTGGCGAAAAAGCATAATTTCAGCTAGCTAAAGAGCATTCTTCTTCGGAAATTAAGGCATCTCAGACAGACTTTACACATACTAAAAACAAATTTTGAATCATCTTAAATTAAATCAACGTAGTGACATCTTGTTTAAGATCATTGTAATATGAGCTAAAAAAAGCGGGGTGAGTTTGAACCCTCAACATGTACAGACTTACTGGTAAGCACATAATAGATACCAACGTGTAGCTTAAAAACATAAAGAATTATAAAATTTATAAAATTAGAGTATATTTTCTATGCACATTTTGCTCGATAGTTTCTGTCTTATGACGTAAATAGTCCTCCATTGATGTGTCAGCCAATTTAATATTTGTATTTAAAAATACAAAAAACATATTACAGAGAAAACCGATCTCTACATATGGGATTGACTAAACTATGAGATTTGCAGCAAGTAACAAATTGTGAAAAGAAGCCCGCCAAAACTCGCATACTTCACCAAAAGTGGTTCTGCATCTTTGAAGCTTACATTTTGTGTAGAAAATTGTAAAGCCTAATGCAACACACAAATTTCTCAGTCTATTTACAGTAGTCTCTTTATGAGCCCTCATTTGTTGAGCAATATCTATACCCAAATATAAAAACATTCCATCTTTCTAAATATCACATAAATATAACAAACATATAAACTTTTATAATACTTTTACATTTTGAAGCGTAAGATTTAAGCAATACACGTTTCAGTTCATGTGTTTTTCTTTGTTATGCAGCGCTAAACTGATTGGCTCCGGAAACTCCTCTTTGCAAATGTCACAAGTCAGTACATCTGATATCTTGTGGATGTTGCGCAAGTGTCTTCTGATATTGCCTTCTGAACTTAACCGCTTGTGACAAAGTTTGCAAGTGTTTTTAAGATGTTGCATGTAGCTGCGCTTGCAAGAAAGCAACTTACCACATCCAGGAATCGTGCAGACGATGCCTGTCTTATGCCCCGTATCTAATCTGTGTTGCAGCATTGCTTCCGAATTCGGTAAACCCACACTGCAGATTGCACATTTTAAATTGCTTACCGTAGAGTTGTTACCGCTGTCCTCATTTCTGCCCGGCTCCTCAGATTCAAACTGAACTGGCGTTTCAGGATCTAAGGTGAAATTAAGGTCTAATAATGAATATACATATCATGCTACGAAATTACTTTCACCGCCATAGAGTGTCTCTTCGCAAAAAAATTTAGAGTTGGCAACACATAAATAAGAGGACCAAACATGGCATTCGAATACGACCAAACGGGAAACTCCATGAAATTCTCTTAAACCTACAGTCGGAATCCTTTTGTTTTAGCTGAAAATCCCTGAAAATCCTTTTGTTTTCGTGGAAGTATCATACGCTGTTTGCAGAGTGAGTCGCCCCTGGGGAAAATTTATCGTAATTTTACATGATTGTTTCATTACACACAGTTATGATAAACCTGCCTGTAGAAACATCCCGACTTTTGCGGAGCAGAGGAAGAGAAAATTTTGAGGAAGGGAAGGGGCAAGGAACGATTTTTAGAAAATTAAATTGGATACTAATTTTAACTCCTTGTCTGTGTCAAATAAGATAGAAAATCTAAACTGACAAACGGTTTGGGAAAAAAGTGGATCTTACCTACAGTAACAATATCCAATACATCTTCATCGTCCATTATCTCGACAGTATCAATTTTACTGCTCCCTAATTCTACTCTCGCTGTTTCATCTCGTAAAAACGCACCATCTCCCGAATCAAGATCAGACAAATCTTTTTCATTTACCAAATAGGTCAACCCTTCCCTACTATTGCCGTTTGGTCCACAATCATTAATTTTTAAAGCTGAATCCAGTTTCCAGAATATGTTTCCTTCCAGTATATCAGTATGTGCATCTGCCTCCTCGCAGGGTGGTACAGGACTGAAACACCTAGAGCTTTTGGTGCCATCCATATCTTGGGTCCTTGTCTGCCCTTTCGCTGCTTTTTTTTCGGTGTGACTGTCATTCACTGATATTGCCTGCAAACTTGCAATGACCTTAGCGCTACATTCATTGGTATCCGTATTTGTACTTTTACCCTGACTCTGTTCTATAGCAGCAGAGGGGGCTTTGGTGGTATGTACATTGTGTGCATACTTTAAATGCCTATGAAGACCTCGGCTATAAACATACTTGAGTTCACACACGTGACACTCAAACCTTCCACTTCCTCGAGGGTTTCTATATCTTTTCCTTGTAGTTCCATCTAGAATTTTTGTACTATCATTGACAATCTCATTTACTCCTTTGACATCTGATTTGCTTGCTGATGGCACAGAGACTTCAACAATTTGGAATACTTTTGCTGTTGGACTGTCTTTTTCGTGGGTTGTACTGCTCTTCACGGGAGGCACAGGCTGTACACTGTTACTTTTCAATTTCTTGTGAATGTCAGAAATATGGATATGCCTGTCAATCAAATTTTCAAAGTCTATTGGACAATAAGGGCAAATATATCTCCCTTTGCTATTCTTTTTAAAGCAGATGTTAGCACATAACCCTTTAAACTTTGTAGTGTTATTTGCAGCCAAACTGTTATTTTTGCAACTGACATCTTTTATGCTTGATGAATCTTTAATTGGATCACATGCAAGGGTTTTCTCGATTTTACCATTTACACCATCATCATTGGGAGAACCAACTGGTTTTTCCAATCTCTTAGCATCAATATATTTCTTCCGGGTATCAGTGATCCTGGCACCGTGCTGATCTAAATATATTTTATGATACACTTTCATGTGTCGTCTTAGAATAAAATAGCCTGAAAAGTAGGAGTCACATATATAGCAGAAAAACCTTTTTCTTTGAAAATCTGCTTTCCATTGCTCGATTTCCTTACTAGTTCCTTCTCTTTCTTGAAAACTTCCTTGTACCTGCTTTTCTCCAGATATTTCAATGAAATGTTCTCCTGGTTTTATTGTTTTGACTGGGGCTTCAGAAAAAACATGATATAATAAAGGTTCCCTTAACTGAGCAGGTTGTGTATCTGATACACATTTAGTCATAGCTGGTATTTGCTTGTCTGGAGAACTTAACATGGTGCAATCGGTCTGGATGTCAGCATTCCCAGTCTTAAGTTCTTTGGCTTCCTTCATATTAGGAGAGCTATTACTATTGCTACTCAAAGAAGCCTTCCTTTGGAGACCAGGTGATATTTTGCCCCTTTTAGTCCAACGAATAAGATGCATTTTCCTTATTGCCTTGATTCTATGCTTAGAAGTCATATGCTTCTGAAGTGCAGAAAAAGAAAGATACTTTGAGGAGCATAGTTTACATGATTTGTTCTGTATGCTGTAATTCTTTTCTTTGTTGTCAAGTATAAGATCTGCTAAAGTGTTGCTGGTGCTTTCTAAAGGAACTTGCTTCAGAGAACCTGCTTTCCATTCTGAAAATAATATCTTCTCCCCTTCAAATGATATTTCCAAACCATGGGTTTCAAGACAGTGTTGCCGTCTTTTTCTTACATCTGGAAACAAGGCATCACATTTCCTACAAGATGAACTTGTATCTGAATCATAGTCATTATCTTTACTCTTTGATGAGGTAAACTTGTCATCAACATAACTAACACTTGTTGAATTTTGACTGTTTCCTCTCTTACTACTAGATCCTGAAACTTTACCTGTGGCTTCCTTTTTCTTTGGAGGTGACTTGGGTTTTACTGTGGAGATTACTCCTATTTTATGCTTACTTTTCAAGTGTCCCTTCAATCCACCATAAGTAAGGAAGTTGGCACCACATAAACTGCATTTAAGGAGGCTTGATTCGTTTGTATTTTCAAAATATGATGATCCAAGACAGTTTACTGCCACATCAACACTATCTTGACAAAACAAATTCATACCATTAATGGCTAACCTTTGCCGGAAGTTTTTTGGTATGTTCCGCTTACATTTGTGAACATCTTGCATGTGACAATTTAAACTTTTGAAACTGTTCAGTTCTTGCAGGCAGAGTACACACTGGTATTTTTTAACAACACACTGACTTGAACCCTTGTCTCCTTTGGAATCATGTGGGGTTTTTGACTTGCATCCAACCTTGTGAGACACTCTTTTATGCTTTCGTAGACTTGAATATGAGAAAAAATTTGCCTTACAAAGGGAACATGTATACAGTCTTTTTGGCATTTCTTTAGCTTGAGAGTTAGTTTCCTTTTTTGTCACTTCATATTCTCCATTGTTCTTCTTGACATGATTTTTGCCTTTTTCTTCCATCAGCCCAGAGGCTGTGTTCTTATGATTCCTGTGATGCCCTTCCAAATTCACAGATTTTTTACCATCATTGTTATCAGCTGTGTCTTCTAGAGATGTGTTCAGTGCATGCTGCTCTTCCTGCTCACCTATTTGATTGTCTGAAGATGTGATTTCAGACACTTGCAAAGAATATTCATTTGGGCCAAAATCAGACTTTTCTGAATCTAAATTCAGCTTTAGAAGAGATTTAAGCTGTTTGATAAATTCAAATGCATGTGATGTATTTTTTATCCCATTTGATTGTTTCTTCTCAACTGGCTCTTCCTTTTTCTGTTTTTGTAACATTGCCTCATTAATATTTTCTTGTTCTTTAGCACTTGCATTTTCACTTTTCAATTTTCCATCAACAATGGATCCAAAAGTTTTACCCTCCTTGAATTTCTTTGCCTCACTTACTGGCTCTTTCATCTGCTTGCAAGCAAGTGTTTTAATCTTTTTTCCTAGAGCAGAATAATTTGAACCCTGTTAAACTTAAAGCACAAATTAAAAGACAGATGTTGCATAAGTTACATAGTAGGACTAATGCAATTGTCTTGACATTGTTGAAAAAACTTTAAAGATAGCAAGTTGTTGTCATCACTTGATAGCCATTCAGTGACAACAAGGTTGTCCATACTTGTCCAGTATAGGTTCCATTCACCAATAACAAGGAAGCTTTTGCACCAAAAAACCATTCAAACTTGGAACCCCTTGAGATTGTGTCAATTACATGGTACCAGGACTTTCAGGAATAAATGTTAACTTTTGTACCTGTCAAGCCTGTCAAAAATTGAAAGTTAAACTTTTCAAGGATTTTCAATATAATGTTTGTTCCTAGCATATTTGTTGGTAAATCAAGGCCTTCTTTGTGTTTTTCTTGTCTTTATGGGGAGAATGAAATGCTATAAAAATGGGTACAATTCATAAAGTATTGACATGATATAATGTGAAATGAAACCTGCAATAGAGCTAGGCAATCACATGAAAACTGGGGATAGCAAGCACCATCAAAACTGACCATTATCGAGATCAAATTAAAATCAGGTAGTCTAGATTTCAAAACAAAAAGGATTCTTTGTTTAGGCAACACCAGCACCTGACATGAAAAGTAGATTCAAAATTTACAATCAAAGGAATTGATTGTAAAGTAAGAAAGAAAACACATCTCGCGTCCTTCAACGACTGTTATAAAATCGCACTGAAGCACAGCATGCATGGAAAGCATGAATAGGCCAACTTACTCGAAGGGTGCCTCCTACGATGTTTCACAAACCTTGTCAGCTTCTCAAAACGCTTCTTACAAGTTACACAATGAAACCAGCCTTGCGTCTCCCTTTGGTGAACCTTCAGGTGAAGGAACATGCAGAAATGAGAACGAAATCTCAAATCACAGTTATCACATTTCCGACGCAGCTTCGTCGGTTTTGGGCGAGCTCGTCCCATCCTGTGGATCTTGAGGTGGCAGCCTTCCCAAACATAGATTTAGAGCATAGATTGTTTAGCACAAAAATTACGCCGTTGTATTTCGACAAGGAAGATCATTCTCTAACTTCAAGAAGCAACTCGTGTTCGTCCTTTTCTGCCGTGATCGGAGATCGGTTGTTGCAGCGTGACTCAGTCACTTCCCCTCGCAAGGCCAACTATGGCCAAAGACTGGGTAGTAGTTGCACCTAGCCGGGGGTATTGGAATCACACATCAAGGTAGAAAACATTAGATACCAAATATATTTCAAGTTTATCTTTGAGGAAAGACCCAAAAAATCTATCAATTATAAGCTGGAAGATTTTGCTATTAAACATAATATAAATACATTTCTTTAGTTGTTTTCAGGTAGGCTGTCTCTTCAAGGAAGCACGAATTGAATGCTCGATCATTGTTGGAAACACACGTTGGAATGCAAGATCCAGAACTTTAAGTGATATCAATTGAAATGTGAATAAAGAAAAGGTCACGATATATATATATCAATTAATGGCTGTATAAAATGTGCAGTGTTGCATGTAGTTTAATTAGATACCGTAAATTTTCTTTTTAGCCCCCCAGGGGCCTTATTGTTTAAATTGAGAGAGGGGGCTTAATATATATTTTGTTATAAAAAACCATTTATAGTGGTAAACTAATTTTTTGTTATTTGCGAAATAAAAAACATCAAATCAGCCTTCTATATCAATAATATTGTCATCGTCATCGTCATTAATTATCAATTCTAAAATATCTGCTTGGACCATGTCGTCTTCTGAAATCGAGCATTCAAAAAGGTCAACTTCATTCCTCTGAGTACCAAGGGCCTGTAATTTTGGTAATGGGCTCTCACACGGCCCTTGCTTAATGCACATTAAATCTTTGTCTTCGGATCTGTCGTGACTGGAATGGACATGGTGTGACTTTTGATTTGATGCGAAGTATTGAACGACCAATGAATAAAATGAAAATCTCTGTTATTTGTAAAGTTTACTTATTTCAGCATCAGTGAAAATAAGAGGGGGGGCTGATTAAATTTTTCTCTCTGAAAAGGGGGGCTTAATTGAGAGGGGGGCTAAAAAGACAATTTACGGTATTTCGAAAACATTGCCAACGATTCAATTCCTTCACCCACTATGCAGTTGTGTAGTGCATCAACATGTTGCGGCTCTTGCACAAAATATTGCGAAAAACATTAGCAAAAGTAGAAATTTGCCATTTTTGGCAACAACAAAGGGGGTCAGCCCCTCTGAACCCCCTAGCACTACACCCCTGCCACTATGCCTTACCTCTAGCTGGCTTTACACAACGTTTTGTCCCCCCGTCCCATTCGTAATCCGCAATTGATTGCTCATTTGAAACTAACGTCAATGCATAATGTACTCAGAACTCTGATGGAATTTTGACTCTGATTCGGTGACTGTATTAACGGGAATGTGGAATAAGACCAAGTTATTTAAAGCGAAACTGAAATGTCTTTACTGTGTGAAAAAATATCGCTCGAAGTTCGCTTACCGTCTTCATCTACATACACACGAGAGCTGCAAAAACTCATGGTTTCACTGCCAGACATGCAACAGAAAGTTCTCAAAAATCGTCCGCCTTCTGAAGCATCGGATTATACATCCACCTCCAAAGAAAAAATTGACAGCGAACGACAAAAAGACGATTGGTAAGTAGTAAATTTTCTGTTCAATGTTTTAATAAACTATTATTTTCCGAAACATTTAGGCCTGTTGACCTTTTGTTTTCTTTCTGTGATGGAATGTAACACGTGACACAGAAATGGGGCTGCGAAACCCATATAGTGCTGAAAAGGTACACTCATGTATATCGAATATCTGTTGGTATATCAAAATAATATTAAATTCAATTTTTTTAACAAATATGAATTTTATAAATTTGAATCTGTATTATACTAGTACAGTATACTGGCAGGGGTGTAAGTGGAGAAATGATATTTCTAAGCAAACCATTTTGTGCTGCAAAGTTCAAAATAACACCGACCGTTATGCAAACAAGCATGACATGTTGTGAAATTACAAAAAAAATGTTAAGTATCTTTAGGTGAGAATATATCCTCCTATTTTTAGAAATTATAACTGTCACATACAGGGATGGGCCCTAAATATTAATTGTGTCCACAACCATTTACTAAAAAATAAGAAGAAGAAAAATCCCTTCTTTTCATCTGCATCTACATCTACCCACAATCTTCAGCAGAGTTGTTGAGACAAACCTTTAAACACATCTCTGGTAGCATGCAAATAGAATCTAGCCTCTCTTTACTCAGCCCCTCTCCCATTCAAAGTTTAGATCTCGACACCATCTGCCCATGGCTGCTGTATTGCCTACTCTCTGAAAAAAGGAGATTCTGACAGGGGCACCAGCCAGAGAGGAAATTCACTTGATACTCTGAGGAAAATTATAGGAAAGGGAAAACTTGTGATTGATACTGGATTTGGATGAGTTAGCTACCCATATCATGTCAGAGAAAGTGCACGCAATTTTCAGCTGTGCAGAAGTGTTGTAGGTAATTCATACTTTCCAACCTGGATGTCACAGCTAAGGTGGACTGTAATTTCTCAGATAATTTTACAAAAAATGTTTTGAGATGGCTTCTTTTTTAAACGGGCCAGGGTGCATTTCCTGTCAACTGTACGTCAAAGGTTCACCAGGGCATTTGTTCAGGTACGCCCAAATTTTGAGCAGTTGGTAAAACTGTAAGTATTGTATACCAGACAAAGGAAACTGTTCAATAGAGAAAATGTGGTTTATGAATCTTTATTTTATTCTTTTTCATGTTAACTTTTTCATCTACACAGCTTCAATTCATGTTTAACACGCCAACTTACAAAAATACACGCCAAACTTTTTTTATTGGTTTGCACGCTGAACGCAGAAAAAAACCTAAGTGTAGGCCAAAGATCTTTGGGCCTAAGTACATGGAATGCACCCTGGTTAATATGGGGGCTTATTTAGCCAAAGTCAAAAATATTACCAGGGTAAATTTTCTTCCTCTTCTTGATTAGCTTATTGGGATAAACTTAGAAAAATGCAGGTATATTTGGGTTGCGAGTGTTATATCCCCCATGTAAGAATGCAAGTTTTTGGCCATTAAGAGGTGCTTTGTCAGCAAATTTTCAGATATGTAGACAAATAAAAGATGGCTCACCCACTTTGTCAGGATCAGTTCACACCCTTGCGTACAAAAGCTAGCAACAGCCCTGCATTGTATGCTGAAATAATGCATATTTACCCTAGTGTCTTTATCCTTGTAAATAATGGAATGATAGTAGGTGCAAGAACCATGCATGCCTTTGCTGAAGCTGTAGGCAGTCTGCTTGAATGGCTATTAGCTTTATTTTCATTCGTAATGTGGACATTCCCATTTAATTGCCTAGTTAAACTACTAACAGTAAATTCCTTGTCAAGTTTTTCAACTGGTGTGATAATACTACAGAATCATTAACAAAAATATTATTATTTAGAAAATATCCCCAGCATGTCTCTCTAGCTTGTCATATTTTTCAATTTATATTTTTATTAAGCTTAAAAGTGCAAAGATAGCAAAACAAAATCTGTGAGTAAACATAACATGCCCTGTTATTCTTAGGAAACCACTGCAAATTCAGGGCAATACCCAAGTGAACATTCTGAAATAGCTGCCACATTGAACGATGAAAGTTTTGTGCCATTTAAAATGTCACTGTACCAAAATCCTTTCCTCAGTGGTGTGACAGTCCTGAACAACAATCTAGTGATATGATTTGCTAGATATTTTGAAACAAAGCTTTGTAAATTGGTGCCAACATGCTACTAAGTAAAGTGTGCACCAAACTCCCCCCCCCCCCCTAGTCTAGCCACATTAGCATCCTTTTTTTATTCATCAAGAATGCTTAGAAACTTCGCACATATTGCTCATAGAGTTCTAGAATAGAATTTTTAGCCATTGTGCTTAAGATTGGTTTATGGCTTTGTTGGAACCATGTTTTAGTGCCTGGATCCTTTGCTCCTGCACAGTTGTCAGTTCTCAAATATGACTAAAGAATAATGCCCATCAAGGAAATGGCAAATGCAGCTAAAGCAAAAGTGGAAGATTCGCTAGTAACCACTCAGTTTTTTGAGAATGTCATCATATTTTAAAATCCATTTTGAGTTGCATTTCTAATTTCTTTCTGAAACTTGACTATTGCATTTGCAAACAGTTTGATAATCTGGCTCAGCCCCTGAATATTTTGCATATTTTTCTTTCTTTCGTCCATTTTAGCATTTTAGTATCTATAGCTATAAAGCAATGCCAACTTTGTAGTTCCTAGACAAAAAAGCAATTTTTAAGTACATTTGGAACTGTATCATATGAACAAAACTGCAAATGTATTTGAAACATAGCTAGTATTGTTTTTTGGTGCTACTGTGTTTTGATAAAAGGCTGATTTCTAAGTTACACTGAAAAGTTTTGTTTGTTGAGAGTTTTTAGAGAGTGCTCTTTCTCCAATAACTTGAATTCTAGAGAGACTCTAGTTTGGATAAAGTGGTAGGTGATGTGAGGTTGAAAATCTTTGTGAAAACGGTCAGAGCCATAGATTTAGGATTATAAATGCTCTCTGTCTTTTTCCAAACCTCGACACCTTTCTTAAACAATTGATACATGAGTTGTCACTAGTAAAGAAGGGTGCCACGAAATTGTTATAAACAAATATCCAGGGGCGGACTGGCTAATTTTTTTGGCCCGGGCAAATTTTGATCAAACCGGCCCACAAAAATAGCAAATAAAAAACTCCTCGGAAAATGCAAGTAAATGTTAGTCTGTAAGGAAAACAAGTTTTTAAATTCAGTACTTTTGTGCACGGATGAATGCTGGTTAATAGAACATGGTTAACAGAACATATTAAATATGTCATTTGCTGACTAAATAGTATAAACAAAAATCATTGGTTTGACTTTTTTTCTTAAAACAGCAACTTATATGTTGATAATGTGATCGTTTTGGATGTCATCTAACAGGCGTTTTTCTAAGAACATTAACATGAAGGACTCCAGGTTTGGCTGCGAAAAATTTCTACGTAATCTGTTCTTTAAATATTTATTGTGGAAAAGCTTCTACCACACTCCACTTGTGCCAAGTAACTTTCTAATCCTCCGGGAAACCACAATGATTTTAAGCAGCCCAAAAATATCAATTCGTCAATTTCTGACCCCAAAAAGAAAACATGGGCATCCCTGTTGAATTTTATCGTGTAGCGCCATACCCCTGTTGGGCGAAGGGTCCATTTCACTTATGATAGTATAGGCCTAATAAACTTACCATAACTTGTATGAGTTTATTGAAAGGAGCGAGAGCAAGACCCTGCTGTTTTTTGTGACGTTTGTGGCTTTTGCTTGATAAAAAAAGCTTTGTATCGTAGCTGAATCCTTTTTTTTTAAGTCTCGCAGCTTTTCCTCGCGAAATTTCTGTGCACCACCTTTGGTTGAAGTCTTCTTGCTCTTCTCTTGTTCTACGTGTGTCCTCTTCATTGCTTCACATCACAGAGCAAATCGCTTAGTGAACTATAATTTTTTGAACTTTTAAATTTATTACATTTAGCAATAGCTTGTGCTTAGGGAAAAACATGACCAGCTTCAAGCAAAAGCTAAGTAAAAAGACATCAGGGCAGGTTAAAATCTTATGTATCGCATTGAAACTGGGGTGTTACAGTAAAGTATGTCGCCAAAAAGGAAATACCGTCAAGAGAAAAAATATAACAAGATGTCAATAACATATTTCCTCAATAATGAATTCATAACTTTGATGGTTTTGAAGTACTAACGTGTATATTTATTCTTTCCCACAAAGTCACTGAAAACTTTTTTGCCTCGCATTTACTTTTTAAGCTAATTTATTTTTTTGCACTTTTATCAGCCGGCCCTTAAACCGACCGGCCCTACGGGCGATCGCCCGAATAGCCCGACCAGCCAGTCCGCCCCTGCAAATATCATAGCCTAGAAATTATTGCAAAAGAGACAGTAATTGCAAACTGTATCTCACATGCACAAGGACCAATTCAGAAGGGGGAATATCAAATCCCTTAAAAATTCCTTAACTGGCAGTAAATGAAGCTTTTAGCCTGTGCCTTCTTGAAGAAATTGTTGCTCACTTTGTGTCTCTTGAAAAGAAATTCACTTGCTAATTTGCAAATCAACACAATCTTTTCACAAATCAAAAAACCAAATTTAGAAAGATAACATTGATTGCTATTTTTTCAAATTTTAGCTGCTTAAACAATGAAGCAAGGACCGAGATAATGGGGGGATGGGGGGCCTTGGCCCCCTAAAAAACTTACTTTGTATAAGTAAAATACTTTTGTTTTGTAATATATGGCTTCTGTTCCACTGATTTATCAGGGCTGCCCCCAAACAAAAAGTTATATCTCTGTCCTTGAAATGAAGCCCAACAAAACATGTTTCCATGGGCAGGAATTGTTCTTGGTTCTTGTTTAAAAGATGCATGTCAGAGTTTTTGGGTCAAGGTTTTCTACATCAGGGTCTAATCTAAAAAGAGTATTTTGGTAAAGTTGGTAAAGTTGCCTGGCAACAGGGGTCCTTGGACCACCATGAAAAGTAAAGAGAAAATAACATCTGGTCCTCACCATCTATGACACTTACAAATTCCATGGCTGATTTTCTTAGAGACAGAGGACAAAACAAACAAACAAAAACAATAAAACAATAAATTAGAGTTACACCAAAAAAACACTACACCAGTTTTCCAATGCCCACATTGGAGTTATTAATCATTCAAGCTAAATGCTTTTTGCCTATTGCCTGCTTCATTTTCATCTATTTGAGCATTTTGTTTATCTTAATCAGTTTTCTGTGTTTCATCTCTTTCATCATTTTGTTTATCAAAATCAGATTTCTGTGCTGAAAATTGCTTGAAAAAGTAGAAACTTTGACAATCGTCTGATGGCCAAAGCATGAACATAATTTTTTATCCAGATGCAGATTTAAGATAGGATTAGAGGAGGAGTGTTGGCTTTTGATTGGCTCCTTTCCCTGGTCTGACATCAAGCCCATAGGGGCAACTTCAATATAGACAGATTCCTCCCCCACCTTAATTGCCCAGAATCTAATTTGTGCTCTTTCATTTTGTTCAATTGAAAGGATTCAAGGAATCTTTTTGTTAGGTAAAAAATTCTCTGTATCCGTATAGTTTCTTTAAACAGGGTTTATGTCAACTTCAAAGAATTCTTTAAGCATTCAAAACAAATCTGTATTGATCTGCTGTCAACTTCAAAATTTATTCTCTTTTAAACAAGGGAAGGGGAAAAGGTTTGGAAGAGCAGGAGGAAAGGTCAAGCTTGTTTATTTGTTTTGAACAAAAATGTTCCTGAAATTGTTAGTGAAATGTTCCTTAGTTCTGTGATTAGGGGAATTCTATTAAAGGGAATTTGAGCTGCAATATGTTTTGAATAAAAATGAAAGTTGTGAGAAGGATCCGTTTGCATTCACGATAAAGTAGGAATTTTTGGTTAGTTTAACGAAGTTAAAGGCACTGTAATCAGACACCGCGCAGCCATTGGACTAGCCGAGGCTATAGCCCCTCTTTTTTGCAGTGAAAGGTTAGAAATTTTTTTAGAAAGTTTTCTCTAACGGAAGTTTGGGAAGTTTACTCTAACGGATCCTTTGTAATAGCAGTTCGTCTTTGTCTGGAACCTTTGTTTGTTCATTTTCTTGGTGACTTATCTTATTAAATCTATTTTTATAGTAATTGATATCTTCTTTTAATCAGACTGTTTATAAAAGTTTAAACGGAGAGAAACAAGCATTTTCTAGAAGGGGTGTTTTCCGACGTTCTAAATGGCGTGGCCTCAGAAATTCTCGGTCACGCCTGACTGTAATTATTTGCTTGGGCCTCGAATTAATACAATCACAAATTAACACAACAATATGGCTGGAAGGGTAACTATTTCCACCAGCTTTTGACAAGTCTCGTCCATACTTTCCCAGTTTTATAAACTTTTGTGCATACAAAAACGTCAGTGAAGCTGGCAAAATGTTTGTCAGGAATGACATTTCATGTTTTTCAACTTGATCATTGAGACTGCCAGGACAATAGAACACATTTTGCACCAGTTAACGTGATAAGGATTATAAGGATTAAAATGTTGATAAGGATATTTGAGAACATGATAATGAACCCATTTTAATCGTACTTTTACAGAATAAAGGAAATATTATTTCTTGAATTCTGTATTCTTTTCGGGTATAATGGCTACATTGATGAATTTGATATTTAAAACCTTTTTTTAAAATCCCGTAAACCAATTGATATTAATAATAAGTGAGCTGCTCAAACATAGAACGGGCCTCTCATGAAGGATCTATTTTAATTTTAGTTGATTCTGCTCAAAAGCATATTCAAGCGAACTGTAGAGATGTTAAAACCCCGCCAGGCAACAGAAAAGATGAACCAAGGATTCCGTTAGCATCTGATGCCGAAACACCAAAAGTTGCATCCCTTCCGCCGTCGCATCATGATACTGCTGTGAAATATTGTCGTGATCCCCCGCAAGAAACTGAACCGAATGTGTTTTCAAGGTTTTGTCTAGATTCACTTGCAGGAGATTGTAGAGATGCAAGGCAATATCCTTTTGGAAGTCGAATCTACGGAAATGAGACTGCCAACAACAAGTCCTGCCTTGACAAGGAAAGCTTCAGGCGAGCTGGGTCTGCTGCCCGTTCTTCTGGGCAAGAATCTTCTGATTTACAAGTGTCTGTTGTCTCCTCAAGTAGTCTGAACGCTGAGTCTTCGGAGAATCTTCCGCCTACCCTACCTAAAACAGGAAATGATCCGCCGCTCTGGAGTAATGGTAATGAGCCAACCATGCATTCTAAATTACAAGTTAACACTGCTGAAAACCAAATACAGTGCACCATATGTGCAAAGATCCTTGCAAACCCTCGTAACTTGAGAGCACATATGAACACACACAATGATGGCGTAAGGTATTCGTGTCCAACGTGTGGCAAAAGTTATGCATGGAAGTATTCTTTGACGCTACATATGCGAAGCAGTCACTGTTCAGCTTCAAGTAGCGCGCCAAAGGAACCTGGCGGGAAGAGAGAAGCATCAGTGATTACCGAAACAGTTGATGCTGGAGAATTAAATAGGGGAGAGTCTTTTAAGAAAAGGGCTAGAGATGGAGAAGGCCTCCAAGTGGCTAGGTCCAAAAAGTCAACACAAAAAAGATTGCAATCTGAAACAGCGGTTTCTATAAGAGATAAGTCTAGTGAGAGTAGAAGTTCAAGATCAAAAACTGAAACAAAAGCAAGTTCAACGACAGCAGATGAAAACTCGGATGGTTTTATGTACCCTTGTATCGATTGCAGTCAACCCTTCAAAACTGAAGACCAGATGTGGAATCACTTTGAAGCAACCCACTGCACAATGGATCAAGTGGAAATAGCTTCACAATTAGTTAAACCCTTTTCTAGTGGCTTTGTCGACTGCACAAGCAATTCCAGACAGTGCAAGATTTGCGGTAAAGTGTTTTCAACGTCGGCAGTGGCTATGAATCATGAAGCTTCCCACACAGGAGAGAAAAATTTCTCATGTGATATATGTCAACGGAAATTTGTTTGGAATGGCTCTCTGCGTAAACACTTGCAACGTACGTCCTGTGGAAAAGGAAAAAAGGAAATTCAGATTGGGAAGGCTGCTGGTGTTTCGCCTGTAGCAGATAGAATCAAAGAAGACATCAAGGCACACGAGAATTTGTCATTTGTTTCAAGCACAAAGAGCAAGCAAAGGGGCGTTGTGGAAAGTCAGTTACCAGCTCCATTGGAACGTGATACTAAAATAATGAAAGATCATAAGAAGGCAGTAAAGAGCCCTAGGGTGGTACCAATTAATAAGCATGCTGTACTGGCAGAGAATTTCATAAGAAAGACAATTCTTCTTCATGAAGGATATGGTGTCAAAAAGGAAATGGCAGGCTTTGTAGACTTAGGCGATGGACCAGAGATCGGCAATCATACATGCAAGGTATGTGATAATACATACAAATACAAGTCATCTTTGAAAATTCATATGCGAAATCACACGGGAGAACTTCCATATCAATGTGGAATTTGTAAGGAAAGATTTGCAGCTCATAGGTATTGTAGAAAGCATGTCATAAGACATGGAAAAGAGTCAGCAGACCAGGAGCTGAGGGCAGCATTTCAAAACCTGGCTCATTCTGGAAAAGGAGATAGTTCCAGGGATGACAAGACAGAGCAAAATGACATTGCTAGAAGGCATGATCAAGGACCATCCCCACGAAAGTCAGGCAATAAACAAGTGACATCTGTTGACGAGAGCGGTGAGTCACCTACTGATGAAAGAGGCACAGTCAGGGAACGAGGTTTGCCAAAAAGAGAGGCAAAAAGTAAGGCCTTAAGCTACGTTGCTTTGATAGAAACATCGGATGATGAACTTTCTGTAAACAGGAAGCGTAGGACAAGGAAGAAAATTGTCAGAGACAGTTTACAGTTAAAGAAGATAAGTGGTTCTGAGGTGAGCTCAGAAGAAGAAGAAATAAGTCCTAAACGAAGACTGGTGGATAGACGAACCTCCAGCAGTCATTCGAGTTTCCTATCTAACAAAGAAGACAGCGATGAAGAATGGCCTGGTGGCAGTCTTATGGACGACGAAGAAGCCGAGTTTTTGAGCGATGATGTATCAGAGGAATCACTCATTGAAACAAAAGATAAAAGCCCATCAACAAAGATAAAGACAGAAGGACATTTAGGTAGAGAGAAACCCCGCAAGAATGACGGAAAACTCTCAAGATTACTTTTTCAATGTAAAGTGTGTGATACGAAGTTTGCTTCACGTTTTGTGCTGCGGAGACATGAAGTGATTACAGGCCATGCAAAGGCATCATATGAGTGCCCGTACTGCAAGCGAATCTATTCGGAAGGAGGAGCTTATAGCAACCACATGTACGTGCACCAGCGGAAAAACGGCATGAAATGTGATATTTGTGGTAAGGAACTCCAGAGCAGAACGACGTTTCTGAATCATAAAGAAATGCATAAGAAAAATCCATTTACATGCAAACTTTGTTTTGAGTGGTTTCCAAGTGAAAGGAAGCTGGAAGAGCATACTAATACATCGCATGATACACAGAAAGAATTCAAGTGCAAGTATTGCCACAAAACATTTGATTGGCAGTCAAACTACACCCGGCACTTGAACAAGCACACAAACAAAAAGGAGTTCAAGTGCAAAATTTGTCATTACAGCTTCAATATTATATCGAATCTGAAAAGGCACATGGTCTCAGTACACAAAGGCGAAACTGAATTTGGTGCGAACACGTGGGAAGCAGTGAATCCGGTACAAGTGGACCATGTTCTCAACAGACAGCATCAGAGAAGAGATCTGTGGAAGGTGGAAGATGACACAGAGAACGAAGAAAAAGGAATAAAGAGGCGGGGGAGACTGAAGGCGCTCAAGGCTGTCAACAGAAAGAAGTATCCCTGTGAAATTTGCAGTTTTTTGTGCTCATCCAGAATGGAATTGACAAACCACTTGAGGTATGGCCACAAGGAGCAGAACAACCCAGATTCTGCGTTGATTCATTTTATTATTGAAGAGGAAAATTTTTTTTGCCAATTATGTGGATCAGTTATCTATATTAGGCATAGTCTGAAAAACCACATGCTCAGGGTCCATCAGCTTGACATAAGCGAAGATGACATCGCAGGGGTCAGTAAGTTTGGCAATGATGTGAAGGTTGAAGGGCGTGTTAAACAGAAGCCAAAGCAGAAGCCCAAACCATCTCCAGCAGAAAATGACTCCCGTAATTCTGGGGCAGTTGACCAACGGCACGGTGCAGATGTTGTTTCCTCATCAAATGGAGAAAAAGATGTGGGGTACCTGCGCCAAAGAAAGAAACGGGGATTGTCAGCTGAAAGTCGAAAGTGTTCATTGCCAGATAAATGCAGTCTTTGTGCTAACGCGTTTGCTTGTAAGGAACAGCTGATTGAACACTTACGGGATTTCCATAAGATACCAGCTGGCTTTGAAGAGGCATTGATTGAAATGACCAAAGATGTAAACAACCCTACGCATAAAGCTGGCCAAAGTCAAAGCAACAGTGATGATCGTGAAAAAGCTGCGTGCTTGCAAAAGAAAGAGAACAATTCCACACTGTCATCTGAAAGACGTAAGAAGGAAAGCAGCCAAGTACAAGAATGTCCAATCTGCAATCAGCGCTTCGAGAGCGTGGCTCTGCTTGCAAGACATGCGGCTATTTGTGACCAATTTTCATCATAGCACTCTAAATACTGCTGCATCTTTACCAACCATTAACTTGGCAAACCCTTTGACTAGAGATTTTAGGATACTTTCGTTGCATGTAGGCAGATAGTTTGTCTGACAGTCTGTTATTGTTTTTAAAAGATTTCTCAAGCAAACAGCTCTTTTGACAGGCGTGTATTTTACTAATATTTTGGATCTTCCACCATTGACAGCTCGTAGCTTTGGCATAGGATTGGTTTGCTTTAAAGCATTTTGACATGCATCCCTAAACTGAGCCAAGTTTTAATGTATGCAAACTCTTTTTTGAATTATCAAAAAATTCGTAGTTTGATTTGTTGTAAGGTTTTTCGTCGTTGTTCACGCGATGCTGGAGACAGCTGCATTACCATATAATGTTTTAACTAGTAAATAATCATTGGTTTTCCTAATGATGATGATAAGGTTTTTCTTTATGTCAGATCAGTGTCCAAAGCAATGAAAGAAATTTTTCACTACAAGGGATAAGTCCCATATTTTTTCTGAGATTTAACATTTGTATCATTGATATTTTTATCGCTGAAACTTTTATACATCTACTTTGTCTTGACGTTTGATATATATATTTTGTATATGCTGCCTTTGAAAGCTATTTTTGTACCTTTAGATATCTTTAGCTTTGTAAATTCGCATCGCATATCACGTATCGTCTAGGTTTTATAGTTATTTTAAAACGGTTGTAAGAGATTTAGATTGCGCATGTCTTTCCTATTCAGTTTTGTTCATAATTTGAATTAAAATATCTGGATTTTCAGCTCCAACGTCTACACACCACCTGGTTCAGTAGTGCAACGCGTTGTTAGCATGCCATGCAAAACAAGACATCCCTTTTGTCGGTAGAATTAGGTAGGCTTTGTGAACAAATGTGAATTTGAGGCGATTAACGACTGGAGTCTTTCTTGCTTCTGTTTAATCTAATGTTCATCTTTGTGGTTTATTTAGCTTTTCATGCTATGAAAATAAAGTTAAGGTGCAAAGTATCGAACTTTCCATGAATCGTTACATTTCGGTTCCATACACATCATGTATGGAACCGGAACATATGGCCATGTATTAAAGATATGCACAAAAACGACATCCTCATTTTCAATAGACCTATAGAACCCCTCCATCCTCTTGTGATGTTTCATAACTCATACAATAATACAATACAGGCTTGGTTTTGTTCAGTCCATTTTTTACAGGTGTGGTCTTAATCCATTTTGTATTTTTTTGTCGAATAACTCAAACTTTTTCAGTCAGAAATTTAAGTCAGACTTATTTGGCAATCTCTTATGCAATTAGGATCATATAAGCCCAAATTTTGCAACAAAATAAAGCCATTGTTACATGTTTTTATCTCGATGTTCCTCTTTAGAAACAAATATGTCACTAAACTGTATAGGGTGTGATATGATTAGCCTTGTTTGTCTGATGATTTATTCAATCTATTGGATAAAATGTTTTTTGCTTTTTTGCTACGAAAAACGGTTCCAAATTTTTTGTTTAACGCTGTGGTGCTTCTTTCCAGGTTTTTCGTACGCGCTGGGCACCCGCTCGAGGTTGACTGCGTTTTGTACTGATCATGTGAGAAATGCGCATTGTCAACTACCGTGGCATTTGCTGCATCAGTACCTTTCTTGTAGTGATGCGATTATTTATACACACTTCACATCCATTGTTTTCATTCGCATTCAGTGTTTTTTAGAGCTCGATGCCTATTTCGTGAAGATAGCTTCTCTAAAAAGGTTTTATTGTGAGTAAGTGATGGCATGACCTCGCGGGGAAAAACCTGTATGTTGGGGCGACATATAAACACAAACAAAAGTTTGTTCTGGTTATTTTGTTGCTTCTATTGTCCTCCCGGTTCATAGAAATTTCATTGTTTTTATTTCGAAATGGACATCGTCAAGAGAATGCTTGTGGAACCCATGGAAAGTTCTTTGTTTGTCACAGTCTTGAAAGTAGAGTCACCCCGCGGGTTAGGCGTGTAAAATACTCCTTTATGCTAGCTCATGTAGCGAAACCCTATTTTTTTCTGTCATATCTAAAAATTACGGTTTCGCAACTTTTCCGAAGTCAGCCTCCTCTCTCAATTTTCCGACGAGATTTGTGTCATCAACCTGCAGCTAATTGGATTGATGCAAATGAATTGTAACATTTAGATAGTGCTACAGACCGCGAGGCATACCACAGCAACCGCAAGAAACGCCACGTCTCATATTTTGATTGATAAATCGTGTTTATTAATTGTTCATTGAATAGTTATAAGAAAATTTGACAGAAAATTGAGTGACGCCGAGGAGTGTTTTAGGTTGCCAAATCTCCTACATCGACCATATATATATACAAGCGAAAATCGCGCATAGAAGTGACAATACACAATGTTACAAACATTAACCGAACAATGGTGGTTCAATATAGGGTAACTTCACCTTCATGGCCCAGTTGGGTGATCCTGATGCAATTGAGAATCATGCCACATAGAGTCTTGTATTTGTGTTAATTGAATTTACTTTCTGAAATGTTTGCGTTTGCAACTGTTTCAAAAATTACGCCTTGCGGTGAATTCATACTCCATATGAAGGCTTGAATCGTTTTCGGGTTTGAACAGAGTTCCGCCACACAGTTAGCTTCGACCGATTCAATATCATAGTTGCCAAGTAAGCTCTCATCCTTCCTTTATCTATTCGGATTTAAATGGTAATGATGGTAGTGAAAAAATGGCCTGACCTAGACGCCCAGCCCCCCCCCCCTTCTCTGCGGTGCCTGTAGACGTGTTGCCGAAACTTATTTTGTTACTTCAGACCTTTTTGCCCCCTTTAACCGGGGATTTAGAACTTTTATTTGGCCTTTTGAATTTCTGTTTATTATACCTTGTTGTCTTAGTATGATTTCAAAAAAGGGTTAAACTTAAGGAGCTTCGTGTCAGGTTGCCCTTGTAATCGAAAGAGCAGTGTATCGCCAAGAGAATTAGGAATACTACGGATGCAGATTCTTCATTTCAGTCTGTTAATAAACATCGTATCAAATTTAAATATTAATGTTGATACATTCGTAAATAAAAATGTTAGACAACGCAGACTAAAACAAAGAGCCTTTCAAAACAAATCTCAACATTTTGATGGCAAAGCCAAAACTTAGCCAACTGTGGGACATTATGAATGAAGATCAGCCTCGGCCGATGTATTTCATCCTGTGAATCTGAATGAGAACTGTATGTTTGCTTTGTTGAAATCGTAGCAGTGTTTTGCATTTGCTTGCGATGAATTACGTAATTAGTATTGTTTGCAGTTGAATCATATGAAACGAAGGTGAACCGCGAAGTCACTTCAATCGACCTTGGTTTCGGATGCAGGAAATACGAACTCTCTTGGTTGAATTTCTGCGAATGTTGGCAACGGCTTTGTGCTCACCGTCGTCGTGAAAACCACGTTGGTACTATAATTAGCCATACATCGAAGCTGAGTATCAGTTAGCTGGCTCCTTTAGTTTACTACCTAATTCATCCTGATATCTACTCGTGAAGCAAGTTTTGTTCCTGGGATATGAATTCATGATGTTGTCGTTCTGCAAAATGAATCTTGCCATTCTCGTGACTGTTTTTCTTCTGTCCGAACATCTGAAAGAAGCTGATACACAAAAGGTAACACATTTTCCCCAATATTGTTTTATCTGATAGGGACAATTGAAGTTTTCTTTGTTTGTCTGGGTATTTTGTTGAGAAAATAACCTACCCATTATTTGTGTCTTTTGCAACATGCTTAACGAATGCGAATTCTTTATCTACTTAATTCAAAATTCTGCTCTTTATTCTTCTACTGACAGGGAAAAAAGATGTTTTACGATCTCACAATTATAACCACAAAAATATAATCAAATAGAGAGTGGATTGGGTGTCATGCCTAGAAGCAATGCGTTTTAGTATCCACGTCTTAACAAGAGATAGCCAGTTATTCAATGCTTCCCAAAGCATTTTCCCTCGTTATCTGACTAATCTACACCTGAGGTTTGATTAGGTGAAACAAAAGAACCGTTGATACAAATAGCAATGATGTTGTATTATGGTTTTTGTATGATCGTATTTCCAAGCGGTCCTATTGCTTTGTAAAGTATCTGCAATAATTTCTACATTATTATCCTCCGCTTACCAGTTCTATAATTAAAAAAGACCATTTTTCGATTTTTAATTAAATTCCTTTTTTTATTCCTCTTTAAAGACCCATTGCTAACAATGAGTCATTGCGCTACGCAAGCATCCCATAATGCATTTTCGAATAGTCTGAAATCAATTTTGGGTAATTGTAGAAGTTTTACTGCCATTGTAGAAGTTTGCGATCGTCGCCACGCTCGCAAAGACCCATTGTTAGCAATAGGTCTTTAAAAATTATTTTTTTTAAATAACTGTGCTTAAATAATTTCATTTGCATTCCCTCACGGGTGGTAGCCTCTGAAACAACAGAATTTCAAAGAAATGTCTCATCTTTTCACTATTTATCTTTAGTAAATCCAAATTCACTTCGCCAAACAACTTTTTGTACTGGGGATTATGGCGTTACAGCAGAAAATCGCTCAAATATTTTCGTAGTTACATCATTTACCTCTGTAATTTTCGAATAACAAACAAGGGCTCCTTCCAAACACACCACACCTTGCAACTTTTACCAAAAGTATGCCTCACAAGAACCACAGACCTAACAATGATTTAAGGCCTCTACGGGGCTTTGGTTGTCCTTATGTAGGTAAATGGTTCCTGTGAGCAATCGATAGGTATCATAAATTTATCATTGATGGTCTTGTTCAGAAACGGCTATTATTTTCAAACAAACTGCAAGCATATGAATAATTTCAAAGTGGCTGATTATTGGCTGATTCTCAATCATTCAGTGTTAGGTATTATTTATTGCGAAGGCATTGGTAATTGCCAGGCGAGATCTCGTGTAGGAGGGTGTGTTGAAATGTTCCAAGCATACGGGGAAGGATGCTTTCAGAGAGAGCCCTTAATCTAGGCAGGGAAGGGTACAGCGGCCATTTGGCCGGTTTCTTTACTTGCTGTCTCAAGTCTCGCAAGAGCTTTCAGTGAGCTAATTGTGACAATAGGTAAGCGTCCTAATCACCGGTAAGTCTGGATTCGAGTTTGAGTGTTATGTCATCTTAGAGAGGAGGAGCTTAACTTTATATTTTGCTCCATTTGTTAACTAAGGACGCTATCAAAATTTAGTTGTATTGCAGTCATAAACTGGTTACTTCGCTTTTAACATAGGTGTCTGATGGGAATGAACAAATAGATAAAAGCTTGAAAGATATCTACAAAGTCAGTATCGGTGAGTAAACAACCTGCAAAACAGCTTAAAGCAAAATATAATCGTGAAGTAATCTTTCATAATCGTGATTATTTCCATGATTAATTCAGTTAACAAACTTGTCCAGAGCAATCAAATACAAGTCTATCAGATTTCACAGCAACAGAAGACAAAGTGCTTTTTTTCTGTATTCTAGAAAGGGGAATTATCATCCGAAGAAGACGATTCATCGATAGTGACAGAATTAAAATCAATTTTATCAACAAATCAGGCAGAGAAGTCAGGGTAAGCCCAAAGATTGCCTTCACTTGCAGGACTGAAAAATTTGAGTTACATATTCGTGTAACTTTTCTACAGACAAGATAACATCAATTGGATTGTATGACAAAGATTCTCAAATAAAATCGAAACTTTGTTGTATTATTAACTTTTAGGTCTGCAAGTGATGTAGGAAAGGCAGGCAGTGGACGTTGTAACAGTTTTCTACAATGTCTTCTGCGCTTATACGGTTTCTCTCTTTTTCTTATACCCGTTTTTCAGGTTCGTTGCAAAAGTAAGTCTCAATTTCACATGGCAGTCAAACTAAACTTTATATTAATCTTCGCAAAATATCGATGAAAATCCTCGCACGATGGGTGTTTATTTCTTCTTCTGCGTTGATGTGCAATTTTCTTGTAACAAGTGACATTTCATTCTCATTTGTACTCAGGTTTTCCAAATTGTCGGCTTTGTATTTGTGTACGCGCGTCCTCAGTTCGATCTCAGACCAAATGAACCAAGGGCCCTTGAAGTTGCATCTGGCACAGTATGGGAAGTCAGAGACCTGGAAACTAGCTATTACATGTTGACGAATGACAGGAAAAGATTTCGTGTTGTTGGCGGCAGTGGCAATGGATTCATTGACTTACGAATTAAGCGACCTTGTGAGTTTCAGAGTTTAATAATACCTTACACAAGCTAGTCGAATCCAGGTTTGCTCCACAGGGCCGCCGCTAGCTATTGTGCTCAAGAAAGTGCTCAGGTCCCATTTGCTGACAAAGTGGATGATTCATCCTCAATTTGCTGACAAGTCTGAAAATTTGCCGACGAAGCACCCCTACATGGCAAAAAGCTCCTCATTTTTCAACAGTTTTTTTCCAAAGGCTCTTACACCCCAACGCCCCATAGTAGTGACGGCCCTTTTTCTCCTTTCATTTTTTTACGAAAGCGTTTAGAATGCAAGGCTGAAGTTTATCGTTTTTAAAGAGAAGGATGCTGTTTGGAATAGCCGGAGTAGAATTTCTGTCAAATTGCATAAACTTTGTTCAAGTTAGTTGAACTTTGAATATATTCTAGTTGGAATTCAAGAAAGTTGTGGAAATCGCGTGTTGAATTGCCATGCCCATATTCCTCTCTCAAATAATATTCTTACTGTTCCAACGCCTAGCTTTCTTTTTGCTTCTGACAAAGGAACTACATAACTTGTAGAATACATCTTCTCTTTTTATTACGATCGATCACACTCCGCGATCGAACCCCCGGGCCCACACTTTCACTTCTATTCACGGGTTCCTGAATTTCATTCATTGTGTTGAATGGACCCTCTTCCATCATAATACATCTTTGAAGCAGCACCCTTCCCTGGGAAAGTGATGCCTCACCACTCCTGCCAGTTTATCCAAACACTTGTGTCTCTTTTTTTACATTCCAATAAAAATATACAATACAAATTTACTAGTCACACTACCTACAAAATACTTAACGACATTACAAGGACGATGCCACTGGGTGCAAAACACTATGACTACTCCGTGGCATCACGAAAAACTAAGACAACTTACATACGAATTACCAAAGGAAGAAAAAAAACAAAGAACGCTACCTTTTCTTTCAAATTAGATGTTAGTCGAAAATATTAGCGAATAGTAGCAGACAAGATGTTTGCTGCAGTTTAAGTAATTTTGCGTTATCACAGATCTCACCTCAAATATAATTAGATACAGCCTTTACATATTATAGTTAACTAAACAATTGTTGGCTTACTCGGGGGGGGGAGGGGGCGAGATGCTTTTTTCAAAGCGACCAGTACAATGTATAAAACGTATTGTTAACTCAAGGATGCTTCTAATGAGATGGTTTTGAAAATTCTTATCGCCGTGCAATACGATTTGCAACAGAACATCATTTGCGAGATTTGCATATCCATATGGTCGTACAAGAGTATATATTCCAGCGAGGAGATCAGTCCTTTGAATACCAAAAGAGGGGCACTTGTGTCTCTTACAGGAGTATAGAGACCCACTTCCCTAGATCTGTAGGCCCAACCTGTTTTGTAATTTTTTTTGTTTTCGTCCCCACTAATCGAGACTTCACTTTGCATTGCAGCTTTTTTAGAACGAAAACTGAAGGATTTCATCCCGGTATCTGAGAAGTTTTTGCGTTTCTTGGTTGTTGCTGATGCATCAGTAACCAACTATTATGGAAAAAGGCTCGGAAAGAAGTTGTTGATGACAATTATGAGTGCGGTGAGGAAGACAGTTTTCCTATATCGAACACTTATCAGCTTGATACTGATTTTCATTTGCTTGCTTTGAGTGGCCATTTCTATCTTGAGTATGATCAGAATGTTTTTCTTTGAGTTTGGGTCCTCCAGAGCAGAAGCAGCCTTTCTTGTCTCGAGTTTCCAAGATTAGATTTTTTCTTTATTTGAAGACTGGATTTCTGTAAACGATTTTTTCGGCATACTTCCTTGTTTCGAAGCGATGCACTTTTTCCTACCATTTGAAACCTGCCCTTTTTTGTGGCTATGCCGTTGGAAAATACCCCCTTGTCTGGTCCAATGTCTGGTACGTACACTCTTTTCAAAGATATTCCTTTCAAAAAACGGTGTATGTTACGTTGTTCTTTTGCTTGACAGGTATCTAAGATTTTTCGGGACAAAAGCCTTGGAATAAAGGTCAATATAGTTGTCACAAAAATAATCATGGCGGAGAGTGACCCTGTAAGCCGAAACTTTTTTCTTCTCATTATCCTTTACAAGTGCCTTTAACCGTACTGGAAGCAAGACCTTCGAATTAAAATGAAAGCAAGATCATGTTAGATGTTTTTGGAAGCTGTATAAAGGACATGATCTTTTCATTTCTTTTATTACCTGTATGTTCTATGTTATGTAGTTCTCCGTCCTATAAAATGTTACTTTGTTCGACGTTAATCATTATTTTACGGTACTAGCATCATACTTCTGTCTCTTTGGATCAACTTGTATCATAGCAAATGTTTGTTTGTGGTTCTTCATAGAGGTCCTACAAGGTGGTTGAAAACGACCCGGACACGAGCATCACAAATGCGTGTTCGTTTGCGTCGTCTCTGGCTCGCGCTAACGGCATCAGCCACCATGATTTTGCGACCGTAATAACAAGGTAAGCCAACACCAATGAAGCTGGTACTAGTGCAAAGTGAGTACTCAAGAGATCTAGCTTGATTCTGTCAACATTAAGAGACCCATACAGTTTAATAGGATGTCCCCGTTTCAACGCCCGACTTTCTTACTTTTCTTGAGCCATCACTAACTTTTTGCTGATTTTGTAGGTCTGTCATCAACTTTTGTCACTGTTGACAACAACCCGAATGAATTAATTCTTGGTTTAACATAGACCTTGCTATTTCCGGGTGGTCTTTACTGTTTTAAAGTCAGCTTCAGTTTCCTTCCATAGTGTCACTTGTTAACATTGACTGCCATCTATATTTATAAAAAGAAATAGAAAATCTCAGTATTTGCCTTTGCTTTCGATTAATAACTGAATATTCTTATTGCGTTCCAGGAAATCTATAGGACCTTCAGGTAAACACTTGTTGAAAATGTTGTCTTTGATTTTATTGCTTGTTAGAGTCTCCTTTAAGTATTCTCATTTCTGGATTAGCCATCAGCCAATAATATAATACTCGTTGTATATTACAGGCTACGCTGCCATGTACACAATGTGTACGTCGAGAAGCTGTACCCTTGTGAAGGAGAATGGCTTTAACACAGCCTATGTGATTGCACATGAAGCAGGGCACGCGTATGTTACACTTCATTATTAATATTCTTGGTAGTTTGTAAGTTTTTCTGTGAAACTGCAAATTCCATTTGTGAAAGGTTTGTTCAGATCTGGCGTTTCTCTTATTAATGCCTGTCTAATGCGACGTTGTGAATGAATACGTCCTAATTCTGACCCATCTTTCTCTCAAAGAACTGTAGCATGTGCGTATTTCAGCTTATATTACTGATCCATCGAACAGTTAACTCTCTGTGGAGTATTAAGAACTGAATTGTACCGTAAGAAATGTGGTATTAAATACTTTAAAGTCTCCCGCAGTGTGTCTGATTACATCAGAGCTGCGGTAGGTCAAAACCTATGAATAGAGTCTTCCACTAAGGTTATTTTTGTTGAGCCATTTCGATATATACCAAATTAACCGATTTGCTACAAGCGATAAGTTAATCTGTTTGGAAACCTTTCTGAGACTATCCTCTTAAAAACATTTTACAAATAAAGAGATTTTTTTTCAGTCTTGGAATAGACCACGATGGTGAGGATGGTGAATGCGAAGATGACAAGCTGCAAGGGAGCATTATGTCACCAAAAGTTTACTCGAAGCACGAGAAATACCACTGGTCTTTTTGCAGCAAAAGATCTTTATATGAGAACATCAGGCAAGTAATAACGAACCGCCTTTAATTAAGGCACTGACGAGAACCATATGCCCATTGCTAATATAGTTAAATGAAACTGTGATGATGTGTAATTACAAGTTAACAATATGTCTTTCTATCTCTAGATACTTTTCATGTCTAAATTACAAGCCAACAGAGTCGGAAAACAACATTGTAGACAAGTTCTATGACCTCCCTGGAGAGGTTTTTCCCAAAGATAGTCAATGCAAAGCGAAACTTGGTTCAAGAGCCAAATCCTGCCAAGTGTGTACTTATTTATAATGTTCCTTATATCCTTGTAGATCTTTAAGTAAGAGGCAAATATTAACCTTGAAATTTACACACAATGGTTTTGCCCCTTTGGCCTGGTCTAATATTTGTCTTTTGAATAATACATCTATATGCTGTCAGCCAAACAATTGTCGTATTTGTTCGGCTGTGAGCTAAATGTTAGTCAAAAAACAGATGTAAGAGCATATGAATGTGTTATAGATCGCAATTTATCTCAATTAAGCTGGCTCGAAACATATATACTTCTCCACGAACCAAGAAATTTCTTCAAATAAAACTCAAACGTACGCCTTGTCTCATCATTTCTC